TATGAAGAAGAAAATACTTTTTCAAGTAAAAAGATTCAACTAGATTTAGCTTAGAAAATATTCTATAAAATTCTCGTTTTAGATATTGTAGAAAAAATGAGTTTTGGAATAGATTTATCTACAATTGAAATCACAAAAAATTAACTTCCAAATTCTATAATTTTATTAATTTAAGATACAAAATTTGAAATATTTTATAATTTAAATGTTGATTTAAATGCTACATTAGAAGATATTTATAATAAATTATAAAAAAGATCAGGTAATAAATATAATAAAAATGAATGGTATTTCACTTTGAAATTTCCTTGTGTTAATATTGATTACAAAGAACCATTACATTTTCAATTTCCTATAAATTTACTGCCAATTCATTGGTTATTGATATAATTTAGATTTGAGGATATTAAAATTGCTACAGCCGGAAGTATAAGAGAAATTTATAATTAATCAGAAAATGAAGATTCTATTTCGGTTTCTAAATCATATGCAGAAGTTAATTCTTAGATTGAAAAAAAGCTTGCAATGTTTAACTATAAGGAATTTAAAGTAATTAAGATGGAAGATACTGGATATTTAAATGAAGTAGTGATTGGAATAGATTATTTTGATTTTTATTTTTACTATTTGACAAAAAAGAATTCAAAGTTTTCTATTCATAAACTTGCAAAATATTTTGTTTAGATTATATTGGAAAATTATTAATCTGGTTAGACAAAAGATTATAAACGAATTCCAACATCTTCTATTCTTTCTGTATAGACAAAAGATAACTAATAAATAGAAATTAAATATCTAAAAAATGATGATAAAGTAAAAAAATTAAAATTCATTTTACCAAAAAAAGATGAATAAGATGATAATTTATAAAAAAAGGAAGAAATAATAAATATCAATGAAATTGTTCAAAAGTTAGATTATATCATTTAGGAAAGACGAAAGAGTTCACCATAAAAAATTAATTGATTATATTCAATTCTCAAAAATAATTATTATTAGGAATCCATACTTTTTTTTCTTTTATTTTTGGTAGACTTATGACTTTACTTAATTACCTTTGAGTTATAGGATTTTCAGAAATCAAAGATATATTGTTATCAAAATATCTTAAACATTGATCTGCAGGTTTAAATACTTTTACTTCTCTTTATTGTATAATCTGCTTCTTAATTTTTCCACATAAAAGACTACTTTTCTATTTATTTAATTAATAATTTATTACTTCTTTCAATTCAATTTCTTGTAATTCACTATAGTTCTTATCCCAAAATTCAATACGACTAATTTCTCTTTAACTTAAAAATCTTTTTCTAATAGGAGGAAATTCACTTTTCTGTTTATTGGTTGGTCTATCCAATTAATGTATTACTAAAATTATTCATATTAGTACTGTATGATTAATTTTAGTTTCTATCAGGTGATATTAATAATGATTTTTGAAGATTTGTTAATTATGGGACATCTTTATTAATAAAAATTGATTTTTATTCAAATAAATCGTTTTCCTTAATTTAATTTATGAATTAAGGACGATGTAAAGAATTTGTAAAACTTGAAAATCTATTTTTATAATTTTTCTTAGCCAATTCATTTCTGATTTTTTATAATTTTTTTTTTTCTTATTCTTTTTCATATTCAACAAATTGGAGTGCTAAAAAATCTGATAATTCTTTGATTTTGTTCTTAGTATCTAAAACTTACATTTAGTGCTAGTCAAATTTTAAAAACAGTTACAGCCTGTCTAATTGATTTGTGTTCTTCCATGATTTAATATTTATATAATTGTAATTAAATAGTTTTAATATATTAATTTGTATATATTTATAAAACAATACGGATTGTTACAGTCAAGGATTTACTGGATAAAATGGTTTAGAATTTAAATTTAATTTTCTAAAACTAAATAGATGAATAATTACTTTCTTTATCTTGGTTATCCATCAGTATTTTAATTTGTTTAATTGAATTAATCATTATTAATATCATTTCCATTTTTATTATCATTAATTTTTTTAGTTTAATAAATAAATTTTTCAGGTTCTTATATGTATGAATCAGGATGTTAGACTTAGGATAGATTAGGGAAATTTTGATTTGAGAAAACTTAAATGGGAGTAGGCATTTATATCATTCCATCATTAGGCATCCAATTTTGATCAAAATCATCATCGAATTACATCATTGGAGGCATTCCTATAATAGGTCCAGAATTCATTAAATTAGGAGGGAATTATTAACCTAAAGGCATTGTTGGTGGAAAATCTGGAAATTGATTTCCTATAGGTGGAGGCATCATAGGTGGACAAAAAACTTATCCATCAAATTAATTAGGAGGTTACATCATCATATTATTTTTGTTAGATTACTTTTTAATTTAAGGAGGAGGTGTCATTGTCATAGGCATATGCATTTAATTCATATTAGGAATTTAATTAAATTTAGGAGGCATCATTTAATTCATTCTCATAGATCCTAAATTAGGTCCCATAGGAAAATTAGGTTCTAAAGGTTCCATTCCTAAAGTAGGTCCAGGAGGAAATCCTAAAGATTAAGGACCTCCTAAAAGTTTTGAATTAAATGGTGCTATTTATGGACCTAAACCCATCATTCCAGGAGGTGGAAATCCTAATGGAGTTGTAAATGTAGGACCTGAAATATTTAAAGGATCTGGTAAATTAGTACGACCCATTTATTATTATTATTATGGAAATGAAAAAGGAGCTACTTTGAAAGGATCAAACATTTCAGCAGAATTTTAATTCATGAAATCTGGTTAACTATTTATCAGAGCCAAATCTTATTAATTCTTATTATTTTTAGGTTTCTTCTTTTTATTTTTCTTCTTTTTTTCTTTATTTTTTTAATCTCCTTAATTATTTGAAAAATTTTGATTATTATTAGGTATTACTTTTTAATTATTAAACTAATTTTATTGTTAAGTCTAAATAGGAAATGCTCCTCTAGTTAAAACTGAAGATTAAAAATGTTGATCATAATTCATTTAACCATCTGAATCATTATCTTACAATTAATTCAAAATATCCACAAAATCAGAAGATTTATCTTTATCTACTAAACCTGGAGGAGGTGCTACTTTTGGCTAATTTGGAATTGATAATGGTTTATTAAAATCAGGAGGTAAAACTAACTCAGAATCATAATTTTCTTAATTCTTTGTTATTGAAATCCCACAGTTTATTAGATGCTATTACAGTTTTTCTAATTCCCCTAATTGTTATATTGATATTTCCTTTCTAATTTTTATAATATATTTATACTATAATTGAGATTATTACTATTACTTATTACCTTTCTTTTCGGGCTTTTTTTTGGGTGCCTAATCTTTTTTTTAGTAATACTCTTTCTTTTATTATTAAGCTGGCTATTATTTTTTAGGCTCATATATGTACTACTTTTTTGTTTCGTCTAATTTAAATAATAGTTATAGTATACTTTTACTTTTTGTGAAAACAAATCCTCCAAATTTATCAGATTATTTCTCATCATCATCTTCTTAAGGATCCTCAATTTAATCATCTCTATTACGTTTAATTTTTGGCTATTATACATATGCTTATAAATCATTTCTTTTTACATATTATTAATACCTTTAAATTTTATTATATTTATTTTCTTATCTTTAAGCAATGTCCTATTCACCTTCTTAAGGTGAATTTCTTCTTCTCTATTTCACCTAAAGATTATCTGACATCACAATTTAAAATAAAAAAGATAATAATAATAAATTTCTTGATTATTTATTTTTAATATTTTTATTTTTATCCAATTAAAAAGTCACTCTATATATAAAAACTTAATTTTTTTGCCAAAATCAAATATAAAATCCTTTAAATTCGAAAATATCCTTTCTTAAATTCAATATTCTAACTTAAAATCTCATATAAAGAAAGATTTTCTTATCCTTAAATTGTTATTACAAAAATATAGGTTTTATAATTTAATTTATAATAAATTTTCAAGTTCTCTTTAAATCTTTTTTAGTAAAAATAAAAGCTATAAATATTTATTGTTACTGTTAATAATTAAATAAAGAAAAATAATCAAATTGAATTATGAAAGTAAAATTTTAATTTTTTTCCGTAATTACTAAAATTAAGTTCAAAATTGAAGTTTTTCTTAAAAAAAAAAGAATGTAGCATTTTTATCTTTTCTATTAAATACCTATTTTCTACAACAGACAAAAAAATGGTTGAATTAATTGAGGGGTTGTTTTTTTGTTATAAATTATTTTTTAGAGAGTAGAGATGGAAAAATGAAATAAATCTTTAATTTATGAATTGAATGTGTCAATTATATATTTGCTTTTAGAGTAATTTTGATCTTCTTTTATATACTAGAGTCTTCATCGAATAGGTTGTTAGACATAATTAAATAATTTATTTTATATTATGAATGATTAGAAACCTTATTTAATCTTGGAGCATCCACATGCACAAAATCCTGTTTTAAGTTTCAAAAACAAGACTTTGTCCAATAATGAGAAAATATGGATCTCTCATATTAAAATAAAAAATCCAGTAGAAAATAATCAGTATATTTTCAATTAATATTTTTTAAGAAGTCTTGCTTTCAAAGTTATGTCAACAGCTGCAGAACAAATCAGATCTTATCCATTTGTGGGAATATTAAAAGCAGGAGAAAGCAAAACAATTAAATTGATTACAAAAGAACATGTATTTGAGAGTATCTACTAATTATCATTTTAGAGGCTGTTAAAGTTAAAATAGTCTCAATGAATATTGACAAACCTTAAGAAATAAAAGACTAATATGAAATTATGGATTAATTTAAATTGCTTAAGGACCAGATTAAAGATCTACCTTCAATCTTCCTTCAAGTATCAGATTTTATTTAATCTGAAACAGTCTCCTATGTAATACCTTAAAAGTACTAATAGTGAAAGCTTACTTTACCTAGTGATAGAAGAATTTTCATGTGTAATTCACATATTTCATAAATCTAAAATGGAGATATTACTCCTACATCAGTTGTAATGAAATCTATGGTTAGTTAAAGAAAGTAAAAGGATTCTTTATAAATATCCTAAAACCTTTAAATGGAATAAACTATTGGGAATCTTCAGGATCAATAATAAAAACTTATTAATGAGACAAGAGAATTAAATAAATAGATAGTTCTTTTTAAAGCTAAATAAAATATTCCTTTTGAAGAAGAGAAAGATGAATAAGTTAAATTTACTTTATTTTAATTATTTGTAATTGCCTTTATCAGCCTATTGATAGGGTTTTATATGCCTGAATTTTGAACAAACTATTTTATATTAAAACATATTTATTTTCAATTTCAAACTTGAATAAAACAATTTTTTATATGATTTATATATATTTCAATAGAGAAAAGTTAAAGAAATTTATTTAAATTTTTAAATAGATTTTTAGAATTAAGATCAATAGAAATACTATTAATTCCTTTACTAGTTATTCAAATAAATTTTAACATTTAACATTCATTTTTCTATTATCAAAATTATTTTAATTATCTATGTGTTTAAAATATATTTTTTGGCTTAAAGTAATCTCTTTTTTTGCTTACAAAATATATCGTTATTATATAAACAGCTTTTAATATAACTTAAAATTAACAGATTAGGTAGTATAATTAAGAATATATAGGGAAAAAAATGTATTAATCAAATTTCAGGGGAAAATTCATGTTTATTTGAAGATTAATTTTTTAAGATTGACCGAGAGGGGTTTCCATTTTTTTGGTTTTGAGTGAGAATTGGGTTTATCCAATTTATATCTTTGTATGCCATTAATTTTTATATCGTTTTTCTTAATTAAATGACATTTTGCCATGGCTTATAATTACAAACAATTATTTTTTCGTTAAACGATATTTTGGTGCTATTTAACTCAAATATTTCATCGTTTGGCTCATCTTCTATAATTTATTTCTAATTAAGACTAAGAGGAGTCATTTGTTTCATCTTGAAATTTGGAGATTATTCTTGCATTGAATATTTTTTATATTTATAGATTTAACATACATCTGAATTTTCTATAATTAAATAAAAATTTCAAATAATGCGTATTATCTAAAATCTATACGCATTTCGTAATATAGTTTTTAGATAGTAATTTGATGTACGTATTATCATTTTATAAAAATCGAAAAAAGTAGATTTATACATTAAAACTGGAAAAATATAAAATTTTATCGATTTTATTATAAGGTGACAAATATACACATCTAAATATAAATGAATGTAAGAAATAAACATATTGTTAATAATGATAAATATTAGAAGATTACTTTAATTTTATAGGTAAAATGAATTATCAATAGAGCAATATCATTATTCACTTAATCCCCAGATTTCAAGTATTTAAATACTAAAATCATTAGAGGTTGTTAAAATTTCATTTTTATATGTTTCACATTAATTTGAGTTACCATGCATCAAAGAATGATTAACATATAAACCAAACTTTTCTCCACATCCAACAGCTAAACCGTCTGTCTCACAAAAAATAAAATAATTATTTGTTTCTTTCCAATTATAGGTTTTGAAATCATTTTACTAATATATGATAAAAATAATTACTTTAAAAGTCCAAAGAAATGTTTCTCCATTACCAAAAAATTTGCCAAATGTCAATTATGGGGATTCATTTAAATAAGCTCCAAATTTACATTCATTAAAATCTTTGATTGCTAAAATTAATGGAGAATGGTTTTCACAATTATTAAGCAATGTTTAGAATGAAGATCCATGTATGACATTTGAAAATATTAATTTCCAATCAGATGTTTTAAAAATTGATGGAACATGTGCAATGATCTAAAATATTAATAATAGTAATTACTTAGATTATTTCATCATTATCTAAAATTTAAGATTCAGAAACCATTTGTGGAATGAAATCCTATCCTCCCCAAAGTTGATTAGTTCTTTCTATAAACTTTTAAGTTAAATTTGTATCTTAAATATCATAAAATGGAATGATTGTTAAATCCTATTCCTTCTTTTTTTATTCATCTAACATTCTTTCTGACTTAGTTTTGACAACATCAGCCAGTGTTTCACAAAGATCTATACTTTAAATTTTGAATTCTTTTTAATCATCATCATTTTATATCTAAATTATTGAATACTTTTACTCTGAAAGTTAAAATAGGTAATACTTCTAATAGTTTTTTACAAGAAACATTTGCACTAATGTGTACCATCACTAAATAATCTTTAAAACATTTAGAACTAGATTTTGCTATTCTCATAGGTAATTCGTTTAAATCAACAGATATTACATCCTCTGTCATTAAACATGCTTAAAAATTCAGAATACTTTATTCTAAAATATTTAAGTAAGTCTTATACTCTGACATTTTTAAACTAATTCTTTGTTTCTATCAACAAAGCTAGGATCAAATAATATAACATCACTATTAACTGTTAATACACCTTCTATGCATCCATAATTAGTAACATAATAAACATTGACTTTTATTTAAAAATAACAAATACATTTTTTTGTTTATCCTCTTGACATGATTTCATCCATTAAGTTTCTTCCATAAAATGAAGACTAATTAAATTACAAATCGTTTATTTCACTCTCTTATATATAAGTTTGACTTTGTTCTTAATTGACAGCAGGAACTTTTATTCTCATTCCAGGGACAAAGCACTCTGGAGATATTTCATTTATTTTTAAAATTCTGTTCTAACTTTCTTATAAACTTTATGATTACTTGATATTAAATTTTAATTCTAATCCAAATAAAGTATCATCTTCTTATACAATATAATCTACTAAGTTTGTCTCTTCTTATTAAAATTTTAATTGCTAGTCATAATTATTTAAATAAATATCCTCTATGTCCTATAATTTAAAATCTAATTTATCAATAACAAGAGACCTATATATTCTTGTTCTTCTCCTTTTGTCCATTTCTCATAAAGAGGGAAATATTCATTTGAAGTAAATTCAAAAATAAATGTTTCGAATTATTAATCAAGCTTCGGATCTTTAATTTCAGTATTTTTGTTTTCCTAAATTAGTTCAAATATTTTACAGATGATCCATAAAAATAACTAAAAATATTTTTCATTAATAATAATAATAAATTTTAGTATAAAAAAATAAAAGTTGACTCCTTTTACAAATCCATCAACACATAGTTTCATCTATAATATATTGGTTTAATAGAATCAATTAATCATAAATAAAAACAAATTAGTACTATGAATGAATTACAAAAAATATTAACTCTCTAAATATTAATAGCAATTTTGATATTATTATTATTTATGTATTGATACTATATCAATGATGGTGATGACCATGAGTTTTAGGTGTAGAATTTCCAGTTTTAAAGTATCCTAAAACTTGTGCTGCCTTCAAATAATTAGTGCCTTAACATTTCTTATCTAAACAGAATTAAACATACTCTTTTTCTTAAATTTTGAAACATGTTCTATAACACAATTCTTAATAATATAAATTCACTTACTATCTTCCCAATTATTATCGTGGAGATATTAATTTCTAAGCTTATCCTAGATTGTTTGTTATTAAACTGGGTAATCAGGTTGATCTTCCAAACCATGAAATGATGATAATAAATCGAAGAAATGGATGTGTCCTTTATGAAATACTTCAGGATTTTAAGGTGTATAAGCTGTTGAATTTGATCTCATAATTATTTTTATTATTAATATATATATATATTTAATACTTATCTCTCAAAGTCTTTTTTCAACAATCATTAAACTTACTATATTATTTAAATCTACCTTAAAAAATTTTAAAATAGATCCACTTTAGTTTTATTTAATATTTACATATTTGTTTGTACTTATATGTCTAATATTAGTAAATAAATATATATTTATTTCATGAAAACCAAGATTATGTCATTATTTCTAAAAAGAGAGCATCTTATTTTATTATCAAAAATGCTTTAATTAAGTGAAAATGTTACAGAATTAGATGGTCAAATTTTAAAACTTGATATTCAAAACTAATAAAGTGAAAATAAAATATTAAAAACTGAAAGATGGCCATAATTGGATTTAGAATATTTTCAGAATAATTTTCTGTAAATTGCAAACTTATCCTTTTCATACTTCAAATTGCACTTTCCAGTTAACTCTGCAATCCACATCAAAGATCACATCAAATTTATCTAGATTTTAAAGTAAATTAACTATGGAGGTGTAACAATTGAAGATGTATTCAAGCAATAGAGAGTATACTTATTAATCTTAATCTTTAGTCACGTCTTTAATTAGAAGTATCTAGAATAACAAAAGCAATTAAATCTATAGATGAACCTATAATGCCTAAAATAATGAATTATAAAATTGATATCTAATAGATATAAACTATCTAAGATAGATACTTTTATCCAAAGAATTAGGATTTCATGAATCCTTACTTAATACTTAATTTAAAAATGCCAATGCCTAAATTAAATGCAAGACCTCTCAATAAAGAACTGTATTAAAGTATTACAAGTTTAGAAGATATACCATCTTTTTAATTTATGAATTCAACTCTCATTTAACCAATTCTGAATTACGACATACTCAAAAATTCATTTGATTATAAAATGAATAAACTTATGTAACGAAACCAACAAATTCAATATACTATAAAAAGATATTAATAAACAATAAAAAATTATGATAATGTTGATGATAACATTTAAGATAATTCTTTTAAAGAAATTAAAAAATTATTCTGTTCCTCTATTAAGTAAATTTACCAAAAAAAGATCAAGGAAATTAATATTGATTAAAATTACTAAATTACAAAAACATAAATTGATGAACAAATCTCATAAAAATCTAGTCAACATCTAACAGAAATTCTTAAATAAAGTGAATCTGTTCTTGATAATCCTATTTAATAGAATGAACAATAATATTAAGTGATTCAAAAATGTTCTAAATGTAATGAAATATCTCGTGAGTAATCTCCAAATTTATCGAATCGTTCACCAAAGCTACTTTCATTAAGAATGACTCCATAAGTATTTTTAGAATCATCTTACTAATAAACCTAATCTTAAAAATTACTACCAACAGATGAGTCAAATTAATTAAATTAAAGTCCCTTAAAAACAGTATTAAGAAATAAATATTCTTTTAAATCTTATGATCTTTAATAATCTCTTATTCTAAGTCCAAGTACTTTAAGATATCCAAAAAAAATATTATCATATCAAAAATTCTCAACATAAAATTAATAAAACATTTAAAATAATTCAAATACAAAAGTATTATTAGATCTACCAATTCAAAGTTCAGAAAATTTAGAATAATCAATTGAAACTCAAATTATAGATACATAGAAACCTATTTTAACTAGTAGAAATATATAAAAAACATCTCTAGATAAAATTCCATTGAGACCTATAGCAGTTTAGTCAATTAGATTAAAAAAATTAAAAGATAAAAGAGTTGATAAAAAAGAAAAAGAAACATCATTTCCTTATGTGAAAGAATCTTTACCAAAAGTTTAAGAAGTATTTTTATTTTAAAAAAATAATACAATGAGAAATCAGTTATAAAATCAATTAATATTATTGACAAGATCTGAATAAATTTTGACTTCTTTAATTTCAAATGGATAACTTAGAGGATCAGAACTTTATTAATAATTATTATAACCAATAAAATTAACGACCAGTTAAAAGTTTTTGAGTCCTAAAAGCAATACTTTAATATCTAGAACAAAATTTAAGAAAATATAATTAGAAACAAAGATGTTTAATTTGAAATGATTAATTGTTAATTGTTAATACCTAATTTATGATAATTAATTTTATATATATTAATAAATAAAAAAATGAAAACAATTTCTTTGATTCCTTCTACAGATTAAGTAGTAACAGGATAAACATGGATTGGTGGACCAACATATGAATTATAAAAATAACATGTTCCTGGATATGCTGGACATGTAAGAGGATTAAAAGCTGGTGTTAATATAATATATTTTAGAATCATAATATGGAAAACCTTTTGCAAAGATAACAGCTGAGTGTATGGAAGATAGATTAGCTAGATGTACAAATTCTGAAGAGAGAGAAAGATTATAAACAAGTTATAAGATTGAGTTTGGAGTATCTATTTAACAGTTATATAGGAACCCAATCTAAGAAAACCACAACTATAAACCGCAGCTGAAAGAATTTTAGAAGATGCTTGTAGATAAGAAAAAGCTATTAATGATAGAAATTATCGTACCTATTAGTATTTCTTCCCTTTTTTAAATTTTAGATCAATGCCTAAAACAATTAATGATATACCTCCAATAGATAGATTACCAGTTGTTGGTTATTAAGGATTTAGACCAGTTTTTAGGCATCCATTAAAATAAGTTGTTCCTCCTGAAAAACCTTAACCTTATGTACATCCTTTAAATTAAATGGAAAAAGAAATGGCTAAAACTATGCTTGAAACTAATGATAAATTCAGATAAACTGTATTTAACATTCTTATATATAGTATGAAACACCAAAACCACCTATTGTTGGATATACTGGATTTATGACTGGTATTAAAGCTGAGAATATGTATGGGGAATCCTATAAAGATATTAGTCATTAAGTTTTATAAAAAAAGTAAAGATGAATATTATAAATCTATTTCATATTATTCATTCTAAATACTGATTTCTGAAATTTAATTATACATTCTCAAAATGGGCATCAAAATCTATAATTTTCCAATGAAGACCTGCTTTTAAACAATCTTCAATAATCTTCCATTCTAAAGTACTTGAAGAATTAATCACATATTTCATATTTTCATTCAAAGAAACAATCTTAATATTTACAAATTCCTACTTTAGCATTCAATAAAAGAGAATCATCCAACTCTATTTGTGAAATTCTCATCAAAATTGCTTATTTTTAATTTATATTTTGTAACATTTCTTAAGCAATCTCACTCATAATACCTCTGGAATTCGCTCTAGCCTCATAGATACCAATTATCTTTATATCACTTTGCAATTCACTTTATATCTAATTTTATTATTTACATATTCATTTACTATATCCAATGATACTTCTAAAATATTTAAACTAACTCTTGAATGGAATAAAGGATATGCATCAACAATACTAATATTTTTATCATTAATTTTCCCAATCAAAATTCCTACATCATTTAATTAATCCATACCAATCACATCTTCAGTTGAATATTTACAAGCATGTAACATTGCCTTTTTATATACAATTTTCTGAATATCAACACTCACTTATTCTAATTATTAATCCATAAATATATTTTATTTAATTTTTTTAATTATTTTACAAAAGAATAGCTTATTCTCATATTTATAATATGCAACTATTTTCAACTGTTCTCTTTTCTAAAGTGAAAAATTTCTTAAAATTAACTTTAAAATTTATTAAATACTAATTCCCTAAACTTAATCAAATTATTGTATTACTCTTCTTTTTAAATTTAGTATTAAATCAATTAAATAAATCAAATCAAGGTTATTTAAGCATTTTTATTTTATACAATCTAAGATAATTAAATATAAATCAATAATTACTCAATTTAATATTAAAAATTTGTAAAATATTATAAATTTACTACAGACTCTATATTATGCAAGTTTTCAATTGAGATTTAAGAAAGATCATATTTTTATAAATCTCTCACATATGGTTTTATCTTTTATTCTTTTTTTGTAAATATATTGGAAAGATAGAGATATAATTTTAAAATTTAAATTTACAATATAAAAATAATGAAAAAATATTGAGGCAAGTAGAATAATAAATAGTTTACTTATGATTTTAAATAAATTAATAAAATTTGTATTAAATAGTAATATTTTAATTTAAAAATGGTAATTTGAAATGAATTTTTTTAAGGAATCATGAATTCTTTTTAGTAATCAAGAATAAAATGTTTTAATAAAGTAGAGTTTAAGGTTTTTATATTCATAATTCTTATTTTTTTTAACAGTTTAATAATTTATAAATTTAGTTTAATTTTAATTATCATCTTTGTTATTCCAAAGTATCTTAACTTTCTTATTAATAATAAAAAATAATTAAGAAAAAGTATCTTAACTTTCTATTAATAATAAAAAATAATTAAGAAAATTATAATATAGAAAATATCTTGCATTCATAAATAATTAATACATATATATATATAATATAGGTATGTGGAGGAATTTGAATTCAAATTCAATGTTAACCATTCCGAACAGGTCTTATTCTCAATCTGATAGATGAGATTGTGGCATTCTAATTCTTCTCTATTCTATGGTTTTTTTGAACATGTCCTCCAAGACTACGAAAATAAGGAAAAATCTTAAGACAATATCCACATTCGTATACGTATTCTTATTATTATTAGAAATTTTAGTTTTTAATTATGAAGTTGTCTTTTTTAGTTTTAGTTCTTACCTATTAAGGATCTTTATCTACATCACATGAGCATTCTCTTTTTTAAGTGGAATCTGAAAGGTTCAGGTAACAAAATATATTGTCTCCACTTAAGTCAGCTTAAATTATTGACTCTTAATCTACTCTTGAGTTGAGAGTTAATTTAGATATTTAGAGAGAATTTAAATCTTCACTTTCTATTTATCTAACGAATTGAGTAGAATTCATATGTTTAATTATGAAAAAAAAAGTTCTTTATACAGTATTTATAAGGTAATAAAATCTTTTTATTCAAAAAGTAAAGGCGCGTAAAAAATTCCATTTTAGGTATCCTCACTAATGTAAAGTTAATTTTGTAGCCAAAAACTCAAATAGGGTCTTTAATATGGTAAAATTTTATTTAGTTCACCATGGAATGTTTTAAGAACTATTTGTTTAATATAAATGGATATTTTATATGGAACCTTAAATATGTATGTAATCTTAAAAGACATCTTTAACAAGTTTGATAAAGGCTACTGTAACTTTATGTTTTTTTAGTATCTTTGTTCATGTTTTCTAATAATTTTCAAGTAAGTGCTCTTCAATTGTTTAGAAATAATGATTAAATGAGATTAAATAATCAAAATTATCTTTTTTATACAATTATTACTAATAATTGTATAAGAAGGTTCTTATGATTCAATAAAAATCAAATCTTGATTATTAAGGTTGGATGATCAATCTAATGAGTATCATTAATTAATTTCAAATCATAGATTTATTTATTCACAATTTATTTTGATTCTTAGGGAAATTATAATATCTGTAATTATCCCCACCATTTGTTGAAACCTCTTATTTTTCGTAAATCGAATTTGATTAAAAATTTTTCAAAGAATTTATTAAGTATTTTACTTTTTATCAAAGATAAACTTATTGTTTAAATATATAAAAAAAGAGCGAAATTGATTCACCTTAATATTAGTTTTCTTCATGAATTCTAATTACAGATCTTAAAGAAATGGTGCTTAATAAGTAATGATTAAAAATATCAGAGTGGAATTTGGAGTAACTTTAAAATTTAAATTTAAAAATCTAAAATGACTGTCATTGCATTTTATTTCTAATAAAACTATAATATTTGTCTTAATCTAACAGAATATAAAGAATGTTCTTAAAGATAGATATAAAAATAAAAAAGAAGGATTTTAAGAGTATATACAAATTTTTAGAAGGAAATTTTTTTAAAATTGGAACTTAGAATAAAGTTTAAATTGATAAATTGAATTCTTGTATAATTTATTCTTTAGATTCTCTTATTATTTATTAAATGATGTAAAAATTTGAAACTAAATTTGATCATATTATTTTCTTTTTTTCAAAAAACTACAATCTTTCGCTTAGATGACGACTATGTTTAGTTGATGAACCAGAAGATTATTCAGTGGAAGTAGAATGATTTCCTTAATGAAATTCATATCCTTAAAATTAATCTATCATAATATTTATAAGGACTACCTTAAATTATTTAATCTCTCAAGACTAAAATATTTTATTAAATTAGTTCATTATTTTCTTCATCTTCAACTATAATTTATTTTTAATCAAAATTATCTTCTGTTTACTTAAAAGATAAGATAGAAAATGTACATTAGGAATGAAAGGAGGCACCATAGTTTGATTTTACAATTTATCCCAAGCAAATTGAGCAAACCATGGATGTTCTTTAAGTTCTTAACTTCCATTAAAACCTAATCTATTTTATGGTTTTCTTTGAAGAAGCTAATTAATTTAATAACTAAACTACTTTATTAATAAAATCAACTGCTTCTAATGACCAATCATCAGGTATTTCATTTCTTTTAATTTAAACTTATTTAGCTAAGATTTAATCTCTAATTTCTTATCTTGATCTTCCAACATATGGTCTCTAAATTATAATTAAATGATTACTCTTCCAATCATAAATTCATAAGCAATAACTCCAACAGCAAAATAATCAACTGCAAAAGTATGATTTTATTTACACATAACTTCAGGTGCTAATAATATAATTAATATAATATACCCATATATCCAGGAGTACCACTAGTATCACAACTATTTTCAGGTTTCATTATTCTAGCAATACCAAAATCTGTTATATGAACATAACCTTTTTCATCCAACACCAAATTCTCTGGTTTGATATCTCTATGAATAATCTTATTTGAATGTATATATTCTAATCCTTATATAATACAAGCTATAAAAAATTCTTTATTTTATTTTTGCATTAATACTTGTCGAGTTTTCATCAAATCTTCTCATTCTTCCTATATGATATCTAAGATCTCCACCTTTCATATAATCCATCAATAAGTATAGATTTTCTCTATCTTAATAAGCAAAGTTCATATTAACTAACATTGGATGCTTTAATTAGCTTAATAATGTTCGTTCATTCATTACTGAATGTACACTTTTTTTGGTAACAATTCTAATTAACATTGAATCTATACAATGCTTTTGACATTTCTTTCATGGCAAATATTTAACCTGTTTTTTTGTGTTCCACTTTCCAAACTTTACCAAATCCACCTATTCCAATTACAAACTCAAAATTAAATGTATTTCTGCAAAATAACAATTCTTGTTGGATCTTTGGGGAAGTAGTATTATGTAGTAAGTCTTTAAAATTTACAAACTGTTAACTCTACAATTTTATATGCTTTTTTGGTATTTATGATTTAGAGTCAGTCGTTACTTTTGCTATTTCTCTAGCTTTTGCAAGTAAAACTTATATCTGTTAGCTATTTACTGACTATACTATTTAAACCAATTTACCTCATTTATTTTTGTTGATTTTATTAATCGTGTAAGGTTTGTGACATCAATCTGAGATCCTTTGTGGCTATGTACATTTTTCAAACTATTCAGTCCTGAAGCTACAGGAGACACTTATTAACTTGATGGAACTATTATAGGACTTCTAAAAGTAGACAAACTATTTTGTTTGAATTTTCGTTAACTTGTCGAATTAAGTAGCATTTTACAACAATTAATATATTTATTTATTTACAAACAATATTTATTATTTATTCACATATTAATACTAATTAAACCTAGTCTCTATAAAATATCAATCTTTTAATATCTTACTGAGATATCAAATATTTAAGATTCTCTATATGAAATCATCAATATCAATCTTATATTAAATATTACAAGAATAATATTAATAAAGAAAAAGAACTAAGTATATAAATTAATTCCTCTTTTAACAAATGCTTGTTGAGTGTTAAATAGATTTATGCAAATACAATAAATTTCAATATAAATAAAATTACAAAAAATGAAAAGTTTAATTATTTTTAGTTATAGACGTAAATGGTTACATCATGAAATATAATTTAAAAAATCTTCAAAATACATGAAAATACATAATATATAATATGATCAACTAATCTGAATTTGCAGATAAAAGTAAAAAATCGCATACGCTTCATGAGAGTACAAGAGCTATGTCGAAACTTTCTTTTGCTTAGGATGGAAAAAAGCAATCTTCTCTTTCAACAATTTTTGGAATTACTAATTCAATGGTTGGATCACTTTGTTTAGTAATCCCATAGGTTTTCTAACAATGTGGAATAATAACATGTTTAATAGTAATGGCAATTTTGTGTTTAGTTCAATATAAAACATGTCAGATAATGATTATTCATTAAAAGGAAGAAGAATTAGATAGCGAACATATGATTAAGAGATTGTTAGGCAAATCTTGGGTAAATTAAATTTAATAATGTTAGACCTAAGCTTTCAGAGTTACATCAGGAACATTATTATTTATAGTTGGAATAATTTATTTTTAATTAATAAATTTAACACTCTACCCGATTTTAGTTTTGATATTTGAAAAAAGTAATTATACAAATTATGCTAAACCTTCAGATGGCATAACTTTTAATTAATTTTCAATATAATGGTAATCAATAATAATATTTTTACCATTGGCATCAATGTTATTGATAAAAGACATCACTAAAATAATAAAATTTGCTCATTATGGTGTAATAGCAATTGTATGCTATTGTATATTTATTATATATATCTTTTCAATCAATATGTTAAAAATAAATGAATTTAAAGGGGATATAACATGGTTTACTTGGAATTTCATTTAACCAGCTGGATAATTTGCATTTGGTTTTATGGTACATAATTCTGTTGGGTAATTGATTAAAAATAACGCAAACAAAACTAATAATTCTCGTGATTTATTGATATCTTATGGGATTGCAGCTGTTATATATGGAATCATAGGTACATTTGGGGCAATAGGAATTATGGGTAAAACGGCAATAAATCCATCAACTATATTGGATTTTTTCTCATCAACGGATTATGCAGTCTTATTTATTGAAGGCTTATTTTTAATTCATTTAGTAGCAGCTTTTCCAATATTTCCATATATTAGTATTTATTAAATATTGGAAACATTCTATCATAAGGAATATCCATAAAAGTTTTAATGGGGTTTGAAGATTTTATTTATTTGTTCATGCTTAATTGTTCAATTATTTAACATAAATGTTGGAATTGTTATTTCATTTGATGGAGCTGTATGTGGATTTCTTTTAGTTTATGTAATACCTATTTACATGCATTTTCAATGTTATTATGGAAATAAAAAAAATGTTAGAGATGCATTATTAAATCATGATAATTGCGTAAAACACAAGAATATAAACTAATTTTCTCTTCCTTTTAGAGTCATAATTTACTTTGTTATTCTAGCAATAGGCATTTTTAATATGATAATATTCTTTTATGATTTTTTCAAGTGAATGATAATATGATAATATGTACTTATATTTAATTTTAAATAATTCTTTATGGTAGTCAAAATGCCACCTTTGGATAATCTATTTTCATTAATTAGTTTTTTTTATTATTAATCGTATATTTTAAATATAATCAAAATTAAAGGTTTAGTTTTATTAATTGTTATTTGATGGAATAGTCACTTATCCTTAGCTTGGGTAAGAATAGCTGATTTTTAAATAAATTTTTAATATGATCTGAAAATATTGATATACTTTTCATTCATTACACTTATTTATCAAGTATATGTAAAAAATTGAATTATGAATTCTGAACGCAATAAATTATTATTTTATATTAAATTATTTAATATATGTCTAAAATTAAGCAAAAGAAAAAAGCCAACATTAAACATACAATTGACAATGAAAATGATCATGAAGATTAATTAAGTTATAATTCAATCGATGATGAATAATATTTAAATCTTTTGTAAGGTCATTTGCCTAAATCTCATAAAATTGATATAAATTTAGGATAGAAATATTAGGGCAAAAAAGCAAACAATGAAAGATAAAATTAAAGTGAAGAGGATTTATAAAATGAATCTATTAATAGTGATGAAATTCCAGAATTTATTGAAAGTGAACCTGATCAATCTGAGGATGTTGATGATTTAAAGGAAAAGAAAATTGTAAATGAAAAGGTTAAAAGGAAATAAAATTAGACAAGATTTTAAAAAGAATTATAAGAAATTGAAAAGGAAGACTTAGAGATGATAGAAAAGTAAAAGGAAAATAAAAAAGAATTGAAGGAAGTTGCTGAATAAATAAAAGAATAATAATAAATTTGGGGAAATCTTGTTGAAATTAGAGAATGTAATTTATGTTTAAATAAATATTTTAGAAATGTAAAAAACATTAGATGCTGCTAAAAAACTTCCTATTCAAAATAAGGAATTTGTATCTGAAATACAAAAATCAAAAGAATCGAAATTAAATGATTTGAATTGTCAATTGTTAAATAATATTACAAATTTGTAAAATTTATATTCATCCTTATACTAAATAGATTAGATTAATGTTAAAGATGATGGATATGATCTTAATTCTTTTAAAAAAATAAATGAAAAATTCCAAGATTCTACTAAAGTAATTGAGGAAGATATTATAAGATGGAGTTCAAAATCAGCTTTACTATAATCAATAAATAAAGATAATAAATCATAAATGGGATTTTTACTTTTAACACCTATTGGATAATCAAAAAAGGCATTATAAAATATTGAAAAATTAAGATAGAAAACATAATTAAAGAGATAGATATTCAGAATTTTAGGTGAGGAAGGTTCTGATTTAAATGAAACTAATAATAAACACATATTTGATGATACAGATTTTTATTTAGATTTGTTGAAAGAAACAATTTCATTTAATAATTAAAATACAGCTGAAGAGGCATTAAAAAAAGAGACTGAATAATTTATATTAAAAAGATAAGCTCAAAGATAAGAAAAGGAAAATAAAGTTGTTGATAGAAAGGCATCTAAAAATAGAAAAATTAGATTTGAACCACATTAAAAAATTATCAATTTTACATCTAGAATTGAACTTCCTGTTGAAATGATATCAAGAGAAGATATTATTAAAAATTTATTTGGTTTAGCTTCAACAAATATTGAACCTTAGATTTAGAAGAAAAGAAAGCAAAGTCTTCATGATGTTAATTTGATATGATGCTGTGTTTATAAGCTTATGCCTTTTTATAAATAAAATAACTCTAAAAATTATATCTATGAGTCAGTTTGAAATAAATTCACAATCTTAGATTCCATTTCAAGAAAGAAGCAAACTAAATTCAAATCGATAATTAGGGACTCCTAACACTTTAAATGGATAAAATCCAAAAATTCTAGAACCAAATGAGTAATGAGATATTTTTTAATTTAAATAGATCCATTCCTTAAAGATCTACATAAACAAATAAGTATTAGATGTTTTAAATTTAAGTTAAGGAAACTAATAAATAAGTTCTTAAATGTCTTAATAACCACAATTTAATTATCCACTAATGGGTCAATAAACTATGTAAGATCAAGAACAATTAGAGTAGATATAAAAATTAACTAAAGAAAACGAAACATTAAAGTAAGAATATAACTTAATTAGATATTAATGGAGAGCATTAGAATAGGAAAACTTAAAATTAAAAAATGATAAGTATATTTTATCTCATGAATAATTTTAGCATTTAATTGAATTCTAGAGACAAATCCAATATTAATGAAATCTAAGAATTAAAGTAAAATACTTTAGAATATAATTAGAGACTAGATATTGATTTAACAAAATGAAAATAAAAGATTAAAAAATACTGTTTAAGAAGATTAATATTTATTGATAGACTTATAGAAATTAAGGAAATAAGTAGAGTATAATAGAGGTCTAGAAAATTAGATGTCAGATTTAGAGTAATAATTAGCAATTGTTAGTAAATAATTGTAAGAATAAAAAAGATAGAATGCTTTTTAAGAATCTGAAATTCAAAATTAAAAGGAGATATTAGAAAAATATAAAACATAACTTAGAGATCAAACTTTGGCATTTGAATCATAAGTCTAAAAAAATGAACAATTATTAAACGATAACAGAAAAATGAAAACGGCTTTAGATTAAATAAATAAAGACTTACAATAAGAATAGGAATCGAATTAAATTTTGAATCAAAAAATAAATCAAATCTAAATAAGAGTTAAAGATTAAGTAAGTAATTTGTAACAAAGTTTATCTACACTTAATTATCAAAATGAATAATTGAAAAATTAAATAACTTAATTATAGTAAAAAGAGAAAGACCTTTAAATTTCATAAAATATGAATGTGTAGTAAGAAAATAAAATAAGATAGATGAATCAATAATTAAGTGAATGTATTTTATTTCTCTATATTAAGAATAGAGATAAATTGAATAAAATAATGGAATCATTTCTAATGGAAAAATTGAATATACAAAATTGGCTAATAAATGCTAATAATAGGATTAGGAAATTTGGAAATTAAAAGAACAAATAAATTCAATGAATTAATAAAATTCTTTAATATCAAGTAAATGTAGTTAGTTGGAAAAAACTATGGAAGATAATTTATAAAAATCCTAAAATTTATCATAAGATTTAAAGGGTTAACTAGAAAAATGGAAAAACTATAGCATCTAATTAGAATAGGAAGTAAAGAAAAGAGAGTTGGCTTTAGGGAATTTAGAAAATGATTACATAAAGACTGATACTCAATTAAAATAAGTATTAGAATAATAAAATTAATTAAAAAACGAAAGAACTATTTAATTAGGAAAATTAAAAGAAATGCATACTGATTTATTAGTTTATTAAAAAAAATGTGATTAATAAGAAAGAGGTAATAAATTAATATAGTATTAGATATTATAACACTTGAGACTTAAATTAAAGGTTTTTAATAACATTAAGAAAGATTAGATCATGAGAAACAGATACTTAATCAAGAAATTAAATAATTAATGGAAGATTTACGAAGAATATAAAATTAATATGATTTGAAAGCTAGAGATTTTGAATCTTTGTTATAGAAACATGAATCAGAAACGAATTTAAGAAATAGAGATATTTAAAATTTTAGATCTTAAAATGCATCTTTAGCAGAAATGAATAATGCTTTAGAACATGAATTGGCAAGAGAAAGAGTAAATTTAATATTTATATTATTAGGAAAAATAATTAAAATTAGATTCTAAGGTTAGAAATTTAGAAAATGAACTTCATAATCTCAATTTTTAACAATCACTTAAATAGTAATATTCTTTAAATACTGAACCTCAGTTAAATTTGGGAAATTAGAAACCTTAATTAATAGAATTAAATCAAGGTTTTCAATCTCCATAAACAAATTATTAAGCACTTAATTCTCCTTAGTATCATCAATCTGGAATAAAAGTTTAATCCAACCAAAAGCCTACAGAAGTTTCTAATTCTCAAATAACAAGGAAAAATTATGATTTGAGGTTCTAAAATTAACCTTAAAATTAATTATATTGATAATATAAGATTGTTCAATTATATAATCATTAAAATTTAAACGAATTTAAAAAAATAATTTTCAAAAAATGATTTAATTCAACTCTGTCATTATTCATTAATAAGTTAACATTTTACAATAATAAATTATTCAACTATAAAATTAATTGAAATAGAATATAAACTTAAAATAGTAAAAGAAGGAATATATGTTTTTAAAAATGAGAACAATTATTTAATAGAAAAAATTCTCTTTTCAAAATAGAATGTCAAAATTTAATAAGTAAGCTATAATTTTGAAGTAATCTACCAATATATTGAATAAATTAAATGTTAATCTCTGAAAATTTATAAAGTTAAGAATATTAAGAAATTTAATTGTTATTATAAAACAATAAAATTTATTGTCTAATTAAAATGCTATCACAACAAACACTTTAAATGTTTAGAAAATACCTTGAAGATTTTATAAAATTCGAAAATGAGGTTGAGAATAAGAGAGAATAATTAGCCCATAATATATATTTTGAACCATACACAATTTTTAGTAGATTAGATTGTAAAAAGTATTTGAAAGATGATTAATAGGATCCTTCATATAGATATCAATGACCTTAAAAATTTTTTTTCAGATAATGGTCTAATAGATTGTGATGATGATTTATTATTAATGATTAGAAAATTAGACATTGATAAGGATCAATATATATCATTTAGCGAGTTTTAATTTAATTTATAATTAGGTTTTCGAGATACATTTTACCTCATAGAGATTAAGAATTAAATTGTTTGGCTAATAATAGATAATCTTATCATCTTCATGAAAATAATTTACCAATATTAGTTTAGAAGCAATTAATGTAAGTATTTTAAGCAGAAATTGAATTAAATAAGAAAATGTTTAATTAAATTCAATAGTTAAAAGGATAACCAGATTGGAATACAATAGCTATATGGGAATCACTAAGTTCTTGTAGGAGATGGGATATAAAAATGTAAATTAGATAGATTAATTATATTAGTTTACAATAATTTTTTGATTAATCTTAATTGCTTTATAATACTAAAGATTTAGAAAATTTTATATATAGAAATAGTAAAGAGAGAGATTATAGAATAAATTATTCTGATTTTTTATATTTGATATTTGCTCATGAGGAGGAAAATAAAAATTATACATTTTGCACACCTCCAAAAAATAAAAAATAGATAAATTAAAAAAAGTCTAATTTACAACCTTAGACAAATTTTAGAACTGATGAATCTACAAATATAAAATCTGATAAGTTAAATTGGAATAAATAATCATAAAGTCATCATTAAGATGGACAAAGACATGATGAAGTAGAAGTAAGTGAATTTAGAATAAATGAAAATGAAGATGAAGATTAGAATATTCTGGAATTATTACTAAATAAATTGAAAATACAAAACAAAATGAAAGGAGTTGTTTTAAAATAATTATTTTAACAAATAGATGAGAATAAAAAAGGTAAATTGTTTTTTAAAATATTAGGTTTTATAACACTGGAAGATTTAATGAATTATTTTTAAAATGTGTTAAATTAACCATAAAATATTGAAGAACTTATAAGATTAACAAAGGTATTAGATAAAAATAAAGATGGTATAATCTCAGAAAAAGAGTTTTGTGCACAGATTGTTAGGCATATGTACATTTAATAGTTTTGAGAAATTAAATATATATATTTCATCTATAAACATCCATTCAGTTCTAATAAAAACAATATCAGAATAAATCTTAGCTATCTTATTGAAGGATTAAAGCATCTAAAAATATATTTTTTCTAACAGATCTGATGTCATTTTTGGATGAGATTGTTGTTCTGTTAGTAATATATTTAGGAGAAATTCTTAAAACATCAGTTAGAATAGGTCTTTTAGTTTGAGGAGAATTAATAATATTTCTATGAGTAGATTATGATCTTGGTCTTCTTTTTTCTAATGATGTTTTAATTGATTTAGGAAATGAATGTGTGTATGTATTTTCTTAAGTAGAAATAGTAAGATTGATTTATTGGGCAACTTGATTGTTTTTATATAGTCTAAGTATTTAATCATGTAATTCAAGATTATCTTTTTTTTAAATTTTGTTCAATTGCATTCTATCTCTATAGAATTATTAAAATTTAAGTTAAAACAAGCTATCATTAGTAATTTATCTTTTGGCAATAATTTAATTAATGACATCTATTCTGGAGCATTTTTATTTATAGCAATGTGCATTTGATGTGATAGTTGTATTATTTATTGATGATTACATAATTTTATTATATAATTAATATTTCATTTCTTAATGATGATGATTTTCAAATGATGTTTAGCAGGAGGGAGTTCATTGACATGAATTCTAATAAAATCCAAATGCTTTTCATAACCACCAGATACAGCTCCAAAAGTATGTCCTGGGAATGAATAGACAAAGTGGACTCCATTCTTAACTCCAAATGATTCCTCCTTTCCTCTATATGTTTTGAATCTCAATTCATTAATTCTAGCACCAGCATGTCCTGATATTTCAAGAATTTCATCATCTAATTAATTATTATTTCATATTACCATCATCTACTTTGAAGTGCTTCTTGTGCACTTTACCAAATAAGTGTCCAAATGGCTTGAATTTTTCAATATTATGACCATCAATTGTGTGACCTTTACCATCTGCATACTTGAAAACTGTTCCAATTATATGCTCATCAGTATATTATACTATTCAACATATATTATCATTAAACCTTCAATTTCCTTGATTCTATAAGGGGCTGGATGCTTTGCCAACTCTGTCTTATCATCAAATGTATGTAATCCTTCTCTTGGAAGTCCAATTGTAACATGTTCAGGAACTCCGTGCATTTTATTATATAGATATTAATAAAAATAAAAAATTAAGATATCAAGATTTAAAGAGTGAAATTAAGATATAGAATGTTAACTAATTTTATTTCTAGATTATTCTTCAGATATGACTCTCTAATATTATTAAATATCTAATGATAATCTATATTTATTTATTATGATGACGCATTTATTTTTTCATTAATTACATTGATTAATAAATATTAATTTATACTATATTATATATTTTATTTTTAATTCCATTAATACTATTTATTTTACCATATACTTTCATTTTAAAATTAAATCTAACAGACTCGACAGTATTCAAGTAAGTAAAGAATAAGAGTAGGTAGAGATTTTTTTTAAATCGATATGATATGTTAAATAAAATTCTTAAATATCATTATATATAAGACTTTTAATTGTATCTATTAAATTAATACTAGTCAAAAATTAAAATTTTATCGATTTATTATACTTCTAGTAAATTTATAAATCTTTTTATTAAATTAATCATCATCTTAAATATAATTATATTGTTGAGCTATTAATTCTTATTACAGGTTGAGCTTCTATAAAAAATTATCCTAACTTCTAAATTTGAATTTCTTATATAATTTGCTAATCAACACAAAATTATATAAATTATTTTTATTTAGCTCTAAACAAATTTAATTAATATATTCAGAGAGCTTTATTATCTAATTTTGAAATCATAATCAAAAAATTTACTAATTAAGAAACTTTTTATTGACAATCATAAAAAAATGCAAAATAATTTGAATGCATAAATTATTAATAAACGAGCCTTTAACGTATTAAATAAAATATATTAATCGCAGATTAGTTATTATTTTGAAATTTATGATTCTTCTTTTTAATTAATATTAATATTTTTTTTATGTCAACATATAATTAATCTAAAATTTTAGATTAAAAATTCTTATTAATTGACAAATAGACATAAAGAAAAACTTAACAAAAAATAGCAAATTTATTTTATAATAAATTTATTGTTATAATTCCTAATCCATCACTATGTAATGAATGTTATTTCTAAAATGAAATGGTTTATGTATTATGGAATAACTCAGGGGGGTTCTAAATCTTTAGTTTTGAAATAATTATGGAGTTGATATTTGTATAAATATGATTATTTATGTTTTTAAAATGACTATGATTGAAATATGAATAATGAATTGCGCAAATTGCAATTCGTTGTTATTAAATAATTTTTGAAATTCAAAATGTAATTTTTACAATACCCTCCAGATAAGAAAATTCAGAATTATCAATTTAGTTTTAAAGCAAAATTAGGAAAAGGTGCGTATGGTACAGTTTATGCTGGTAGAAATATCATAGATAGTAATTTATAATATAAATTATAAAAAGATAAGATTGTGGCATTAAAGATAGTAGACAAGAAAATATTACAAACAGATTATGCTAGTTAATTGATAGCATCAGAAATAGAGATAATGAAATTGATTGAAGATAAAAATATTGTTAGATTGATTGATGTTTTATAAAGTGTGAATAATACATACATAGTAACAGAATTTTGTAATGGTGGTGATTTAAGAGAATATCTAAAAAGGAGAAAGTATGATAAAATTAAATATTTTAGATAAATTCCAGAAAATGATGCAATTAATGTTTTAAAGGATTTGTTACATGGAATCAAAGCATTATTAAAAATAGGAATAATCCATAGAGATATAAAACCTGCTAATATCATGATATAAGATGGCATATTCAAAATTACAGATTTTGGATTTGCAAAATAAGTGGATTCTCATATTGATACCATAATGAATTCATTAGTAGGTACACCTCTTTATATGAGTCCATAAATTCTGAAAAGATTATCCTACACATCTAAATGTGACATTTGGTCTTTAGGGCTAATATTTTATGAATTAATTTATGGTATCACTCCTTGGCATTCTCAAAACCTTGTTGAATTAATGGCTAAATTAGATACAAAAGTACATTTTCAATTGTATTCCTCTATAGCCTTTAGAATTTCCACCATATCCAAAAGTATCAGAACTAACCATTAGAATTATTAAAGGATGTCTATAGATTAATGAAGATAGGAGAATTTCATGGGATGAACTCTTTTCATTAGTAGGAATGTAAGAATAAACTACTCTACCTGAAATTAATCATATTTTACCAGTTATTTAAAAAAATACTTAATAATGCTAATATCAAAGTTAATAATAACAATCAACTTAAATAAAATAAAATCTTAGTTTTATAGAAATCAAACCTCATTAAAGAGTTAAGTAAAGAACTGAAAGTATGGGAACTTATCATTTTGTTAGCAGACATAATAGAAGTATGAGTAATGCAACTACAAATAATGATGTTGATAAATCTAATGATAAATAGAAACCTAAAATTTATACTAAAACTAAAATCTCATATCTATAACCAGATAATCGTAAAATTACTCCTTAAAGAAATATTACTGCTTAAACTTAAGAATCTGAAAGAGATCGAAATAGTTCCTTTGTTAAATTTACTACCTAAAGAATTGAACTGATTAAATTCTTAGAAAATGCCCATACTCCTCCTATTCCTAATAAAAAATATTCTACTAATAATAATAATAATGATTCTTTTAGAACACCAAGTAATTTATAATCTAATTCTACCAATACATCCAATAGATACACTCACGATTAAGAAAATTCATCCAATATCATTAAAGTCAATGAATTTTAAATTGAAGAAAAAAACAAGGAACCAATTAATCAAATTATAGCAAATGGTTATTTTAATACAAATTCAAATTTAAGATTAAAAAGAACTTTTAGTAATCACTTTTAAGATAATGCCTTATCACCAATAACTTAATAAAAAAATTATATCCTTTAATTATTGAAGATTATTCAAATATAATTTGATCTCATTCCTAATCATATAAATATTAAATAAGATATTGATTCTCTATTAAATCAACATAAAATTACTCTTAATAATGTTAGAGAATAACTTTATACACCATAAGATGCTAAAATATTAAAGAACATTATTAATACTCTTGTAGATTATTTAAATAATAATCCTTAAGATAATTTTTTAACATAATTATCTGTTATGTTGCTTTTGTTGCTTAATTATAATTAAATTATAGTTTTCAATATATAAACTAAATCGTTATAATTATCAAAATCCTTGATTGAGTAAATCACCAAGAATTAAAAATTACAATAACAGTAATTACTATTAAGTCCAGATGTGTTAAGAGAAGAAATCAAAAAAATACTTAAATGATTTCTATGAGTTTTTTAATTCATTTTTCTTTTTTTGTTCAATTTATCATATATTACAATAAAAATAAACATAATTTTCAATCAAATATTAAGCGCTGTATTTTATTAATCTCTTATTAAATCTTACTCAAATGAATAAATTTATTTTCAAGTGAACTAATTAATAGTAAATTATTTATTTACTTTTAAGTAATTTGAAAATCTTCAATTATTTTTTCATTTATTAGTTTTTCAAAAAATTAATATGTTTTAAAAAAACTGAATTCTTCATCTTCAAACTAAAATATTATAAATCCAGTTCTTTTATCTTCCATTCTTGATGATTTTGGAAACATTTTAACAACAATCATAGCTATTTCTTAAATCTAATCAGAATTCAGATTATTATGTTTAATCTGTATCTGATATCCTTTACTATATTTTCTAAATTTATTAATAATATTATACTATCTAAGATACTATGGAGATCCTAAACATTTAAATTAACCAGCTATCATAATTCCCATTCTATGACTAAAACTTTCAGCTTCTTCAATAGTGTTAGTAGTCATAATAACTGAACAATTTCTAATTGAAATATTTCTTAAAATTATATTGAAAAGAAATCTCCTAGAAATAGGATCAATTCCTTTACTTGGTTCATCCAAAAATATAATATCACTTCCCCCTATTAAAGCATCTGCAATACAAAGTTTTCTCTTATTTTCTCCTCGTAATTGTCCAACTTTTGTATTAGAAAATTAATCTAATTACATAGTTTTTATAAAATATTTAACAGTTGATTTTAGATCTTTACCTGATAACCCTTTAATTCTTCCAAAAAGTTATAAATGTTCTAAAGGTGTTAAATTTTACCAAAGACAATTGAATTATGGACAAATTCCTACATGTTACATAATTTTTTTATTTCTTTGATTAAGTTCAACTCCATTAATTAGAATCAGCCCTTTTGAAGGAGAATTGATTCCAGTAAAAATATTCATCAGTGTAGATTTTCCTGATCCATTGGGACCAACAATTCCAAATATCTCTCCTTTCTTTACACCGAAAGTTAATTATTATAATGTTGGTTTATTTTATATATATTCTTTTTCTAAATTCTTGCAAACTATTGGATCTTATTTATTAGAGTTTTCTATTCTTATTTTTTCATCAATAACTTCTTATTCTAATTGATCAGTTTAAATTAATTACGTATTATAATTACCTTATGATTATGAAAAGCCTTTTTATTCTATCAAATAAAGTATGTAAATTTGAATAATTATTTATCCTAACATAAATAATTAGAATATATAGGTTCTTTAAATTAATTAAGGAGTTGAGTAAAGATAAGATTCATATATTTAGTCTAAATTATCGGATAAAAATTTTAATGCTTCGAAAAAGGTATAAAATGGAGAAACTAATAAGAATAGCAATTAAATTATATATATTAAGATAAAGGCTATTTAATTATTGAATTTTTGATAAAAGTAGTCTAAAAAAGTAATCAAAATATATGGTAGAACAATATGAGCAAAGAAACAAAATATTGAATAAAATTTTAATGCTTTTTTAAATGACTTATATAAATATCCCATCAGATAAGCGAAGAGAATATAATTGAAACCAAAGAGTATATAACATGATAATCCTGTTTACAAATATTTAAAAGCGATATCTAATTTAAATATAGCTGAAATGATATAAAAGAATGCTACAAAACAGATATAAATTAAATAGTCAAAAATAAAAGTACCAAACCAATAAGTGAATGATCTACATCCCATACCAATTAATATTTATTTTAAATAAGTTTCTTTTTCTAAGACTGGTTATGATATGTAGATTGTTGCATTAATACAAAATGCTAAAATACTAAAACTAGCTATTTATGAAATCTTGTAAAATTCAACAATTTCTTCATAATTCTTAATGTATATATTTGGGTCAAAATTAATCCCAGCTACTAAAGATATTCCTAAAATAAAAGTTTGCATAGCAATAATAATAGAAAAGTAATTATCATTTGTTCTTATAAACGTATAATATCTTCGTAAGAAAATTGCTAATATTTGTGAAGCCAGTTTATAAGTAGATTTATTCTATAAACATTATGGTACATCTAAAAATAAAGATTTTTCATCTTGAAATAATTAGACTTGATTGTTAATATCAGTAATTTCATCTTTTTCAATAATATCTTAATACTATTTTTAAAATTCTTTTTGTTCTTCATTATTTAATTCTATAATTTTTAATTCACTATTCCTAACATCATTTAATTGACTATCATATATTCCTATTTTTATATCATCTTCAAATTCTATCTTTACATATACATCTTCTAAAGTTTTCATCTCTAATCCTATCTAGACATCTAAAGCTTCCAATTTATAAAATAAGTCACTTAATTTACCTTTTAAAGAAAATGGAATGTTAAATACAAGTTTATTATTATTAGAATACTTAGTTTCTAAAAAGCAATTCGGAATTTTTTTTTAAACATTTTCTATAATTAGATTTCTTATATTTAAATTTTCAAAAGATAATTTTAAATTGTAACCTACCCCAAATTTTCTTTTTATATAGTCTAAAGACCCTACTGCTAATAATTAACCTTGTGACATGATTCCAATTCTATTAGCAAGTATTTCTACTTCTTCAAGATGATGAGTGGTTAAAATAATTGTTCTTTTATTTTCTTTTATTCTTTTCAATATATCCCATATTGATCTTTTTGTATATGTATCCAATCCTGATGTAGGTTCATCTAATAATATTATTTTAGAATCTCCTACCAAAGTCATTGCTATAGATAATTTTCTTTTTGAACCTCCTGATAATTCTTTTACTTTTTTATTTTATTCATCTATTAATTCAGTTTACTTCATTATTAGAATCATTTCTTCTTTGTTTATTCTACCTTTAATTCCACTTATATATTGTAAATGTTCTTTCACTGTTAAATCATTATATAAACAATCCTTTTAAATGAATAACCCTTATAATTATCTAATTTCTGATAATTAATTATCTAAATTCATTCCATACATAATTATTTATCCTGATGTTTTTTGAATCATCCCTGATAATAAATTTATTGTAGTACTTTTACCTGCTCCATTATGTCCAAGCAAACAAAAAATTTATTATTCATAAAATTAAAGACTTAGATTATTTATAGCATTTAGCTCTCCAAATTTTTTTAATAGATTTTAGATTATTATACTTGGTTATTCATTCATTTTGTTATCTTCTGCATATATTGCAGAACTTTAAAAAGTTTCACTGTTATTTACATTCAATCTTGCTTCATTATTAACCATAACTTATACTCTATTTTTTTATTATATTCCAAAAATAAACAAAGGATGTTTTGCTATTCCATTCTCAGTAGGAATAACTTATTCGCAATATAAGAACAATAAAAAATATATAATCAATTATACTCCTAATTATAATCCAGCAATCTATACTGAATAAGTATTACTTATGATTTTAAAAGGAAATTCATAAATTCTTGATATATTGTTTACGTTTTAACTATTCATTGATGAAATATAAGAAAAGGCTATTCCACATTATGGACTTATTAATGTTATTATAACATAGAATATAATATTATTTGCCACATTCTCTAATAAAGAAAAATATATATTGAAAGTAAAAGCAATCTAGATAAATGTTAACATTTAAATTGCAACTTTAGTCTCATTAAATAAACTAGATAGAAAAAAATTTTAATTTATTGCCTATAATATTTATATTCTCATATACTGCAAATGCAAATAAAATGTAAGACAACAACATAGATATAAATGAAACCTGAAATTCTTCATCCCATTCTATTTAAAATATCATATTACTGATGTACCAGCATAACTCAAAAACTAATAAAGACTAAAATTAATCATTATTATACTATCCCAATTTTTATATATCCAGTAATTATCCAACCAATTAGATATGAATTATCATTCATACCCATAATCTAATCACAAAATTACTCATTTAATTACTTTTTGATATTTTTTATACTTCTTGCTTTTTTCCTCTACCATTTTAATTAGCATAGATCTTTGAGTTAATGTCAATGCCAAGCTATAAAGTAAAGGCATCAATTAATAAATTCCTTTTATCTAAACTAATTCTATCATTTACTAACATACCTTTCAGTGATAGTATAAATGCTACAATAATTGGTAAAATTGATTCAATCAGGAACTCCTTGTTTCTCTGACTGATTAATAAGTTTTTTTTAACTAAATTACATATTTAATGCCATTTTGTCATTTTTTTAGAATAATTGAGTTTTAGATTATTCTTTAATTTATTGCTATTGGTTAATTTACAATCACTGAAATAATAATAAAATTTTTTATCTTATGTAATTATTCATATTTGTTGGATGTCATAAATATAACAAGAATGAAAATAAAGGTAAATACTTAACATTTATGGTAGTTTATTCTTTATGAAATCAACAAATTTTGTTATTATTAAAGTCATACAATTTTCATTCTAAATATTTAATAAATTAGTATAAAACAAATGCTTACAGATAAATGTTGCGATAATGATGCAAATACGCTTGTTAATACAAAGAGACAAATTTTCAGTTCAGAAAATGAATCTCATATTTAATTAACATATAAGCAAAATTCTTTGGTTGAATAGGATGACAATTCTAGTTAAGATAAGTAAGAATTAATATTCATTAAAATAAATTAGTCGAAATATGCATTTTATTGAATTGGTTTAATCTAGAAGCTCTATAATTCCTACAGTTAGAGTTATTTCTCCAGAAGATAATGGTACAATTTAACATCATAAAGAAAGTTTATGTTTAAATTCTAGTTTGATTATATAAGAAAGGTATTTGTTTTATATAAATCAAGAGTTTAAATTCTACTTGGAAGAAGGGAGGATTAAAAATAATAAAATATGTTGCAAGATTTATATATTAATTAAAAACAAAAGCTGATAAATTAAAAATTAAGTTGATGAATTTAGAAATATTTGAGAAATTAGGTGATAAAGGTGGTGATTTCAAAAATTTTAAAAGAGGAAAAGACAAAGAGGAAAAATAAATTCTTTGTTTAATAATAAATAAAATTGTAACTTTTATAGTTGCTCTTTGGAATTTTGTCTGTCAATATTTAAATCGAATAGCAATTATATATCCAGAAAGCAGCTTTAAGATTATTTGGGATTCAATAGTGGTTTGTTTCATAGTGATTAATATTTTTTATATTCCTATGAGTTTAAGCTTTGAATTGGATAAATCAAGCTAAATTTCAATATTATTCTTTGAAACAATACCAAGTTATATCTTTATAATAGAGATAATGTTAAATTTTAATACTGCATATTACAGTCAAGGTATAATACATACAAATCGTAGTGAGATATTCTTTCATTACATTTAAAATAATTTTTGTTGGGATTTATTGATAACCATTCCTTTTGTGTTAGCTTAATTCGATGTTCCATATATACAATTTATTTTATTATTAAGAATAGCAAGAGTGAGATCAATGATTTAAAATGTGTAAGATTTATTAAATGCTAAGGAAGAGGTATAGGCTGTGTTAGAAATGATAAAATTAGTATATTTTTTAGTGTTAGTAGCACATATGTGTAGTTGTGGCTGGCATTTATTAGGACGTATTGAATATGAAACTTATAATGATGAAAAGAGTTGGCTTATTTTTTATGATTATTATGAAAAATAGTGGTATGATAGATATATAGTATCCTTATACTGGAGTGTGATAACAACTTTGACTGTAGGATATGGAGATATAGTACCTTAGACTTCAATAGAAAGATTATTTGTAATTATTGTGGCAATGGTTTTATGTGGAGTTTTTGGTTATATCATTTCAACAATTGGTGAAATTATCAAAACATTAGAAGAGAGGAAAGCTTTGTTAAAAAGGTCTATGAAAAAGGTTAATCAATATATTAAACAAAAGTAATTGAATCTATAATTGTCTTTGAAGGTTAGAAAATATTTTGAATTCAAACATTAGATTGATGAATAATTATAAGAATAGGATGATTCTGTACTTAATAAATTAAGTGGACAGTTAAAGTCAGAGGTTTTGGTTGATATTTATAAAAGGGTTTTGTTGAAATCCACTTTTTTGAAGGATAATATACCTGATGAATTAATAAATAATTTATGTTAGAAAACTAAATAAGCAACTTATGCCCCAGGATATGATATAGCAAATGTTAATGATACAGCTACAAAATTAATTTTTATTTTAGAAGGTTAAGTTAATAGTTATTTTGTATCTAAAGGATTGGAAGCACTCTATAAAGGAGATAAAGATAATCTCACTGGGAAACTATAAAAAATCTATTAAAGAGGAGAAATTATTGGAGAGTTAGAATTTATATTAAATTCTCCTTATTAATTTTATTTTAAATCCACTTCATTTTTATCAATTGCATTTATTGATAGAAATGATTTTCTTTCTGTAATACAAGAAAATGAAAAATGTAGATAAGCATTTCATTAATTAAGAGAAAAATTAACATACCAAAAAACTTATGGTAAAACTTGTGATATTTGTAAATGGACTCATAAGTACTTGGATTGTCCTTTTGTATTTTTTTAATCAAATCTCTATAAAATAGCAAGAAAAGCTAATCAAAATTATTAATAAAATAGAATTAAGTTTGAGAGATAAAGGGAAGTCAAAAAAAAACATCTAGATTCTTTTCGTAATAATATTTTATCTTCAGGATTAGATCTTATTCTCAATTATGGATTCTTAAATGAAGAGTAATATTTTATAATTTTTATTTAGTTAAATAAATGACCAATATTTAACAAAATTAGGCTTCGGAATAACAGAGGATGAAAAAACTAATAAATCATCAGAAAGTGAATCATCAGAATCTTAAGAAATTGACAATAATTCTTAAGACTAAAGAAAAAGAATATAATCATTCGAAAAAATGAAAACAATCTTCCTTGCTTCGAAATTAAAAACAAGTTTTGGATTGAATTAAAATCATTCAAAGAATTAGTACAATGATGATTCATAACCATAATAAAATAGAAAAAGTGATAGCAAATATTAACAAGAATAAATGGTATATGGAATAAATAATTCACACAATATAACGTAAGGAAGCACTTAAAAATAAAATTATTCTTAAAATTAAAATTAAATTAAATAATCAAATTAGTTATTAAGAATGGAGACTGTAGCATAATAGAGTGGATCATTTGGTTCATAATAACTTGATAGTAAATAAAAAAATAATAATGGTAATTAAGCAGAGAATGAGGGTGATGCAAATTATTTTTAAAAAGCTGGATACAATTAATTAATTGAGATAGATAAAATGTAAGATTATGAATTTTATTTTCCAATGTTCAATGTAACAAGTGTGATAGAAATGTTAAGGAAATAACGATTAGGAATTCTACTAAAGTAAAGTAAACGATAAGGTTTATAAGAAAAGCTTAGATCAAAAAGAATAAACAAATCTTTTAATAAATTCAATAATCAAAGCTCGAAAAATGTAGAAGAAAAAACATGAGCTAATTATAATAACAATAAAGTATATATTTAATAGTTGAATTGTGAATAAATTACCTCTAAACTCAATTCAGATTATTGATATATAATTAAATTAATTTTTCTTGTTGAATTAATGTTACCACTCACTTAAGTAAATAGAAGTTTATTTCATCATAGAACATTTACCATAGATAATCAACTTCCTTATTGTAAAAACATTTTGAAACAAGAAAGAATTCTCCTGTAACAATCATCAGAGCTCCTGCACTTCCTAAAAGGTAGCCCTTGAGTGGTTCTTCTTTGTGTTTAAGAACTCCTTATTAAGATATTAAATTAAGAATGCATACATAAGTAGTAAATATTGTTATTTTAAGTAAAGTGAAGAATCTAAGTTTAATTCTACAATATAGCAGGATGATTCATAAAATTAATAAATGAGTTTGTTTGTAGATATTAAGAATGATAAATTAAGTTGCACAAAAACTACTGTTGCTGAAAGTGTTGAAGAGGACAAATAATTAATCAAAAGTACTTTTATATTTCAATTAGCTTAAAGAAAATTTTGCAAAATAATCATATCTGTAAATGTAGAAATAAATTCTTGATAGGGATTTGGAAATACTTTAATTATAAAGAACCATCAAAATTCTTAAAGATTAAAATGTAATCATTTATCTTTAAGATTAGAAAAAACTTGTAAACGAAAATTCTGTTATGATTAAGGAAAACATTCAAATGAAAACTAAAATTGATATACTTGAAAAAAGGATAGAAGGATCTCCAACTCATGCCAGAATATCCGATTATACATCTGCATTAACTGAAGTTGACAAAATAAAAATTGAATCACTTTTAAACTGAATAAAACAAATATCAATTATTGATAATAAATTTTTGAATTAATCATCATATTCTATAAACTAATTTAAAAAGGTTTTAATTGTATTTTTTATCTTTATGATTAATAAATATTCAATAAAAAATTGAGATAATCTCAAGTGTAAAAAGATTATATTACAAAAATAATTAAAGGTTTTGTCTTAGAATAGGAATTTATAAAGCCAAGATACTTGATAAGAAGAGTAGGAGATAGGTTGCATTTATACAATAATTGTTGGAAACTCAAATAATTATCATATTTAGAATTTAAGTTCAAATTTAATTCTTAAGAGAGAGATAAGTATTAATAATATAAATGAAATAAATGAATTATTGATAAATCTTATAAAATATAATACGATATATAGGTTGGATGTTAAAATGGAAAAATAAGATTTGATGAGAATATAGTAAATGTTTATAAAAGAGAAAGAGAATGTTTAAATTAGAAAAGAGAAAGAGAGAATAAATGAATGAATGGGAATATTAATATTAGTTTATAAATTCTTAAAACCATAAATATCTTTATTTTATATTATGAGTCATCATCATAAGGCCCATGACATAGCGAAGGTGGCAGCAGCTAGATTAAATGCAGCAGCAGCTTCAAGAAATTATAATGTGACACCAAGAGTTGATTATAGAACAGTTGTTAAGGTAGATGGTCCATTGGTTATTTTGGACAATGTGAAATTCCCAAGATATGCTGAAATTGTTAATGTTTGTTTAGGTGATGGTTCAGTAAGAAAAGGGTAATGATAAATGTAATAATTATAGTTAAGTTTTGGAAATAGCAGGAAAGAAAGCTGTAGTATAAATCTTTGAAGGAACATCTGGAATTGATAATTTATATACCCATTGTGAATTTACAGGTTCAACATTATAGATGCCAATCTCAGAAGAAATGCTTGGAAGAGCATTTAATGGATCAGGAGTTCCAATTGATAAAGGTCCCCCTGTATTAGCAGAAGAATTTTTAGACATTTAAGGACAACCAATTAATCCATTTTCAAGAGTTTATCCTTAAGAAATGATTCAAACAGGTATTTCAGCAATCGATTGTATGAATTCAATTGCTAGAGGATAAAAGATTCCATTATTTTCTGCCAATGGTTTACCACATAATGAAATAGGAGCGTATTATTTATATATTAAATTTAAGTTAAATTGTGCGTTAAGCATCATTAGTAAAAGGAAAAGATGTTCTTGATCATTCTGATGAAAATTTTGCTGTTGTATTTGGTGCTATGGGTGTTAATATGGAAACAGCTAGATTCTTTTAAACTGATTTTGAATAAAATGGATCTATGGAAAGAGTCGTATTGTTTATGAATTTAGCTAATGATCCAACTATTGAAAGAATTATTACACCAAGATTAGCATTAACAACAGCAGAATATTTAGCATATGAAAAAGAATTGCATGTCTTAGTCATTTTAACAGATATGTCAGCTTATGCAGATTCATTAAGAGAAGTATCTGCAGCTAGAGAAGAAGTACCAGGAAGACGTTCTTTTCCAGGTTATTTATATACAGATCTTTCAACCATTTATGAGAGAGCAGGTAGAGTTTAAGGTAAAAATGGATCAATCACTTAAATTCCTATTTTAACAATGCCTAATGATGATATTACACATCCAATCCCAGATCTTACTGGATATATTACTGAAGGATAAATTTTTATTGATAGACAACTTAATAACAAATAAGTATATCCTCCTATCAATGTTTTACCATCATTGTCAAGATTGATGAAATCAGCTATTGGTAAGGGAATGACTAGAGAAGATCATCCTGAAGTTTCAAATCAAGTAAGTTTATGATTAATAAATTTATAGTTATACGCTAATTATGCTATTGGTAAGGATACTGCAGCAATGAAGGCAGTTGTAGGAGAAGAAGCCTTATCTGCTGAAGATCTTTTGTATTTAGAATTTTTGAAGAAATTTGAGAATAATTTCATCAGTCAAGGAGCTTATGAAGTTAGATCTATTTTCAAATCATTGGATTTGGCTTGGAGATTGTTAAGAATCTTCCCTCCTGAAAAATTAAAGAAGGTATATAAACTTATTATTAATTTAGATTAATAAAAAAAATCTAGAAACTTATTATTATAGAAGAAAGGAAGACGAAGATGATTTTGATGGACCTTAATAATAGTAAGAAAAATGATTGTGATGTATCAAGTAAACATTAATTACATAATACCAAATTATAGAATAATTAATTTTTGTTCATTTTAATATACTGATTTATTATGATTTATCAAATAATTTCTACAAATGCCTTCGGATGTTAGAAAGTTGTTTATTTAGGAATAACAACAACAGCTTCTCTTGGTTATACTGGTTATCGTTTAGTTGAAATAACTTATTTATTTTTCTTTGCTTCAGTCTTTCTCTTATCATTTTCTTAAACTCTCTTAACAAACTCTTATCTGCATTTTGATGGTCTTAAATGATCAGCTCTAACATGGAAACGTTTCTCTACATATCTTCCTCTCACTCTTCTTTACAAAGAGACACCAATTCCTCTTGGATTTACATTGAATACTCTTGCAGTTCTACCATGATAATATTAAAAGGGAACACCTTTATGTTAAGCACCATCAACCAATATATCAACAAAATCACCTTTTAATTTATTGCTTGAAATTCTTACCTCTTCTAAATGTTTAAAGGGTCTTGCGAATTGAAATATTTCCATGACCTCTAAAAGGCTTTGCAAATTTGCTTCTTGTACCCTTCTTCAAACCATAACTATGTGTCATTTATTGATAATTTAATTTATAGATTTGTAATCATATTTAAATTAAATACTTAATTTATAATCTATATCAATATCATTCTCATCATCCTATATTTATTTTCCTCACCTTTATATTATCTTATTTATCTGCCAATTCTTTTAACAAAGGCTTATTATGCATCAATTCTTCATTATTCATCTTATTCCTTGGTCTCTATTGTGATTTCTTCTCATCCATTTGCTACTTTAAAATCTCTTAATGCTTCACATTAACATCTTTTATATAGTCATATTTTGATTTCTCATGCTATTAAAATGTCTATAAATCTTATTGCCAAACTTAAGCTTATTTCTTATTTAGTTCTTCTTCCTCCTTTAGTCTCTATCTAAAATCATCATAATATCCATACTTTTTATCTTCCATTTACTTTATCAAGTATTTTCTCATCTCTTATTACTATGATTTAATTTGTCTTTTTTTCATTTCCTCATCTTACTACTCAAGTTCATTTTACATCAATATTGCTTTCATCATCTTATCATCTTCCGCCCTATATTTAATTCCTATTCATACTTTATTTAATCTTTTTGATTCTTTACTACTGTCTATGAAAAATCACTCATTATCTTCTTTATCTTATCTTCTCTTTCCTTTTTCTCCAATTCTCTTTCCTCTTCCAACTTTTATTATAACTATATATATTTCCTTTGCATATCAATTTCTAATTATTTATCTGATACTTCATCTTAGACTTATTTTTATCTATTTTTTTCATTCTCATCCATCATTTCTATGAACTTTCTCTTCTCCATATCCTTTTTTAATAAGACTTCTTTTTATTCCTATTTCAATTCTTCTTATATCCTCTATACTAATATTGCATCTAATTCCTATTATTTCTTTTTCTCTATAAACTTTCTTTTCTCTTCATCTCTGACTTATCGATCTCTTTATTCTTTTTCCATTTATTATTTTTTAGCTACTTCTCTCTTTTTTTGTTCTTCCCTTTAATCATAAACATCCATCTAATAATCTCTTAATTTCACATAAGCTTCCTCTTATCTCTTTTCCATCTCCATTCTTCTTTTCTTTTCTTCTAACTGTCTATCTAATTCTGCTTTCATCTTTTTCTTAAACTCTGCCTATCTCTATTACTCAAGCTATTATTCTTTAGAATAAAGTTCTGTATCAAATTTTACTAATGCAGCCCATTCATCCTCTTCATCTACAACATATACTGATTTCGGTTGTTTTTCAAATTAAGAAGACGTTACAGAATATTAATCTTGATCAAGTTCTGATTTTGTTGAATTTCTTACTGATTGGGGTCTGGCAATTTATGATCTCTATTCACTTTTATTGTCTATTTGAGAATTATTATTATTCTGGGTTACATGCTATGTTTGAGTTTGTCCTTTTTATTTTTAAACAGCCTCTATTACTCTTGCTTTCAATTGTTTTAATGAGTTTTCTGTAACCTAATTTAGTAATTAACAATTACTTGCTCATTTGTAAAGTATTCATTAACTATTTATTATATTAGAACTTCTTTGTTTTTATTTCCCTAAGCATAATCTTTACTAAATTTGCTGATTAACATTTCTCGTAATTATTCTCTTTATTAAAGTAATCCAGCTCTTTCTATTGCAGATCGTACTCTAGCTGAACCAGAACGAACAGACTTACTTTTTTGGGAATTATTCATTTTATATATATATATAAATTAAAATTCATCATTCAATTTCACATATGTTGTATTTCTCTATTTACCTATTCGATTTTTCGAATATTTTCTTTCATTTCATAACATAAACAAATATTAATTTTTCACTTTAATTCAAATGGTTTTTTACTATCTTGTTTCCTTTAAGAAGCTAAATATATAATGATTTTATTAAAAAAGAGGTTTGGACTTAAAATATATTAATAGAAGTATTTGGTAATAAATACCATAGGATTTATTAAATATGTCTTTGAGCCTCAATTACTTATCGAGGGTTAAGATAAACAAATATATAGATATTTAATAATTAAAATATAATTAAATGAATTTAATCTAATCTAATTTTTAAAAGATAAAAAATGTACTAGAAATTTTCATCATTAACAAATTTAATCATTCAACAGGATGAATAAATAAAAAAAGAAGCATATTTTCTTATTAATTAAATTGTATAAAAATATACTAACAGACTTTAGCAAAACTGAAGATATTTTTATTAGTTCCTTAATTTATGAGCAATCTTGTTAGTTTGGATAAAAAGCAAATAAAATATTCATAAATTTAGAGAAGTTCTGCATGAAGGACATATTTTTTCAACTTGGAGCCATAAATTGAGACAAGCTTTATGGAAAGAATGATGACAAGGAGTTATTATCAAGAAACAACTTGGAATAGGCATTAAACAAATAGGACATTGAGCCAGTTCTTAAGTTTATATACATAAAGACTCTATTTGAATATTTTATTATTAATAAGCAGCTTCTGACTATTGCCTTACCTAAGCAATTCTTCTTTATTTGGCTCTCAAACAAAGGCATCTTACAATATATGTAAGTATTCCAATAATTAATAATCCAATACACAAAGCTATAATTATGATTATTGCCTTATGAGTAGGGGAATCTTCATCTTCGTCATCATCATGATCATCTTCATATTCATATTCATTTTCTCTCTCTTCTCTCAAAATTCTGGATAACGCTTGATAAAGGGATGAAGTAGTATGAGATTGGTATTCTATTTATAAATTTGGTTTCATTATAAAAGGTTTTACTTAAAAAGAATTATTAATGATATTTATAGCATTTAGATCTAAATTTAGTTTCTAAAAATAATATATTAAATTGTCATTTCGTAATTGTTAAGTTGATAATATTAAAATTATTAAAAGGATGTTAAATAAGAAAATTATAGATATTGTTAAAAGATAAAACTATTTATTATGTTTATTTTTTATTAAATTCAGCAACATCCATTTTTTTTTTTTTCATCTAAATCAGGATTATTTTGAGTTAATTTTGAAGTTCCATTTTAAGGTATACTAGGATTAGGTGTTTTTTCATTTTAAAGATTTGCTTTGACTGCCTTGGCCATTGCGAAAAAGGCATCTGCCACATTTATACCTTCTTTTGCAGATGTTTCAAAAAAAGGAACTCCAAACTATCTGGCTAAAGCTTCTCCTTCATCTTTTGATACCTATCTATTTAGAACATCAACTTTATTTCCTAATTTATACTAATAAATATAAATAGAAACCTATAAGCAATTTACAAACATTTTCACTTGCGTGTTACTTTATTTGATTCATCCAATTAGTAATGTTATTAAATGTCTCTTTATCGTCTACGGCATAAACAAGAATTATTCCCATAGCTCCTTTATAATATGTCTAAGTAATTGTTTTAAATCTCTCTTATCCTGCAGTATCCCATATTTACATCTTTATCTTCTTTCCATCAACATCAATTGATTTTATTTTGAAATCTATACCAATTGTTGATAAGTATGTTTATTAGAAATTATTTTCACAAAATCGTAATAGCACATTTGTTTTTCCTACACCAGAATCTCCTATCATTAGAATTTTTATTAGCCAATCAAAATTATCCTTCTTATTTACAATAGAAGTGGCCATAATATTTAAAAATGATAATTATTATAATCAGAATATAATGGTAAATTTTTATTTAAATACCTCTGATTTCAAGCAAAAATATTTAATCAAGTAACAAAATCTACAAATTATCTCTATTTAAAATAAAATTATTAAAGTTTCATAGAACTCTATTTGTAAAAAAAAACTATATTTAATTCTAAAAATTAAATTGCCTTCACTCATATTAAAGTAATATCTTAAACAATTATAATATGTTAATTAAGTAAAAATAAAACCCAATTATCACTCTAATTAAATAGCTGAATCTGATTCTTCTAAGTAAAGTTTATTATTATTTTATATTATGTTTTTCTTTCTTCTGAAGCAAATTTCATCCCAGAAAGAATTTATTCCAAATAATCCTCTATTAAATTAATCAATATTTTACTTAAAGATGCAATAAAATAGAAATGCTCCAACTGTTAAATGTAATTCAAATCCTAAATTTAATGTTGAATAAAAAATGTAGTAAAATATATTCTTTTCTTAAACAGGGCAATATTTTTTTTCTAAAGAATCTGTTTCATTAATTCTATTTAAATATCATAAATTTTACCTCATTAAAAAATTTATTATCCATGCAAAAAAGTATAGTAAGGGGAAAATAACCATTGATCTTATTCTTAAGGCAGGATATCTAAGTTCTTTTTTATATTAAAGATGAACCCAAAAACATGCATTCTATGTAAATTAAAAATATTTTTACAAATATAGAAATTATAATTGATATTCCAAAAAGTATTGAAACAGGGACTACCCAAAATTCCTTTATTAAATGATTAATAACTAAATCGAAAATTTTTTATACATCCACAAAATATAAAATTGAATTCTCCATCTTTTAAATACCATCCTGAAGGACCAAATCCATCATCCATATATACATAAAATAAAAATGCATATGGAAAAGTATAGAAAATAAAAATAAAAAACTTTAGGTAAGTCATAATAAAATTGAATAGACATTCTAACTAATAATAAGAAAATTATTTACTTGAATCAAACAGAAAAAGAGGAAGCACTGTAAAAACATTAAATTCAAAGATGCCAACCAATTTGAATGCATTATATATCCAATAATTTTGCAAACATTTGGCCAGCACGAACTATTGATAGTAAATATTAAAGCTAATAGGAGATCTATTATTTCAGAAACTACTTAGCAAAAAATTAATTTAAAGGGCCAAAATTTACTTTTTTTACTATTTTTGATAGTTATGAGAACAATAGAACTCGAGAATATAGCAATTAACAATATTATAAGCCTTAGTACAAAAGTGACTTATTTGTCTATGTTATTTAAATTTTCTGCACAATGTTGTTCATAAACTTAAACAATAGATTATTCTTCGCAACTTTCCATTATTATAATTAAATAAAATATATATATATACTAAAAATGTTAATTAGGTATTTTAATCTCAAAATGTTCATTCATTTTATGAATATGTTTATGTTTGATGGAATATTGACTTATTTTTATGTATAATTCTATTATTTTAAAACTTTTAAATTTATATATACGAGAATGCCTAAAAAACCTTTCTAATTTGAGGTCTGTTTAATTTGAGAGTATTAAAGTCTTTAAAAATGAATTAATAATTACCCGTTATCAATTTCTAATCTATATTGATAATTATTTAAAATTAATGATATTTATTATTAAAAATTTAAAGATTTATGTTTAGAAATTTAAAAGCTATGTTTGTTTTTTTAAACTTCTTCAAAGAATGTTTATTTAATATATTATAGCATAAGGTTTTAAAAATAGATCTAATATACATTATCATCATAAAAAAATTATTGTGTTTATGAAAATAAGTTTTAAAGGATTGATCTTATTTGATATATGATTTAAACTTAATAAGTTCAAAATAAAATATTTATTAAGTAAAAAGGATGCAAATGCCAGCAAATAATTATTTTAAATTGATAACATTTATCATTTTAATCGATGTTGAAGAATAAAAAAAATAAATAATTTTTCTTAAAAGTTAAAAAATGAGTTTATAATCATGAGAGAGAGAAGAGTTGAACTCTGAGTTCAATCTTCTTAGTCTGAATTACAAATAAGTATCGTTTTTTCTAAGTCTTCATCAATCTTAATTTTTTTTCTGTTTATTTTCTTTTCTGAAATTACTAAATGATCTTTTAAATATTCTAGGTTTTTTAAGACTACAAATAAGTCAAGAGCCTTGTTTTCTTTTTTTTCAATTATTTTGTTCATATTATTTATATATATATATATATATATATTTATGAAATCACTTTAATTAAATTACATTAATAATCGGTTAAAAAGTTTTTTTCTCTATGTAAAGAAGGGGTATTCAGTAGAATAAAAGAATTATAAAAAAATAATAATAAATAATAGTAGTAAATTTAACTTAAATTAGATTATGAATATAGTTAGAATAAGAAAGTTAAAAGGTGATAGAAGATGAATTTGAAATTAAACAACATAAATTAAAGTAGAAGTATAGAATTATAAGGAAATGCTGATTGAATTTAGAAATGAAAAAGGTAAAGATATTATATTGGATACTTAAAAATAAAATAAAATTTAAAATAAAATATATATTATATATATATATAACTAAAAAATGATAAGATTGAGTTTGTTATTTTTGTTGATTAGTTCAAATTTAGCTGATACCTTATCAATAAATGAATAATGTAATTGTGAATAAATAAAGTCTAAATCGGACTGTAGTTTAGGGAGTTGTTTGTGGAAAGATGAAAAATGTGTAAAAGATAAAGAAGAATAGACCAATGAAACTGTTAGTGTTTATTGTGAGTCTTTGGATTTGACAAGTTGTTTATCATAAAAAGGGTGTGCATGGAATTTAGGTGTTTGTGAGCAATTTAGTGGATGTTCTGCATATAATGGAAGTTCAAATGATGTCTGTTAATAGATATCTTAATAATGCACATCTGATGGAACTTAATGCATAGACCCTTTAAATTGTATTGATTATAATGAATTGGTGCTTTGCAATTCAAATATTAATGCATAAGGTCGTAGATGTAAATGGGAAGAAGATAAATGTCGAGATTAAAAATGCATAGAAGCTAGTACAATACTAAGTAGTGATAAGGAATGTAATTAATTTTATCCAGGATGTGTAACTAATGGTAAAGGATGTGTAGAAAAAAGAGAAGAATGTTCAACATATGGTGATAATTGTGCAGGTATGATAGGTAGTGATGGTAATTGTGAAAAAACTAATAGTGGTTGTAGTCCAATTCTATGTACAGCTGCTTCAACAGATTTAACCACTAATGAATAATGTGTTAAATTTTAATTAGGATGTATTACTACAGGAAGAGGATGTTCAAAAAGTCCATTGGGTAGTTGTAGTACCTATACTGGTGAAGCCAGTATCTGTTAATAAATGATCGGATCAGAAGGGAAATGCGACAGTGGTGTATCTAATTAATGTCAAGAAAGAAAATGTGAGAATGCTAATAAAAGTAATAATACTGATGAATTGTGCCAGTAATATCTAGTCACTTGTATTACAAATGGTAGAGGATGTGTCACTTAATTGAAATTATGTAATACATATATTGGAACAGCTGATGAATGTAATAATTATATTGGAAGTGATGGAAAGTGTACGCTTGGTACAAATGGCTGTAAAGTAAGAGTTTGTACTGATGCACCTGATACATTAAAGACAGATGCTGATTGTAAAGATTATTAATATGGATGTGTAACTACTGGTGTTGGATGTATTAGTAATCGATAATCTTGTTCTTCTTACAGTGGAACAGCAACTAGCTGTCAAAAATTTATAGGAACAGAAGGAAATTGTTAGGGTGTTGGAGATACAGTAGCAGCTTGTAAAGCTTAAGTTTGTTCGAATGCTCCAGAAACATACACAAGTCATGAATAATGTTCTGGGTTTTAGTCAGGATGTTTAACAAATGGTAAAGGTTGTGTAGAGAAAACAGTATGCACATCAACAGTAGCAGAAATAAGTTGTATAGGTACAAACAATTGTTTATGGAATTAAATTTGTGTTACAAAAACGAGTTGTTAATATTATAATACAATAAGTTTATGTAATAATAATAATGCAGATGGAGTTATTTGCTAATGGGCAAATGGTGTATGTAGATAGAGATATTGTAGTGATGCACCAATCATATATACAAAAGATGAGGAATGCAATAATTTTTTAGTGAATTGTGTAACAAATTCTAAAGGTTGCATATCAATATTGGCTGCATGTAATTAATATACTGGGACAAAAGATACTTGTATAAATTTTAGAGGAAATGGAATAAAATGTACAAGTACAAGTATTAGTAATGCTGCATGCAGTGATGTAACATGTGTAAGCAATACTACAGCTACAAGTCAGATTGAGTGTGATGATCATATGAATGGATGTAAATTTTAAGGTCTTAATGGATGCATTGATAGTTCTACTGAATGTAATAAATATTTTGGAAACCAGGAAAATTGTAGAACTTACAATGGAGTAAATGGGACAATAAAATGTTATTAAGATAATGGAGTAACATCAAGTTGTAGAAATCTATAATGTAGTGATAACACGACAGCTACAGATAATATTCAATGTAATTAATTTCTTAGTAATTGTGTAAGTAAAGGAATAGGATGTATCAGTTAAAGTGAACCATGTACATCTTATCCAGGCAATAGTACTACAGATTGTTAAGAATTCAAGGGAAATAATAAAAGGTGTTGGTGGATAGGTGGTTCTTTTTGTGTTGATAAATAATGTTCTTAAGATAGCACTTCTACTAATGATTAAGCTTGTAATCAATTTTTAGCAGGTTGTGTTACTAAAGGTATTGGTTGTATTGAGAAAACTGAATTATGCACAGCCTATTAAGGAAATGAAGATTAATGTTAAATATTTAAAGGAAATGAATAACCATGTGTTCGTAAAAATAATTGTATGAATAGAAGATGTTCTGATGTTATTAATCCAACTAATTAAGATAATTGCAGTAGTTATTTATCAACATGTAGATTTAATGGATCAATTTGTATAGATGCAGAAGTATCTTGTACATCCTATTTAAATTTGAGTTATACTATATGTCAAAAGATTACTACATTATCTGGTGGATTATGTTTTTTAGGTAGTGGAACTGGAACTTGTTTAGTTAGAACTTGTGCTTAAAAAGGACCAGCAAATAATTAAAATGAATGTGATTAATTTCTGATCGGTTGTGTATTTAGTGGAGCTAGTTGTGTTGAAAAATAAGCAACTTGTGATCTTTATACTAATTTTACGTCATTGGCATGTAGAAGTGCTATGACTACTACTAATACGATTTGTTGGAATAAATCAACTACAAATGATAGTTGTTAAGCTAGAACATGTTCTGCACTTACAAATGATTTGATACAACCTTATTCGTTTTCAGATGAATTTTGTTATCTATATCTAGTATCATGTAGATATAATGGTACTGCTTGTGTTAATGTATAAGATGCTTGTACTTCATATACTCCTTTTTCTATCTCTGCTTGTAAGTCAGTTATTACTTCTGCATAAGAAAAATGTTGGTAAGAAGATGTCAATTCTGTTACTTGTCAAGTTAGAGCATGTAGTAATACCGTTGCATCCCCGAATTTAATTAATTGTGCTGCACATAAATCTTCTTGTAGATATAATGGTACATCATGTACGGATTCATAAACTGCATGTAATTTATATACATCCTTCACTTAAAATGCTTGCAGAGAAACTACATTAACCGATGGAACCACATAATGTTGGAAAACTTCAACTGATGCTGGAACTTGTGAAAATAGACTATGTTCAAATGTTTTAACTTCATATAGCAATACTAAGTGTATTGAACATATCTCTACTTGCAGATTTAATGGAACCTAATGTGTAGATTAAAGAAATGATTGTTCACTTTATACAGGATTCTCTTCAGAAGCATGTAAATAAGTAACTACCAGTTCTGGTGGATTTTGTTGGATTCCAATTAGTGTATCATAACAATGTACAACAAGAGTATGTAGTAATTCGATTGAAAATGCTAGTGCTTAGACATGTTTATAACATTTATCTAGTTGTAGATTCAATGGTTAAATTTGTGTTGATAACTTAGATAGCTGTACATCATATGCAAGTTTTACTTAAGATGCTTGTTAAAATACTACAACTTCATCTGGAGAGAAGTGTTGGAAATCTTCATCTTCAGTTGGAGCTTGTGAAAGCAGGAATTGTTCAAATAATGTTATAAATCCTAATTATACTACATGTGGAAATCATTTATCAACTTGTACATTTGATGGTGTCAGTTGTTTTACTATGTAAGATACTTGTTCTTAATATACAAATATTTCTGCATCATAATGTTAAAATGTAAGAACAACTTCTGGAGGTAGATGTTGGTTAGCATATGGTTAAGGTACATGTATAGTTAGATAATGTATTCATAATACAATAGCAATGACAGATTAAGAATGTGATGTATTTTTAAGTGGATGTAGAACTTCTGGTAAAGGATGTGTTGATTCCACAGTTACTTGTTCATAATATATTGGAACAACATCAAGTTGTCTTTCTTTTGTTGGAAATTCAATAAAATGTAAAGGTGCAGATTCAAGTGGTTCATGCACAGTTAAAAATTGTTATGATAACATGGATGGTATAAATGATGTTCAATGTAATACATTTATGAATGGATGTGTAACTAGAGGTAAAGGATGTATAGCTAAAACAGAACCATGTACAAGTTATATTGGTAATTAATCTACTTGTTCGTTATTCACAGGAAATTCAAAAAAATGTTGGAATTCCAGTAATGCAACTTCAACTTAATAATGTCGAGATAGATTATGTTCAGATGATACAACATCAAATAGTGATGAATTATGTTAAGAGTTTTAAGTAGGTTGTGTTACAAAAGGTAGAGGATGTATTGATGCAACAGCCAAATGTACTTAATATATAGGTACACAAGGTGAATGTAAAATGTTTAAAGGAGAGAATGGAACTAAATAGTGTTGGAATTTAAGTACAGCTACACCATTAGTTGCTTGTGTTAATAGAGTATGTACTCATAATCTAAGTGCAATCAATGATTAAGAATGTGATACTTTTCTTAAAGGATGTATTACTAAAGGATAAGGTTGTGTATCACCTTAACCTTGTTCTTCTTTTTAAGGAACTATTAAATCATGTGCAATGTTTTCAGCAACTGATAAACCATGTAAAGGTATAAGTTCAACTACTATTTAATCTTGTGTTCCTGTAAAATGCAATGAAGCACCAAATAATTATGATACTGATGAATTATGTAATACATTTAAAGAAGGATGTGTTACTAATGGTTTTGGTTGTGTTGATGTTTTATAATGTGAAGATGTCTAAACTGAAAAAGCTTGCAAAAGTAAATCCACTTGTGTTTATGTTGGAAATTGCAGAGATTTTTAAACTGAATGTAGTGCTCTCAAATCTCAATCACTTTGTGTTAATACTCCTGTTAGTACTGCTATTGGTATGTGTGCCTGGGAAGTCAATCCTTTAACCAATATAGGACTTTGTAGAAATTGGAAATGTGAAGATGCCTCAGAAAATCTAGCAACTCATTAAGATTGTTATCAATTATACAAAACTTGTACAACCAAAGGTAAAGGATGCATCTCTATTGGCTCATGTTCATCATATGCCACAGCTGCTATATGTTCTGTTGCTAAAACTACTGATCAAGGTGGTAGTTGTGTTTGGAATCAAACCTACTGCAGATAATTAGATTGTTCTGATGCTAGTAAATAACTAACTACCGATACCAAATGTCAAGAATTTCTAAGCAAGTGTGTGACCAATGGTAAAGGATGTGTTAATGTTTAATACAAATGTGAAGAAATATTAATTAAAGAAAAATGTACTCTTGATTTTAAGGGTAATACTTGTTTATGGTTTTAATCTTAATGTATAACATATACTAAATGCACAGATATAAATGGAATCTCTTATAAATAATGTAATCAATATTCTAAAAATTGTACAAGCAATGGAAATAATTGTATTGCAATAGCACCATGTAATAAATATACAAATCCAACTAGTTGTTAAACTGGTACTAATGGATAGTGTGGTTGGGTTGCTGCTACTTTAAATAAAGCTGCCTATTGTACTTAATTCACTAAATGTAGTGATGGTACTGGAACAACAAAAGAACTTTGCTAACAATTTTCAATATTGTGTATCTCGGATGGAATTAGTTGTATAGAGAAAACAACATGTCAAGGTTATCTTACAGAAATAAGTTGTATTTCTGGTGGAACAGATGGAACTTGTTTTTGGGACAATTAAGCATGTAGATAAAGATAATGTAATGATGCCACAGTAGCTACAGCAATAGAAATCACAAGTCACTCAAAATGTAATGCTTTTTAAGCTGTTACTGCATGTACAACAGATGGAACTAAATGTGTTTAAATGGGATTATGTAATTCATATAAGGAATAAGGATGTTATTTTGGTACAGATGGAGAGTGTATTTATACATTCCCATCAGGTTAAGTTTAAGGTAAGAAATCTTGCAGATTAAAAGTCTGTTCTGATTTCAAAGATGTAACATCAGAGATGTGTAAATTACGTAATACTTAATGTATATCTAATGGATAAAATTGCATAAATAAAAGTTAATGTTCATCATATAAAACTAAAGTAGCCTGTAATTCAGGTGGAATAGATGGAGTTTGTGTATTTACACCATCTAAAAACGATCCTAATAGTGGAGATTGTGCTTTAATGACCTCATGTGAATAGGCTAATTTAGATATAATAGCATGTAAATCCAAGTTTAATACTTGTCAATTTCTAGTTTCATCATAAAATGGAGTCAATTCAACTACTTGTATTAATCATACATGTGCAACTGTTGCAAATGGATCAGTTTGTAAACCTATTTATAGCTTTGATGAAAAATCCATTACTATTTGTGTAACAACACCATCTGGTTGTGCTGTGGGTGATTCTTCTAAATTGGCAGCTTCAACTTGTTTTGATTCTACTCTCAAAACATATACTTGGAATAGTGCCACAAATCTATGTGAAAAATGTAATAATGTTGTCATACCATCAAACAATATTACAAACAGTACAAATAGTACAACAACAAACACTTTTGCATAGATTCTGTTTGTATTTCCATTATTGATTATGTTCTAATTATGATTAGTCCGCAGAAATATAAATAATTTTATATATATTCATAATTTATTATATAAAGTATGATTGAAGAGGAATTCATTTTAAATCTTTCAGAATAGTAATATATAGTTGCAGACCATTAATTCATTGCAAATGTATATTAAAACATCTTATAAATTAGTGAGTTAAGTTTTATATATATTTAGAATATAAAGTACATATACTGGTGCAAGTTTATTTTAAAGATAGAATATTTTTATTTTGATATCCTTATTAAATAATTTTCAAATAAAATAAATAAGTTAAGAAAGAATTATGGATAAAAACTTTCAAAATTGGATTAATTTTATAAATGGTCTAAAAAAATTACTTCTGCCTGATCTTCGAATGTAAAAAATTGATTGAAAATGATGAATGAAAAGATAATGATGAAATAAAATGCTAATATTAAAAGAGAATGGATAATAGTATTCACATAATTCAAATTTTTACACGCTTTGTTGCTGGAATTCTCTTTTAACTTTCATGTTTAATTGAATTTTCATCATCTTGTATTACATTAATTTCTTAATTGAAGTAAGGATGTGATAAGCATTCTCTTGCACTAGGACGATTACGAGCATCCTTCTAAAGCATCTTAATAAGTAAATCATATCCAAGAGGATTATTAATTTTTACATTAACCAAATGTGTTTCATCATATAATCCACTAATGTTTCTTTTTATGATGTCTTGAATATTCTTTGAATTACCAAAAGGGTTTTTAAGGGTTAACCTAAAAATATATAAGTTAAAAATTTTACATATTATATAGGATTATCCCAGCACTATAAATATCTACTTTCTCGTCATATGTACATTATTAAGAGAATACTTCTGGAGCAGTATAACCAGGAGTTCCACATCTATTCAATTACTATATAAATTATACCTTGGATTATAGTAGGGAATTTGTTATTTGAAACATGAAAGACCAAAATCAGCTATCTTTAAAGAATTACCATTTTAAGCATCAAGGAATAAAATATTCTAAAGTTTGATATCTCTATGTACTATATTTTGTTCATGAAGGTGTTTTAAACCTATTAAATTATTTAGATAATCAAATACCTGACAGTAAGTTGACCATAATACAAGGTATATTTATTTTATTGGTTTTCTTGTTTAGTACCTTAAATAGATCCCCTCCTTAACAATTCTCCAATATAATAGACACACTTTCACCATCTGTCACAATTTCTTCCAATTTAATTATATTTTAATGTTCTTGTTCCTTCAATAGAGATAGGATATCAGCTTCTTGTTTCAATTACCCCTAATAATAAATTTAATTTATATACAAGTCTGCTTATTGAAGCTTGGTCTTGAACATTCTTTGGAAAAGCAGCCATTTTTTCAACCATAATATTGTTTTATGTTTGAATCAATTCTAATTATAAGTATCTTTTTTTACAAATTCCAGGGGCCATCTAAGCCAGTATTCGAGGATTTTAAGATCGAAAGAAAACTTACTTTCCTTTTAGTTGATTTTAAAGTTCTTGACTATCTTTTTAATTCAAGAGGAATGAAACTTTTATTTAAGTTTCAGGATTCTCTAGGTCCATCGTATGAATTTCTTAATCTTAAATATTTACTACATTATACTTTCATCCATTTATTTACCAAAGCAGAGAATGGTATCCATCGAACCAGCTGGCAAATACACCATTTATTAGTCGTTTGGAACTGTCTTTTATTTTTCAATGAAAATACATACTTTTATCAATAATGACCCATTATTTGAAATGATAGTTACTTATTTCCGTTCTTCTTCGACGCCAATATAAAAAGCTGAGCATGAGTATTGTTGCATTCCTAAATTTTGAAGAGTGAAATAGAAAACTTTAAAAAAAATATATATTCCATTAACCATACATAAGGATTCCTTTAAACTCACATTACTAATGCTACCCCCTTCTTTAAATTTCCAAATTTCATTGTAGATATAGTAATTTAGGTGAAAAAATCATGTTTTTCATAATTTAAATCGATTTTTCGATTGTTATTTAATAATAAAAGATTTATATCCTTCTAATATATTACATTAATTAACAATCTTAGTTTCGTTATAACCAAAAAAATTATTTACATAGGCTTGTTTTTTTCTACAAATCAGAATTATGAGATTATGTAACTAAATAATTAGAAATATTTGTTAACGTTCAAATGAATTGAAATATTTTTACTTTAATTTTTTAATCTAGTTCATTAATAAAATTATTAATATTATTTTTTGAAAATATCCAGATTAACCACTAATGCCATTCAAACTTTTAAAAATAACTTAATTTATTCATTTCTTTAAATTCATAATGAAAAATTAAATTTATTCTAAGTCTTTCAAAATTAAAAAAAATAAGTTAGTTTTGACGAAATAATTATTTACAACTTCTAAGTATTTTATTCGTTGTAAATATATATATCTAAATACCATTAAATAGTGAATGAATATCAATAACTAAAGAATCTATTTTCATATGTTTTATTTGTATATTAAATTTCTGCTTTTATTAATGAAACCTAATTTTATGTTTTAAGAATTATATTCCAAATAATTCTCTGTTTTCTATAATGATTAAGGAATTATATTTAATTTAACCCTCTAATCACTAACCAAAAGCCATTAATTTTCCCGTTAATTTGCCTATTAATTAATGCATTTCCAATTTATACCTTATGAATTCTAAAATTCTATTTTATTTAATCATCCTATCTGTCTTCTACTTCAAATTATTTATAATTTCATGCAATCTTATCATTATATTCTATTTAATTCAGAAATTAATAAAGATATCAAAGTTGAGCATACCTAAAATATCTTAATTGCTGAATAATCTGATTTTGATCCAATTCTCAATTAATTATTGAAAATATATTATTTTCACATCTAGTGACTCTTGACTTTAAAATAAATATTTCCAAACTTAATCATATAGTAAAAATATCGAAGATTTTAAAGAATGCCTTTAATTACTTTAAATATTGCTTTTTAATTTTTCTCAATATTCTATAAATCATAATTATTTTGAAGTTTAATTCTTAATATTATATTAAATATAGGATTAACTTATTTGTTTAATAAATTATTAGATCTCAAGCTAATTTAAATTTTTATTTTTTATTCAAATCTAGATGATGAGGATTCTAAAAAAGAAAATTAATTTCTCAATTAAAATGCTGAAAAACAGCAACAGCTAATATAAGCATAAATTTTTGGGAATTTTATCTATCAAAAATAAATCAGAACACATTGTTAATTAGGATAATTTGTGATTTTAATTTAACAGAAACCTTTAATTTTTGCATCTTTATTGTGTTTTTTTATCTATTAAAATTAAATATTAACATATATTGTAAAGATTGAATTACTTTTTTCCTAAAAATAACCATTTTTTGAGATAATATTATTAATTAATATTAATATGACGTAAACTAAAAAATTAACTAAGAAATTGAAATAAATTAATAAAGAAAAACAAATCAGTTTAACTTGTAACCTAAAAGTAAAAATCCAATTTGAGGTCACATTTTATTAAAAGTATGAATAAAAGGTAAGGCCTTTTAAAATTTAAAAAAAATAATAATGAATGCTTCCTTAGATTAACCTGCTCATTAATTTTCTTGATGGAAAATGTAATAGAAACATTATCAATAATACGGTTTAGTATTGATTCATTAGTATAAATTATTTTTATTTCATAATTCATTTAAAGAATTTATATTTAATATTTGATCATATGTTTGGAATTGTGCCTAAGTTGTAGCAATATGTTTGTGCTTGGAATTTTTGGCCAGCCTTTATGAAAAAATTCTTTATGAGTGAGAAAGGTCCATTCACAATCTTTTTCTGGACTCCATTAGCCAAGTGGGGAATTTCAATTGCTAACATAGGAGACATGCGTAAACCTGTTGAATAAGTTAACACCCTTTAATAATGCGTTATAGCTTGGACTGGATTATTATTCACAAGGTAAATAAACTTATTATTATTTTTCAGATGGTGCTTCATTATTACACCAAGAGTTTATAGTTTAGTCATTTGCAATTTTTGCATGGCTCAAACTGGATTGTACCAGCTTTATAGAAAACAGTATTAAGTTAATTTAATTGTAGTCAATAAGGAAAGCTCTTTACAAGATGATATTAATATAAATTACAATATATATTTTAAAGTCAACTAATATAAATTTTATTAATTTTTACAAGAAATACACGTTAATTAAAAATAAAAGATTTTTTATGGTTTCAAATGATATAAAGAGGCTTTTTTGATCTTCATATTAAGTAGTTGTGAATACTAATGTACAATAATAAATTTAGGAATTATAATAGTTAATAATTTGATACGATTAAATTATGTAATTTAGAGTTTGTTTATACATAATTCTTAGATTTAGGAATAGTAAATTAATTGGTTGAAATTAAAACAAAAAATATAATTAATAACAAAAAATTGATTTTAAATTATGTTCAATTCTATTTGAGTAAACTAACAGAAGTAATGTTTTTGAATAAGTGATTTAACAGATTTAAAACGATATACGGAAAATGTTTTAAGTATTATTATTATTAATGAGAACAGTTCTTTTGGTGGTTTTACTCTTAAGTGTTGCTTCTGCTGTTACATTCAAGAATAAATTGGATTACTCAAAAAAGAGATCATTAACATCAGTAATGGCTGAAGTGGAAGCTAAGATTCAAACAAAAGCCCCATTAGATGCTATATTAAATGTTTTAAGAGATTTTAGAGATTCAGTAAATTTTGAATAAGTGAATCACGATGAGATATATTAAACTTAAGTTAGAGAATGTGAATCTGAAGATGAATTCAGAAGTAAAGAAGTTTAAGACGCCAAAAACATTCTTAGAGATTCTACAGCTTAACTAAATGTATGCTAAACATCAAAAATCAGAGCTACTAATTAATAAGAAGTGAATTAACATTAAACATTCACAGCAGAGAAACATTTGAATATGGTTTTGACAGCTGCTGAATAAGAAGCTAGTTATTTCAAGAAAAGAGGAAGAGATTATGAAGATGCTTTACATGCTATTGATGAAGCTTCAGACATTTTGGCTGCTATCTAAAGTGGATCAGGAAGTTTTGTTGAAATTAGTAGAGTTGCAAAGGTTATGCTTTAAACATCATTCAATATTAAAGAAACTATTAGGTTTGCTCCAATCCTTTATTCTTTCTCTTAATTAGCATCCTCAAAAGATTTTGATGAAACCTCACTTGAGAGAGTTGCTTAATTATTAGATACTTTAAAGTAAAATATTCATGAAGCTTACAACGATTATGCTTAATCAAATGCCTCATCAATTGCTGCTTTTAATGATTAAAAAGAAAGAATTGGCTAAACTCTTGCAAGACTTGATGCTTAAGCTGAAAGATTATAAAGTAAATTAGATCATTTAGTTTAATGTATTGGAACTAATTCTGCTATTGCTTAATAAGCATCAGGAAAACTTTAAAGAAATTAACAACTTTGGGACTAAGCAACTGCTTTATGTGCCACCTTCCAAAATGAGTACAATTTTGCTACTTAAGCCAGAAGAAATGAACTTTAATTAGTTACCTAATTGGAAGAGATGGTTGAAGATAGATTTGGTTAAGTTGAAGATGAAAATCATGAAAGAAAACTTAGAATAAGTTAAAATTGATATAAACATATAATTTATGTTAATAAAATTCATTTCCAATTTATTTTAATTAAATATTAAAAAATTTATATTAAATTTTTTGAAATTAAATTATTTATGAATTTTATAAAAAAATCCTATTACATAAAATATCATTAAAATATTCCTCTTATGAATAATACACCAGCTAATAATCAAAAGAAGATTACTAATTAAGTGAGTATTAATATTAGTAATGGCTGAAGTGAAAAGTATGATTGCCCCAAAAATCATTAGATATATTAGATATGAGATAATTTCAACTGATTTTTTATATACAAATATTTTAATTAGTGTAAAAAACATAAATTTTATTATTACTAATAATTTTAAATTGATTAATTTCAAAGTTCGTCATATGATGAAAAATCAATTTAAATGATTTATTTATTTTGCCTTTGAGAATAAAAATAATAAATTAAATGCATTAAGAATAGTAAGTTGATATATGTTCAATTGATAATGATGGAGAACGTAATGCTGTATGGAACATGATGTATTTTGAGAAATGGGGCCACTTTCCATCCAAAAATTTGTAATCACTTTATGAAAAGTTTCTTAATGATAAAAATTTTGGGGTTTTAGTTGATGAATTATTAAATCAGCTTAGAAAGGCAGGAGAAAAACTTGATAATATAACATCATAAGATATTTTAAGTGTAACATCTTAAGCTGGTAAGACAGCATCTATTGGAGCAATTGGGAAAAGTTTAAATTATTTAGTTGCTAGGGAAACAGTAAAAGCATCAATAGGTGGTGGAGTAACTTAAGGGGGGAAAAGAATGGCTATTGTAGCAATAGAATAGACTGCTACAAGAGCAGCAGCATAAGGAGGAGCAGTAGCTTTTAAAGTTTTAGGATCATTTGGAGTTGGTATAGCATCAGCAGTTGGTGAATTTGCAGCAGGAACTATAGCTGAATAATTTGGATTTAAGGATAAGAGGATAGAGAATGCTGCAGCTTTATTAGGAGCGATAGGAGCTGGAGCTTTGGCTGGTGCCTTTGTTGGAGGGCCTGTAGGTGCTGCAGCAGGAGCAGGTGTTGGTGCTGTATCTTTTGCAGTGGGATAAACATTTGGAGCTTTAGCAAGAACAGGATGGGGACCAGCTGATAATTGGGTGTATTATGAGACTCATGATGCTCATAACATGTGTTTTGGAAGTTATGCCTCTGATGATAAGATGTATTGGAAAACTTATTGTAATAAATATCCAGACGCAAATTCTAAAGGAGATTGTTTTTCAGCAGGTTAAGGATAAGATAGATCATTTCAGGTAACTGTATGGGAAGGCAATACAACCAAGGCTCATCATTAAGAAGTTTTCTATAGGGATTTGATTAAGGCATCTAGGATCAATGGAAGATTAATCATAGTTCATTGTAGAGGAGGCTTCAGCCCTTATGCTGGTTCCACAGTTATCACATATAAATCATGAAATATTAAATATATCAAAAATTATTATATATTATATATATTATTTATTTCCAAGATTTTTCTAATTTTGAAGACTTTAACTTGATTAATTAATATTTTTTTTCTATTCAGCAAACTATTTACTTATTTATTATATCTTAATTGAATTCATTTGCTATTTAAGATTAACTACATTATTTCAACACTAAATAAATTTTTACCACTAAGTCATTTTTAAAATTTTCATAATTTTTAACTAAGCCATAAATTTTTATCAATTTTTACAGTCAATCTACCACTAGAATCTCTATTCTCCTTTGAATACTTTAAATAAATTTCCACATCAAAACTTTGATAGTATTCCTCAAGCATTTATCAAGAAAGTTAATGAATTAATCATTAATTTTAACTTCAGTATCAATTTTTATTTTGGCAAAAGTATTTATAACTTTCTGAAGTTAATTCAGAAAGATCTTACTTCTCAATGAATAGTGACTTAATTTCATGACATTCTGCATTTAACTAAATTTAATTTTCTTTTACATTTTTTTAACAACATATAATAATTTAAGTTAGAGAATGTGAATCTGAAGATGAATTCAGAAGTAAAGTAGTTTAAGATGCCAAAAATATTCTTAGAGATTCTACAGCTTAACTAAAGGTATGCTAAATATCTAAGATAAGAGCTACTAATTTATAAACAACCAATTAAAAACAGAGAATAAAATAAGAAAATGATTTTAATAGCTGCTGAAGAGCCAAGTTGCTTTAAGAAGGAGGAAGAGAAAAATAAATAGGTTTCACAGAAATTTTGTCTACTATATAAAATGTATCAAAGGGAGTTTTGTTTATTAAGAAGAGCTTCAAAGGGTTTGCTTTAAACATCATTCAGCATTAAAGAAATTACTAAGTGTTAAATTTGATATAACAATATAATTCATTTTATATATGAATTTTAATAATAAAATTACTTTTACACAAAATATTATTATAATACAATACAATAATTTTTATTACGATTATGAATTAGACATCAGCTAATAATCAAAAGAAACTTAAACCTAAATTATAGTTAAATGTCAATATTACTGATGTCTAACCTGAGAGCACTCATTCATCTGATTGTTGGAAGTAATAAACAGATATATTTTTCCATGAACCTATGTAAAATTAATGTATTTATTGTTAGTGATTAGTCTTTATAATTTTTACATAATGGAAGGACAGTTGCTGATGTGGCTTAACTTAAATGTGGTAGAAAGTATTAAGAAGATAGAGTACTAAATCCTCTTAATTTAAGTTTGTTGCTATTCCTAATCTAAATCAAAATAAAGAGTCATAATTCTTTTATGCAATTTATGATGGTCATGCCGGTCATTCTGTATCTGCAATTCTCGAAAATAATCTACATAAATATTTATAAGAAGAAAACAACTTTTGTGATGATCTTGAGAAAGCAATAATAAATAGCTTTGAGAAAATGAATTAATATATACTTGATTGTCAAGAAGAAAATTAATTTCTTGGTGGTTCTACTGCTATTTGTGTTATAAATAGGCAGAAAGATCTCTATATTGTAAATTTGGGAGATTCTGCTTGTGTTCTAATTACTGAAGATAGTGAAATTTAAAAATTGAATCTAGAACATAAATTAAATAGGGAAGATGAATTCAAAAGAGTAGAACAAATAGCAACTATCTTAGATAGACAGTATTTCTAAATAATATTTAAGTTCTATACCAAGAATTAATGGAGAATTAGCAGTTACAAGAGCCTTTGGAGATAAGAAACATAGATAATCAGGTTTAATTGCTGTACCTGAAATAAAAATACATCAAATAGATTAAAAGGATAAATATTTGATATTAGCATCTGATGGTTTTTGGGATGTAAAATTGCACATTTATTTTAGATCATAAAAAATGATGAGTTAAAAAAATTGATTGAAAATTGGAATAGAAAAGAAATAGATTAATTAGCATTATATCTTTTAGACAAAGCAGCTTCCAAAAATACTCACTATAAAAAAGACAATATGACTTTAATTGTTGTAGATATCTAATCTTATTGGAAATGAATTTTAACTAAATTTTTATTGCTAATTTTATATCAACAATTATACTAATCCCTATTTAATCCTTGATGTTGATACTCAATTTTAAAATGTTTTACATTTCTATTAATTATTGAATCAAATAAATATAATTAATTTAACTTGTAATAGATTAATGAATTAAAACTCAATGATAGAAATATTATTAAATTTCAGTAATTATATGAGAATTTTCATAAGCTCATTGGAATAAATCTTAAATTTGCCTCAACATTTTTAATGACACCATCAAAATTAAGATACTTATGCAATATTTATTCATAATTATTAAAATAATTGATTATGCATTAGAATCAATTCGTTGAATAGGGTGACCCTTAAAAAGAATTTTTAGAAGTAAGTAACAAATCCAACTATTTTAGGCATTTAAAGAATTACTACATTTTTAAAACTCCAGAATTCCTAATAATAATGACTTAATGAATCAAAATTACCCTCAATTACTTTACCCACTCATTCTTCCCACTGAAATACCAAATACATTTATAGTAATTTTTTTATTTTATTATAGATAAATATGGGCCCATATTACTCTTATTTATAATAATCACAGCTGAATCCATAAGCAATTTAAGAATAAGGAGTAGTTCAAAAAATATAGTAAACTTAGTTCTAAAATCATCAAATTATCAAAGAAGAATTTTTAGATGACAACAAGTAATACAAAGGAAATTATTTGTAAAAAAAACAATAATGAATTGACCTCTAAATGAAATTTCGTAATCAAGATTATTCAATATTTTGTGTTTTTTTTACATTATTTTTTAATTAAAGATTTATAATATTTATTTCTGATAAAGTTAATTGTTTTCAAAATCTATTATATTTAATAGAATGCTTCTTTAAGACTATTAATATATTGTTCTTAAAAGCTCTAACTTTTTTTTTCTTGTATTTTTCAAAAAAAATAATGTTTGAATTTCAGGTATTTTCATCAGTTTAATTTAAATTCTACCAATAAAATATACATAAACCCAATAGTTAATTTTATGCTTGAAAAATCTAGTTTCTAAAGGTCTTATAAATCTCATAATTAGGTTAGAAATAATAAATTATAATAAAAAAATTTAATTTTTTACAAACTTTATGTCTAATGAACCATTTTAATAAAAAAGGTTTGTTTAAACAATTTTGATCTGAATAATATAATTAATCAATGAATTAATTTTAGTAAATTAATAATAATTTATTAGAAATAATCTGGTTAATAAGAAAAAAATTAATCATCAAAAGATTATGATATATAAAACAAAATTATAAAGTTCTTACAAAAGTTATCTTTTCATAATTTATTATTTTATATAATATTATTCAAATAAGTTGAGTAAAAATGTTGGGTCATTTGGACACTTAATTTTTATTTAAAAATAGTAAAAAAATTCAAAGATTTTGAATTAAATTTTAATCATCTAAATAAAAAGTTAGCTTTTAGATTTTAAGAGAATAATAATAATAAAAAAAAGAATATTTGAATTCATATTTAATTATAATTATCATTTGATTTCCTCTTTTATTTTATCTTTAAATAAACTGATTATTTTTTCTAATTTTGGTTTGATCACTACTTTACAATAGCCTTCCTTTTTATTATTAAAATAATAGTTCTAATGATAATTTTCAGCTTTATAAAATTATTAAAATTCAACAATTTCTGTAACTATGGGATTTTTATATGATCTTTATAGTTCTTTGATTAAATCAACAGCTATTAATTTTTATTATTCAGAATGATAAAAAATGATTGATCTATATTAATGTCCTTAATCATTTCCTTATCTATTTAAAGTAGTTGGATCGTGAGAATGAAAAAATACTTTTAAGAGATCATAATATTTAAGTTTTGATTCATCATAAATAATTTAAACAACTTCTGCATGTCCACTATCTCCTCTGCAAACATCTTTGTAATTAGCTGTATTCTTATTAGCTCCTCCAGCATATCCAGAATAAACTTCATTTACACCTTTTATGCTCTTGAATACAGCTTCTATGCACCAAAAACATCCTCCTCCTAAAGTAGCTTAATTAATGGTTGTCATTTTAAGAAAATTAATAATCTTAAAATTATTTATAAAAAATATATATTTTTCAAGCCCATTCATTAATAGCAATTATACTATTAATAAATGAAATAAATCTTTAACTATAAATCTAAGGATTAACGCATGAGATTTATTAGCCCTTCCTTTTTACATGGAATTTATAAAAATACTCCAACTTCTTTTTGAAAGTGAACTTTTAGGTATAGTCAATCAAACCAAAACAAAAACACTTGCTACTGTTACAATATATACGTTTTTCATTTTCGTATTTATTTTTACATACAGCAACAAGTAAAGAATAATCCATAATATTATTTTTAAGAAGGAAATCAATATCTTCTTTTAGAATATTAAATAATTTTTCTCTTTCTAGCTGTTTCAATTATATNGATTATGATATATAAAACAAAATTATAAAGTTCTTACAAAAGTTATCTTTTCATAATTTATTATTTTATATAATATTATTCAAATAAGTTGAGTAAAAATGTTGGGTCATTTGGACACTTAATTTTTATTTAAAAATAGTAAAAAAATTCAAAGATTTTGAATTAAATTTTAATCATCTAAATAAAAAGTTAGCTTTTAGATTTTAAGAGAATAATAATAATAAAAAAAAGAATATTTGAATTCATATTTAATTATAATTATCATTTGATTTCCTCTTTTATTTTATCTTTAAATAAACTGATTATTTTTTCTAATTTTGGTTTGATCACTACTTTACAATAGCCTTCCTTTTTATTATTAAAATAATAGTTCTAATGATAATTTTCAGCTTTATAAAATTATTAAAATTCAACAATTTCTGTAACTATGGGATTTTTATATGATCTTTATAGTTCTTTGATTAAATCAACAGCTATTAATTTTTATTATTCAGAATGATAAAAAATGATTGATCTATATTAATGTCCTTAATCATTTCCTTATCTATTTAAAGTAGTTGGATCGTGAGAATGAAAAAATACTTTTAAGAGATCATAATATTTAAGTTTTGATTCATCATAAATAATTTAAACAACTTCTGCATGTCCACTATCTCCTCTGCAAACATCTTTGTAATTAGCTGTATTCTTATTAGCTCCTCCAGCATATCCAGAATAAACTTCATTTACACCTTTTATGCTCTTGAATACAGCTTCTATGCACCAAAAACATCCTCCTCCTAAAGTAGCTTAATTAATGGTTGTCATTTTAAGAAAATTAATAATCTTAAAATTATTTATAAAAAATATATATTTTTCAAGCCCATTCATTAATAGCAATTATACTATTAATAAATGAAATAAATCTTTAACTATAAATCTAAGGATTAACGCATGAGATTTATTAGCCCTTCCTTTTTACATGGAATTTATAAAAATACTCCAACTTCTTTTTGAAAGTGAACTTTTAGGTATAGTCAATCAAACCAAAACAAAAACACTTGCTACTGTTACAATATATACGTTTTTCATTTTCGTATTTATTTTTACATACAGCAACAAGTAAAGAATAATCCATAATATTATTTTTAAGAAGGAAATCAATATCTTCTTTTAGAATATTAAATAATTTTTCTCTTTCTAGCTGTTTCAATTATATAAATATATCTGTAGATTTAATGAAATTTTGATCTTTTAAAACACCTTGTTAAGGTAGATATTAAGCAAAAGAACTAGTGAGATCAACAACTTGGCTTTATTTAACATTTTATTTTCTATTCACAAGGCTTCCTTTCAAATCATAAACTATTCTTTCTTTAGGTATTTGTTAAAAAACATTCTCCATTAGTAATAAATGAATCTAGGAAAACCCTTCTATACTAATAGAATACAATCCATAAAACTTTGCCAAAAATGTTTAATCTTTTATAATATACTTGTAATAATCTTCCAAAACTAATTAAATTACTTATGTAAAATACAATCTTAAATGAGCTTCAGTTCTGATTAAGTTATTGTCTTCAATACAAAAGTGTTATCATAAGTATAAAAGAAAAATGATCCACTTTTCCCTAGAGATTCTTAAGTCTTTTTGATTTGATCTTAATTTTGATCTAACCTTAAGGAATTCTAAAATATTTTCTATTAAATGCCATTTTTTTCCCTAATATCTTAAAATACTGCTGGAGCGTACTCTTAAATCAAGAATGTTAATGTTAATTCTAACGAGTAATTAATTGAACTTAATAATGGAGATTCTTAATCTATTTAAGACTCACTTTTATTTGATGAAAACTTAAACTGCTTCTTGTAAAGACACTATCGATGTAAGTCATAAATTTTTTCATCATAGCTTACAATTTTAAGGATTGAACTTAAAATGTTTGATACTGTTTCTTAGTTAGTTTATTCTTAAACCAATCTGTTGAGGGGTAATTAACATTGTTCCATAATACTATCATCAACAGTTTTACTAAGAATTTTATGAAAGTAATACTCTTTGTTTTCCTTCCATTTTTTTTTACAAAATAATGTAGCAAATAATAATATAGTTCTACTCTTGAAGTAAGGTTCTCGAAGGCGAATCCATAATAAAATTGTTGCTAAGTATTTTAATATAAATGATACGATGAATAAGCATAATGGCAAAATAAATTCTTATTAATAGTTTTTTGGTTATTCCTTATTCACTCAATAGTTCTATGATGATTGGTAAACTCCACATTATAAGCAGAGTAGAAAATAAGTACTAAATTATATATTAAAAAATAGTATACTATATGATTAAAAAATAATTTTTTCCTATTTTCTCTAACAATGATATTAATTTTCTTCATTTTATATAAGTCCTTGATTCCAACACAACATGAAATAACTAATAATACAACTATTACCAATAATTGAATTTTAAAGATTTTTGATGTATCATTTACTCCTATGTTTTTGCAACTAATATCAGCAAATTAATCTTTTTCAAAATAGTACATAACAATTGTAATTAAGCATGCTCCAAAATTATATGAAAGTTGTTTCATTTTTGTATTTAAAAAGGGTTTAGTTAATGTTAATATAAAATCTAAAGTCAGAATTGCATAATAATTTAATTGTGCTAACAATCCAAAAAATATAAGAGATTAATTTATTTTACATAAGGTTTCATCTGAAATCGTTCCTGAGCCAAACAAATAGTATTCCCTAATTTTATTATAGCTAATAAGTTTGTCTAGAAATTAAATTAGTTCTTAAAACTCAACACTATCTAAAAATAGTTAATAGCATGTTATCATCTCTAATATACCTAAATATTTATATAATTATAAAATCTTACATAAGATTAAAACTATTTATGCTGGATGATGTCTACACTTAGGAGAGTATGCATATATAATTGGTATGACTGATGCTGAGCATAATGAGAAAAAAAGTAACAATGCATATACAACTTTCCAATATTTATCTACTGAATATTCTAAATCCAAACTCATAGAATAGAGTGGAAAAAATTTATTATTATTTGATAATTAATTATAAATTTGGTATTCTTGCCTTTCAATATTAAATTTGCTAATTGTTTTCAAATTCTTGTTGTTTTTTTTCACTAGAACATTATTTTACACTAATTTATCTTAATTTCTAATAATAATTACTCCAAATAAAAAGACATATCAATTATGATTATTCAAATATGATTTATAAATTCATTAAATTAAATAATTAGAATAGTATTTACATATTCACTTTCATGTTAAAGTTTAATTGATCAAAAATCATCTTTTAATATATTTAAGGACTTGAAAGATAGTAAAATTTTATAATGTTTAAAATTTTAATATAATTAATATTTACACGCGTAAATGAGTAAAGAAAGAAAAGAGTTTGAAAAATAATTTTATGCTCTATACAAACATTATCACAAAAAAGATAATGGCTTTAAATTAAAGGAAGCAAATTTAAATTATTAGCGAAAGATTTAATACTTTAAAGGAGAGGATTTTATTAAATTCACAATAGTTAATTTTGAAGAAATAAAGGATTTGGTGCCTTTAACTGAAAAAAAGAAGGATGCATCTTAAATAGCAAAATATTTGTTAGAGAGCAAAATAATTATAAGAGTTGAGAGGCATAGAGATGATCCAAAGAAAAAATGGCCAAAAAAGCTGACTTTAGTTAGAGTTTTATTATTTCAATATGTGATAGGATTAATCTTTTATTGAAGATGGTTTTTACACATGGAGTATTGATGCCAATAATAAGATGAATTCAATAAAGTTGGCAGCCATATTAATAGGTGTATTTTTAATCTGCCTTTTTCCAATATGGCCTTTTTCATTTAAATATGGTATATTTAAGTTTTCAATATATTTACTAATATTTTTGATTGGATTATAAGTAATAAGATTGTTGTTGTATTCAATAATAAGATTATTTGGTTATGAATTTTGGATTTTGCCAAATATCAATGATGATGTAATATCAATTAAAATAAAATATAGTCTTATGGATTTTTAGGATCATTTCTTCCTCTATATTCAATTTAGAGATTAACTGATGGAAAATTGGAAATAGCTCTTCGATTTATAGGAATGATAGCATTCTTTGCATTAATTTTTTTAATTGTTTAGGAGCCTCATTATTTCACAAATATTTCAGATGCAACAGGATAAACTCTTGATGATGTTTTGATATGGGGTAAAGAAAAGATGGAAGGCAAATAGGTAAATTATAATATTGAAAATTAGGAACCTTTGCATAGAAGAGCTATACCAGATTTAAGTGAATTAATAAAATAAGCAGAGGAAGATTCTAGGAATACTCAAAATGAAGTTTAAAATGAAAATTTGGATATAAGGGAAACATAAAATGATTTGTGAATGTTTTAAGTAAAGTTGATAATAGGGTTATAAATTATTATTAGATTTATTTTTTTAGTTATTTTTGCAATTATATTTACTCACATATATGAAACTGTATTTAAATTTTTTATTTGAATATAATATATAAATAAAATTTATTGATAAGAAACATTATCATAAATAGTTTGGTTTCGTATGAAATATTTATTAAATTGAATTAACGATTATTATATGAAAAGATAAGATTTTTAAAATTAAGCAATAGTGATTATTTATATTTATTTAATAAATAAATTAACAGATTCATGCCTTAAGAAGACATAGTGTAAAAATTATTATAAAGAATATAAATTCTTGTAGATGAAGTTGAAACTTTAACTGCATTAGTAGATAGCAATGCTTTAGAATAATAAGAAATGAATTAAAAATATTAGAATTTAATGGATCTTTACCGATAAAAGGAACTAGAATGTGCTGAATTATAGAATAAACTTAATCAACAATTTAGTAATGTATTTAAATTGATTTAGGATTAAATGTAAAAGACCATTTACATTAGATTAGTGAAGAGAGATAACATATAAATTCTTTATTAGTATAATAAAGAAATGATATACCTGAAACTTAAAATCAAGCTTTATATCAAATGTGTCAATAGAAAACTGCAGAGAACTAATTATTGAGAAATAGACAAGATCAATAGGAATAAGAAAATGCATTTTTATATTCCGAAAACATAAGACTTAGAACATATATTCAACATGAGAAAATGTTCAGATAATTGGAGTATTATAATGGGAATTACAATCCATAAACAGTAGCACCTGGATAGAATGTTGAGATTCCCAATATAGTTTTGGATCCTATGTATGAATAGAAATACCTATAAGAATATTTGTAATCTAGACAAGTAGTTTAGTGAGGGATATTTTTGTGATAATTTTATATAAATAATAATCAGATGTTTTTGTAAGCTATGAAATTGAAAGACAATAGGTATGGTACAAAATAATAAAGATTGGAGCCTATTTAATTGAAATACAGTCCAAAAGAACCTCGTTAACATACTCCAGAAGGTTTGGCGAAGATTGGTTTGTTCAACAGTACTCAATTTCACAGAAAATAATCTATTGAGAAGCGTAAATTAAGCAGTTAAGTAGAAGGAAAAAGACCTTAATCATCTGTTTAAAGAATACCAAGGACAGCCTTTTTGAAAAATACATTTGCAGCATAATTTGTTGTAATGATAATTATAAAAACAGGTAGTTCTTTTGTGAAAATGGAAATAACGGTGCATTAGTTAGGAGGATTTTGTAAGGGAGAGGTTGGTTTGCAGAATAGTAGACAAGTTTTAAGTAAGTTATAGAAAATTATAGATAGTGTAAATTTTATTTGGAAACAATCAAATAAGGGATTTAATTATTCTACTCTTAATTAAAAGAAAGTTTGCATAAATCATTTAGAACATCATCATGAAATCTCAAATAAAAATAAATTACATGATAATCTCAAAATGCATTTTTAGAGGATAAATAAAAATATGGATGATTTTGTGCCCATAACATTCTCAATAAATCTTGATTCAACAACACTCTAATGGGATCTAAAGAAATTTGTGGATTTTTTCATTTCAATTAAGAAAGAGGGGAATCAGAAAAATGTTTGGTTATTGAAACCTCCTGATCTTAATAGAGGAAGAGGAATATAATTATTTTCTGATCTTAGGGTGTTTATAAATTAAGTAGAGGAATTCTGTAAACTTAGAAGTTTAAATTAAAAAAACAAATCATCATCTAAAGGAGCTAGAGGAGTTACCATAACATATCCTGATTCAAATGAAAGTAAACTATATAGTTTATTTAGAAAGAATCAGGTTAAGCATAAATTAGTTTTACAATAGATTAATCTACTTGTAACGATCGCATAATAGTTTTACAAAAATATTTAGAAGCACCACTTTTATATAATGGGAGAAAATTTGATTTTAGAATTTGGGTTTTAGTTGATCATACATCAAAATACTATTTTTTTAAGGAGGGGTAAAATAAATTAAATATTTTAGATATCTACGTTTAGCTAGTGAAAATTTTGATATTAATAATTTAAAATCTTTGTATATTCATTTAACAAATAATGCTGTTTAAAAGAATCATTAAAGCTATGGTAAATATGAATTGGGAAATCAATTAAGTTTTTAGGACTTGCAACATTATTTAAATTAATAGAGAAATACAAAGGTATCATCAGCTGGGATAGTTTTAAAAATGAAGGAATTAATTCACCAAACAATTTATTGTGCTGGTTCTAAATTGCGTGACAGTTGATATATGTACCTTATGTTTTAGATCGCAAGGATTTCTAATTTGAAATATTTGGATACGATTTTATGGTTGACAAAAATGGTCATATTTGGTTAATTGAAATAAATACTAATCCATGTATTGAAGAGAGCAGTCCTCTTTTATAAAAATTAATACCAAGAATGTTAAGTAAAATTATTGAACCAAATTTTAGATGACGCATTTAGATTAACAATTGATAAAATATTTTCTCCGTTCAAAACTACACAAGAGAATTTTCTTACGAATTTACACGAATACGCTATTCCTGGATATAGTGACAAAGATAACCTATGGGATTACATGGGATAAATATGATTAAAAAGTCATTAAATAATATCAATACTATATAAAATGGGATTTTTATGTTCCAAGCAAAAAGATAATCATATACATAAATAAGTTGAAACTTAGAAACAAGAGAACATTCGTTAAAGTTTAAGTACTACCAAAGAGGCAATTGACTTTGTTGAAAGTACTTCTTTGGCAAATTTGATGAGAACTAAGCCAATTAAATCTTATTTGGCTGAACAAATTGAGTAATAATAAATTTAGGTGGATTCATGTGAAATATTAGCAGATAAGATAGAAGCCAAATCTTAATTAATTATTCGTAGCTATAATCATTTTACTGAAAAAGCTTTGAAAATAAAATCGAAAGTATTAGAGTATTACAGGAATGAATATATGAATTATATTAATTCCAATCTTGATACAAATAAAAATAAAGAATTTATATAAAAAGAAACAATTTAAGTAAATTAAATATGATTTCAACTTATAGTTACTTGTTGAAACTACAGTCATACTAAATTGCTTGATGGATAAGAACTTTGATGATGAAATTGAACTATGGTGGGGAGACAATTACTTTAGTGATCGAATATAGATTCTAGCTCTTACTGATATTGATTGTTCTGATAACACAGACAATATCACTGCTCCCATTATTCAATATATCAATGCTTTAAAAAATAAAATAATTTAAGTCATTCCAGTATAAAATAATCAACCTAAATCTATTTCAAATAGTGTTGCTATAACTAATGTTCATCTAACTCAATTCTATAAAGATCTTAAGTTGGAATTTGCCAAAAAGGTCGAAGAAGAAGAAGAAATCAACTAATGAATAAAAATTATATTAATTATTCAAAGTCTTAATAATAATTCATATAATTAATTCATTATGATTGTTAGTTATCATGATTCTCATGCTGTTCACAATCAAGAATCACTTCTATATTACATACTGGACATTTTTTGTGATTTAAGAGCCATGCTTTAATACACTTCGAATGATATATATGATTGCATGGTAACTATCTATATACATTTCCAGTTAAAATTTGATCATAACAAATAGTACAACTATTCATCTATAGAATTATTAATTGTACATTTCATCCACATTGTCATTTGCTTCTTTTGTTCTTTTTGGAATCTCTTTTATTTGTTGCTTTGTCAATCCTACATTTTAATTGCTTTCAATAATAAATATATTCTTACCCAATTCTTTCTTGTAGATTTAAAATTTATTCATATGTCATATTGTCAATATTTACATTCAACTAATTTTGAGCTTATTAATTTAAATATTGCATTTCTTATACTATAGATTCATGCATTCCAAGTTGCAATAATATTTATCTAAGCTCTTCTAATTATAAAAATGGAGCATTCTATTCTATTTTCATCATTTTACATACATTAAGCATCCGTGTATCGACCATAAAAGTAATTTAAAGCATCAATAATTCTTCTCTTATACATTTTTTTCTTGTCTCTGCTGCTTCGAAATTTATTTGATACCTACTAAAGTTTAGTTTATGTATCTTTAACTCTAATCCAATAATCAGAAACAGTCTAAAATTAGTTTAAGAATTACTGAATTTGCCTTTCTCAATCTTTACTCCAATAACTCATTTTACTTCTTTAACTCTGCTATTTGATTTTAAAGTAATTTTATTTCTGAAGTCTGATCAGCTAGTCGTTATTCCAATGCTAAAATTAATTATTTAGGTACTATCTTAAGTAGAAGGCATTTAACTTAGATTATTCTTGAAATTAGGACTTAATTTAAATGTCTAGACTATTAAGATTGATATATCTAGCATACTTCTAAAAACTTATCTATTATTTCCTTTTGCATTTTTAGGTTGCTATTATTCTTTGGCAAATTAAGGAGTTTAAACTTTATGACATGATGGTGGCCTGAAAATATTACTATTATTATTCATATATTATAAAAATTATTTAAAAGCAATTTAATAATCATTACTTCTGTGCATCTTACAAAACACCTATGACTTCTACCAAGCTTTCCCGATTTTCAACTCCTTATACAATTAAGGTATGAGTCACTGGTTTACGACATAACAAACAAAGATTGCTTTTGGACAATAATTATTATGAACATTCTTAACAAAATCCCCCATGACCACAAGGCTAATTTATCATATTGCTTTCTTTCTCATAACAAATCAAACATAACTAAGGCTATTTTGGTTATCCTCTACTTGATAATTCTGGCCCCATACTTTCACTAACCTCTAATTTTAATCGAGGAGATGACAATAAGTGATCAAATCTTTTTGTTAGCTCTTCATCATAATCCTATGATGGTTACTTTTTAATATCTTAATTTTTCTTTATTTCTGAAAAACTTATAGATCTGAATTTCTTATCTTAAGACAATACTGATCCTATTTGTTACTTTATTTCATTGTTTTCTACTTTTTTCTTAAAATAAGTAGCTGATAATCTTATCATAAATTAAGGTATTTTGTTGACACTTAATTTATGAATTTATTTTATTCTATCTTTTATGTTTGTTTATTCATTGTTTTGTTCATAATTCTAGGCTTAAGAAGAATTTTCTGAGATACTTAGAAAAGAACTTGTTTTAATTACATTCTTACATCAATTCTTCTCTATTCTTTATGTAGAAACAAATTTCAAGCAAGTAATAAATTATTGTTAATATAAATCCTCCTAAATTAATTGAAGAGATCTAATAATCTAATAATAATCCTAAACCCAAAAATGTCAACAAAGATGTCGAAATAAAACCTATGAAAACTATGTTAACCCAAATACTACCATAAACTTATATTATTAAATTCTTACTTATTTATTTTTTATTCTCTAATTAATTATTGCAACACTTTATCACAAAGTCAATAAATAAACATACTTCAATTAATGTTAAAGTACCAATACTAAACCATATTATAACTAAAGTTTGCATCCAACACCAATTGATTTAATTGCTCCATTTCAAACTTAGAAAAACAATTTATAAGGATCCTATACTCTTAATTGCAGATACTAACTAACATCATATCAGAAGTACTATTTCTTATATTTATTTAGATTGATCATGTCTTTCACTCTCCACACTCTATCTACTAATCAATACAGTAATAGCTAGTATTACAAATTGTAGTATTAAAAGGGTGTAGCTGATAAAGTTGATATTTATTGGTGAAACTTCTTTATTGTATACTATCCCCAATAAATAAGTAATTAATAATGCACTTTCCATTATGGCAAAACAACAATAAGAGTTAATCCTTAATTATTAATAAATTTTAAAGTTTTACCCTTTGCTAGACAGAAGTCTTGATATCAAAAAGGCAAATTATGTTGTGCAAGCATATACGATTATTATTTTGTAATCCCATCCAAAACAGATATTTGAATTAAATAAAAAGCAAAATCCCATAAATAGAGAAACTAATAAAAATATCTTATTCAATCCAAATATTTTACAGATTATAAATCTTATTTCGCTTTCATTCTCTAAACATCTAAATCTGCAGACTATTGCATTAAACAATTTAAATTTAATCAATTATTTTATATTAAAATTTCTTAGTCACTTAAATGTTAAATAAAATTTTGTAAGAAATATTTTAATTTTCAAATCTTTTATTCTTATTAACTACATTACTTTCAAGCTTTAAATTGAGAAAATTCGTTAAAAATTTATGAATTTTCATAATTTTCAATTTTATAGATGGATTTCTAAAAACAAAATTAAATTTAAATTTGATTATCAAACTCAAATTAAAATGAACTTATATACATATCAAACTTCATTCTAAATCACCCTCATCATCATCATTTTCTTCAAGTTAACCAACATCCATTAAAACATTTTATTTCATAGTAATAAAATGGTTTAATATAAAATCGAATGGTTTATCTTATTTAATTAAATCAAGAAGATCTAAGAAGCTTTACTTTATTTGGAAAAATACTTTTTTATATATTTTTTCCTCTTTCAACTCCTACATAAGACTAGAGAATATGATTAAATAATTACTATTACCGAATTTCAAAAGTTTATTGCATAATTCAATATAATAAGCTTTTTAAAATTCAGGATCACTAAAGTAAGGAAACTATTCACATTCTTGAATAAATCTTTTCAAACTGTCTTAAATATTTCCATTCTTATATACTAAATTTTTCATTTTTTCTCTTATTTTTCGTATAATTCGATCTAAAATTGTAAAAAATGAATACACTCTATTGTTTTTAATTTGGCTAATGATAAGCATTCATCATTTTCTGAATTGCAAAAATATAAAACTGATCCTTCTCCCATTTCTTATAAATTTTATTTTGAGATTTCATTTTATAACTAAAGCAATTTCATTTTGAAATCCTAAATGCCATTAGCAATAATTTCTCTAAATTTTACAGTCTTTAAATTTAAATTTTAAAATATTTATTGAGATACCTAAGGAGATAAACATGTTTGAGTGCTATTTTTTTTAACAATTGAAAAAAATCTTATTTAAACATCATCATATCTGATTAAATGTTATAATTAAGCATGTCCACAGAATTCTCCAATAAATGTGTGATCTTATAAAATATTTTGTAAATTATCTAAGGGTTATTTTATTTATTTTAATTCTTTAAACCATTACTTTGCAATCATTTATGCAACTGTATAAGAATTACTTTAATAACATTAAGCGCTTAGATCATTTTCATTTCCAATTACAATAGTTTTATTTTTTGAAGATATGCTCCAGCTTTACATTTCTTTGCAATATGATATCTAACAATTTTCTCCATTAGCTTTTTCTGAAACATATATTTTTATTTATTTATTTTGTTTAGCTAATTCTTCAGCTCTTCCAACATTATAATAATTAATTTTTTGACAAAATTCATCACCTTTACCTTAAATATCCTCAAAATATAAATCAAAAAATTTTTTTTATCCTTTTCTTAATATTTTCCAACCTTCACCGTAGTTTATATAAGCCAATCCTCTTCTAAAATTTTAATGTATTTAATTATTTAATGCAAACAAAGTATCTTCTTCATAATGAACCTTTAATCTAACATCTCTAATTTAGAATTCCTTATCTTAGATCTTACATTCTTAAATTTAACTGTGAGTAAATTTATTATAAGTTTACAAAAAGTTTTCTAATTCTTAAAAGGATAATTGTGTTTCTGGTTCCTATCAATATATTAAATTAATACATTTGCTTTAAATTGTTATAATTCATTTATTATTGGCTTCAAATTTTTAGTTATTCTTGCTTTCTTTTGCTTCTATTGTTTATTTTGTTTCATTATAAATGATATATATTAAGCCTTTAAAAATAGAAATATTTAAATAAAAATTATTCTTTCATTAAATATTTTGATCTAATTATTCTAAGAAGCTTTTAAAAATGTTAATTTGTTCCTTTCCTTTACTTTAAATTTTATCTTTTATATCTAAATAACTTTTATCAATTAAGCTTATCAATCTTTATTAAATTTATTTTAAATTTGCATCTGGTTACGCTTTTAGAAAACTATGAAATTAATAAAAAATATACTTGGATGCTTCTTATAATAGATTAGCTGCAAATTATAAGTATTATTTTCTTCTATCTTATTCAATTGAAGTAAATTTTTAAACACTCTATTGTAATGCTTAATATGTTTTGACTGGATTTCCTTTTTAGTGTATACAATCTTTCAGTGATTCTCTAATTTATCTATGAATTTTATCTATTCCTGAATACAGAAAAACAATTTACATTCTATGGTCTTCAATTTACCAAGAGATAGACATTAATTAGAATCATTCAGAAAATATAATACAGCTCCTTCTCCCTCTTCTTCAATACTTTTAATTTTAATGATTTCTTTTAATTTATTTAGTTCATTTATCAAATTTTCTTTCGAATTTACTTAGATTTCTAACCTGCAAAAAACAGTTGGAAGTTAATATTTTTCAAATATCAATTTAGATTAATTCTAAAGTTCACAAGTTTCTAAACTATTATGTTTAACAATCGAAAAAAATTTTAAACAGATGTTATCATATTTTACTAAATGTTGGAATTTTGGATTTCCACAATATTCACCAACCAAAGTATAATTTGCTAAATCTGATTTAATCTCTATTAATTTTGGATTTTAATCAATCATCTTAAACCATTATTTAGCAATTTAAGTGACAAGATTATATTTTTAGTCAGTATACATTTTTAAGTCTTCAATACAATTACATAATATAGCAGTATTTTTAGAGCAAATAACCCACATATTTAAAGGTAAGTAATAACTTATTTAAGCATTTTCTCCATTTGCTTTTTCTTAAACTTAAATCTAAGAGATTTGATATAATTCCTTACTTTAATAGATTTCCCATTTTCTAATTCTTTATAAATTCTATGAAAAGTGAATAATGATATTTGATTATTCAGATCATTTTTTTCCTAAGTCTTTTCTTTTACTTGATCAATTATTTTTCTAATATCTATTACACTATTTACATATCAAAAAATTTCATCATTCCTTTACGAAGCAGTTCATATTAATCTTTATAACTTATTAAACTTAATCCTCTTCTAAATGTTTGATGTATGATAAAACTTGATGTTAAAATTTTATCCTCAATTTCAGGATCAACATTTAACTTTATATCAAAAATTTCAATCTATTAATTTTAGATATTATGTATTTCTCTTTTGATAAGAAATATTTCAGAAAATTCTTGGCAAATCTATAATATATCTTAAGAGTTCAATAAAACATTATCCTTTATCATATTCAAAAAGAGCTACTTAAAATTCAAATTTCTTTTGTAATTTATCTATGATTGTTTTAATTTCTTCTTTTTTTTAAGCTTTGATTTCTCTTCCATATTATTTTGTCACATATTTTTTATTATCCATTTATTTAAATATTTATTATTATTATAATTTTACATTTCATTAATCAATTGCTTGGATCTCATTCCAAACTATTTCTCTTTATTAATTTTTATCAGGAAATCCTAAATTGTGCTTTTCACAAACTCCTATAAAATTCTGTAGAGCTTCCTTACAATTATTTTAAATATCTTCAGGATTTCTTTCTCTTTAAATTGTCTTTAAAACATCAAGAGCCTCTTTTCTTAATAATTAATCGTATTATTCATCTTCATTAGTAAAAGGAACATAAAAAACTTTATCAAAAGGTAATTTATCAATCTAGATGAATTGAAAATATATTACTTAAACTTTATTAAAGAATGAAAAAAAGAATAAAACAACAGAGGCTACTTTTTCTTTACTTCCAACTAAAGTTTCATGATTTTCTCTTTTAATTGCTCTCTAAACACATGAAACCAAATATGTTATAGAAAATAAATTGTTTCCTAATGGTTTACCAATTTTAGGAATTAAACCAATTGAATTATATTTATTGAAATACTCTTAAACTATTTCTAAAGGTCCTTTCAAAGCATTTTCAGGATGATTTTTATCAAAAATTATGACAATAAATTATTATTCACAAACTACAATTTAGAGATTATGTAAATACCTTACGCTTTTTAACAAACTGCCCTAATTTCATTATCATATCTTGATCTATATTTTTTTCTTGTTTCTTAATAAGCAACTTCTTTTGAAACATTTGGATTAGCTGCAATATGTTCATTCATCAATTTTAGTGAAACTTAATCACTAGATATAATAAACAATTTTGTATTTCCTTAATGCTTTTCGTTATAATATGATTCAATGCTTTCAAATAAAACTGTTTTCCCAGATGCTGGAATAGCCATAGGAAAAAAAAGTAAGACTTTCTTAAAATTTCTAAATTCAATACCTTTTATTCCATGAATAATAAAAGAATTAATTAATAAAAAAAGTGGCTTAAAAGTGAGTCATAATTAAAAGCAAAAAAATATTTTGAAAACATTTATTTTAATACAACTACCTTATGGAACCATATTTAAAAGATTAATTTGCTGTTTAAGGAACTTTTCTATCATCTAATTGCTTTTTAATTTTAACAGAAGGCACCATGTACATTTATGAAAGTGAAAAAGCTTACAGTAATGGAGAAATTCCAACAGAAATACTCAATCTAAAAATGTTCAAAATATAAATTGCTTAAAAAGACGGTAAAGTACTTACTTTAGTTAATATAAAAAATTAAGAAAAATAATATGTCTTTTATAATAATAGAAGAGAATAAATAGATGTATATGCATTATAATATTATTTAGTGTTGGTACAATATGATAAAAAAATGGAAAGAATAATATGAATAATTCTTAAGGGATGTTAATGAACACAAAATAAATATTGTACCTTTCGAGATGATGGATTTAAAATATTCTATTGATTTAAAAAATGATTCACTTGATTCCGCATTAATTTAATAATGAATCTATTTCATCAAAATCCTTATCAAGATCATTTAATTCTTATTTAATATGCTAATTAAACTCTTATTATTTTAATTGTTCTTTTGAAATTTTTTATTCATCTTTTTGAAATTAATCTAATTCTTATTGTATTTTTTATTTCATATTTGCTGAAACTTGTTCATTTTAATCATTCTATGAGTCTTATTAAGTAATTTCTTGTTCTTGAGAAATTTAATCTAATTCTGCAAGTTAAGCTTTCCATTAAGTAAGTTTTAGCAAGATATCATCATCAAGTTGATTGAGATTGAGTTAATTTGTTGGATAGTTTTCTAAATTTTCTAATCTTTAAGCACTTTCTTATAATTTTTAAGTAACTTCTAAAGTTTTTTATTCACTAGCCATGTATTTTGGAATTTTAAGATATTCTTTCATATATTCTTGTCTAATTTTTTATAATTTCTAATTTAGATCAGCTTATTATTATAATAATTCTTCTTAACGAGTATCTTCTTCTTCTTCATCAATTTCGTAGCCACTTTTATAAATTATTTTTTTAGTTTGTTGATTTTCCATAAGTTGTTTTTTCAATTCAAGATTTTCATTTTTTTTCCATTCTCTCAAATCTTGAATAGCAGAATCAATTTCTTCCATCAAAAGTCTATTTTAAGTCGAACGTTAAGATGATGCACTCATAGTCCTCAATGTCTTAATAGAGTTAGGATTGAACATATTTTATAAGTAATGTTAATAATCAAATAAAATAATAAAATTATGGATGTCTTGGAGCAGGTCCTTTTTTCATAGTAACATATCTATCAATATAGGATTCAAGTTCTTTTTTAATTTTCTTATCGTTGGTCTTTTCTTCCGGAACATACTCTAATAGATTGGCATATTTATTATCATCTTAAAATCGTTATTTAGTTAAAATTAATGCTTGTTGAATCTTAAAAGTGTTCATCCTATAAAGATAATTAAGTAAAGAGATACTTTTCAAGAAAAAGATCATATTATTCATTGGCCTTAATAGCTTCATGAAAATAATTATCTTCTTTGCTTCTTGGTAATTATCTAATATGCTTAATAACCTAAATAAGCTATTAAATTTTATACTTTTTCTTGTTTCTCTGCTACTATCTTTTTAGTGCCAATTCTATGACCAAAAATCATATCATTGTTAGGCTGGTTTGTTTAACATTAATGTAGTTTCATTTTTTTATTTATTAAATTAGTTTATGGAATAAGATTAGATAATACTCTTATTAATTGGATTAGTTACCATAGTTCTACTTGCTATATTATACTTTATAGTGAGAAAAAAACAATAATAAATACCAAAGACTCAACTAAATAATTCAACTCATATAGAAATTACATAAATGGAATAAAAACCTTAAAAAAGCTATTAAAAAATGGCCAAAAAATAATTAGAAATAAACATACCCAATAGCTCATTTGACCCTTGATCATTTTTTTATAATATTATTAATATATATTTAACGAATACATGTCTATTACTTATCTGCCATTTCATAATCTTGCTTACTGTCCAAAATAAGTCATAGAATTTGTGTAAAATCCAAATCTCAATCTCCAAGATTTGAATCATATGATAGAATAATTGTGGATGCCAAAAAATCATCTAAAAGCAATTTAGAAAATGCAGATATTAGCATCAAGGTAAGAACAATTTTTATAGGACGACAATACTATGCAAAATTAAGATGAGGATATCCATTCTCCAAAACAAATTCTAAGTTAAATTCCATACTGAAAACTAATAAATATATTTTATAAAAAATTTAGTCATTAAATTTATATTGTCTTGGCTCATTGATTTAAATAATTAAATTACAAGAAAATCATAGTAAATTAATGAATGTANTTAGGATTGAACATATTTTATAAGTAATGTTAATAATCAAATAAAATAATAAAATTATGGATGTCTTGGAGCAGGTCCTTTTTTCATAGTAACATATCTATCAATATAGGATTCAAGTTCTTTTTTAATTTTCTTATCGTTGGTCTTTTCTTCCGGAACATACTCTAATAGATTGGCATATTTATTATCATCTTAAAATCGTTATTTAGTTAAAATTAATGCTTGTTGAATCTTAAAAGTGTTCATCCTATAAAGATAATTAAGTAAAGAGATACTTTTCAAGAAAAAGATCATATTATTCATTGGCCTTAATAGCTTCATGAAAATAATTATCTTCTTTGCTTCTTGGTAATTATCTAATATGCTTAATAACCTAAATAAGCTATTAAATTTTATACTTTTTCTTGTTTCTCTGCTACTATCTTTTTAGTGCCAATTCTATGACCAAAAATCATATCATTGTTAGGCTGGTTTGTTTAACATTAATGTAGTTTCATTTTTTTATTTATTAAATTAGTTTATGGAATAAGATTAGATAATACTCTTATTAATTGGATTAGTTACCATAGTTCTACTTGCTATATTATACTTTATAGTGAGAAAAAAACAATAATAAATACCAAAGACTCAACTAAATAATTCAACTCATATAGAAATTACATAAATGGAATAAAAACCTTAAAAAAGCTATTAAAAAATGGCCAAAAAATAATTAGAAATAAACATACCCAATAGCTCATTTGACCCTTGATCATTTTTTTATAATATTATTAATATATATTTAACGAATACATGTCTATTACTTATCTGCCATTTCATAATCTTGCTTACTGTCCAAAATAAGTCATAGAATTTGTGTAAAATCCAAATCTCAATCTCCAAGATTTGAATCATATGATAGAATAATTGTGGATGCCAAAAAATCATCTAAAAGCAATTTAGAAAATGCAGATATTAGCATCAAGGTAAGAACAATTTTTATAGGACGACAATACTATGCAAAATTAAGATGAGGATATCCATTCTCCAAAACAAATTCTAAGTTAAATTCCATACTGAAAACTAATAAATATATTTTATAAAAAATTTAGTCATTAAATTTATATTGTCTTGGCTCATTGATTTAAATAATTAAATTACAAGAAAATCATAGTAAATTAATGAATGTATACATAATCCACATTTAATTGCTATAGGCAAATCCAAAATAAATTATAAGAAATCAATAATTCATTCATTTTTCCTTCCATTTCCAGTTCTCAATCTAATCTATTTTCTATTTTTGATCTCTATCTAAAACTCAGTTTATATGAATTTGGATTTAGTTTGATTAACGAAATAAATTAATTCCAAATAGATTCATACAGTTTTAACAAAGCTCTAAATTTTTATCATAATATTTTTTATTCAATTTAACTTTTTAATCAAATCTCTTCAAACTATTTGCTCTTATAGTACATAGTACATCTGGGCTATTTAATCCTATAACCAATAACAAACCATTTTTCAAATAATTGAATTTAACACAAAATGTTATTTTACCTACTCTAACTCCTCCTTATATTTTATGTAAAATTTTATCAAATATTAAATCATCAAAACTCATCTTAAATTATTTAATAGTATTGATTATTATTTGATAATCATATACTTTATGTCTAGCTTTTATCAAACTTAATATTTAACTAAGAGAGTCTCTTTTTCATTTTATTTCCAATGTTATCTAAACCAACCGTGCTTACATTCGTTTTTAATCCATTCAAAAGAGAACATCCTTTACATTTTCTTAAATTAGAACTTAGAGTTGTTCCATTAATTATTAAATATAATCATAAATTGTACTACTGTAATTTGATTTAGTAATTTGGATCAAATATAGGATTCCCATTAAATGATTACTTTTAATCTTAAATATTTTTATCGATTCTCTTTCTTTAAGATTATGACACTGCTTATCTTATTCTCTTCTCCTAAGATATCAAATCCTAAAGTCATGTAAATGCCTGATGTACTTTCACTAAACGTGGATGCTCAAATTCTTTTTAATAATATGTTTCAACAGGCTTTAATTTTTTTATAACCCATTTAGGGCCTGTTCTTTATGTAATCTACTATAAATGAACACCGAATTGCTTTTCTAATACTTTATTCGCCCAACTTGATCCATAAGGATTTTTCTTTGTATCTCTGTGTACTATAAACTAGATATTACAGCTAAAGCCTACTTTTGTTTGAATTCTCTTTTTTTTCACTCTTATTTGAGATTTCTAATTTATCATGATGATTTGATTGCTTTTAACTTTCAAATTCATCATCTCCCAAAAACTGTAAGATTGTCAAGGGTTCGCTTAGTTCTGCTACATATAATTAACATTGGAAAAATAGACTATCCCTTTACTGTTTCATAATTAATAAATACTTAATATTTGATAATTCATAGATCATTCTAGGATCACGTTAAAAAATTAATTGCTTAACTTAATATCCAAGCACCAACTAACACTACCCAAAATTCAAATTTAAACAACACATTTTAGCCCGATGATGGATTCTATTACTATTGTTATTCTAAAAAGGCCATATCTTATTGAGTGACTGTGCTATCTTAGTTTGATTATTTTTCCTTAAACATAGCAATAGCATTATCTCTCTGTTATATGACATTGCCTATTGAAGCTTTCAAATCCTAAACTTCTCTTTACTACTTAATTTAATACTCTTATTGATTTTGATACTAAGCTTTTAATTTTTACAATTGGTTTTCAGTTTCGGTAATCTTATTCTACAAAGTTTAGATTGTTTTGTTATATTCCTACTCTTTTTGATCAGGCTATTATTTTTATTAAAATTAAGATTTAGCGAACTCTAAGGCTTATACTTCTCTAAGTGCTTCCTTTTATAAATCTAGTTATTGTTAATTAATCTATTAATTTAATTATGATTATTCTTGTCTTATTTTTTCTTATTTTTATTATTCTTACCTTATTTGATCTTATCTTAATTACTCTTATCTTATTTAATCTTATCTTAATTATTCTTATCTTAATTACTCTTATCTTATTTAATCTTATCTCAACTATTCTTATCTTAATTATTCTTATCTTATTTAATCTTATCTTAATTATTCTTATCTTAATTATTCTTATCTTATTTAATCTTGTCTTAATTATTCTTATCTTAATTATTCTTATCTTATTTAATCTTGTCTCAACTATTCTTATCTTAGTTATTCTTATCTTAATTATTCTTATCTTAATTATTCTTATCTTAATTACTCTTATCTCAACTATTCTTATCTTAATTATTCTTATCGTATTTAATCTTATCTCTATTAATCTTATCTTTATTATTCTTACTATTTTTATCTTATATATATTTTACAATTTTTTATTAAAGGTCAATTTATTATCTAGCTTCAGCTAATAATTTCTATTTTAACTCTTCTTCTCTCTATTAAGCTTCTTCTCTTTCCTTTAAGGATTTTTTTTTTTATTCTTCTTATTATCTTAAAAAATCTTGTTGTTATTGCAACATTTTTTATCTAGAATCGTCTTACTATTTTTTGGCAATTTCCTAAAGTTTTTCTTATTCTAATCTTTTTCTCTACTATTCTTCTTCATCATTTTATGAAAATAGTGATGAAAATTTCTAAATATCTTAAGGTGTCATTTCTGATCCAACAACATATTTAATAGATGAATAAGTGTCTTGCAAAAACTCCAGCTATAAAATTGATAATAAAACATACACTTTCGTTTTCCACTTCATCTTCAAAAACAATGTACCAAACATTATTTACTTATTTGTTTTTGACAATTTTTCCAATAATTTTAAATTTCTATACTACATCCTATTCGCTTAATCCTTCTGGTAAACCCCAAATTTTTATATAATTAGATATTTGATCCATAAAATTAATTAATATGCATAGAGATACTTTCAAATCAATATGGTCTAATTTAGATTAAGCATTAGGAGATTCTTCATTTTCCTCTTATTATGCTTCTTATCAAAGGAGAAACACTCCAAACAAATACAAATCATCAAAGAGCGAATTACTATCATTAACTGCCACAAGAGTAAGATTTGTTTGTCCAATGAATAAAAGAGATAGATTTGTTGATCTACTCTTAGAGGCTATAAGTTAAGATAACGAACTTGACAAAATAACTATAAAAAATAAAGAACGTCACTTTGGAGTTAATTTTTTGAAGTTAGAATCTATGCATTTAAAGCTTAATGCAGCTAAGGTCATAGGAGCTGAATTAAAAAATGATGAGAGATATGTAAGTTTGTACTTAGGAAACAATTAATTTGGTGATGAGGGTTTCAAGATTCTAACCACTAATCTTTCCGATAATAGATGCATCATCCATTTGGATATCAGCAAATCAGTAACTAAAACTCAAAAACCAATAGTCTATTACTCCCAAGGGATTTCGTGATGCCTTACCCCATTTGAAATCAATCTATACTCTTGTATCGTTGAATTTGTCTGGCAATCGATTAAGTAGTGTTGGAAGTAGAGCTCTATAATAATTAGTTGATGAGCATCGTAATATTCAATTCCTGAATCTCTACTCTACATTTTCTGACATTATATAAGGTGTTTTTGTGAGTTACAATTAAGGATTTAATTCATTAAAAAAGACAAATGCTATTTGTTCTTCTTTATTCTTAAATTTATAAGAGAATGAACTCAGAGACTCAGGAATAGAAGGAATAAATGAATAAATTAGTCATTGGACTATTCAAGTTCTTAATTTGAGTGATTGTTAAATTACTTCACATGGATTAAGTAGATTAGTTGATAGAATAGTCAACCATTTATATTTAGAATCCTTAATTTTATCTAAAAATAATTTTGGAATCTCAGTTAGTTGTCTATTCAAATTATTGTCACAAAATTATTGGTTATAAAAGTTGGATCTTAGTTACTGTTAAATTGTAGATTTCTCACAAATTAGTGAAGGTTTAAAAGAAAATAAAGGATTGAGATATTTAGATCTTAGTGGAAACAAAATTGGAGAAAATGCTGTGATTTTAGGTTTGCATATGTAAAAGTTAACTCATATAAAACTTAATGATTGTGATCTAAGATAAAATGTTAATGATATTTTAAAAAGATTGCATTACTCAAATCTTAAGAGTTTAGAGATCAATTAAAATAGAATTGAAGATCTAAAAGAATTAAAAACATTATTGATGAAAAATAAAGAAATAGAAAAAATTTCTTATGGTTAAAACATGATTAATTTCAAGTAACATTAAGAAATTTAAAAAATTTTAAATTTAAATATCAGATATTAATAAACTCAAATAATACCAAGATTCTAATAAGAATTATCAAAATTAGGTTAGTATGAATAAGAAAGAATGATGATTTCCAGAAAAATGCAAGAGCTTGAAAAAAAAAAGGAAGAAAAGGAATAAGAGCACTTATCACTACTTAAAAGATTAGACAAGACCAGAGTAGAATAAGAACTATTGACAAAAGTTAAGGAAAAAGAAGAAAAAGAGATGTCAAATCAATTAATTTCTATTAAATTATAAACTGAAAATTTAATTAAGCAAACATAAGAATTAAATAATGATAAACAAGAGTCAAAATAATTGTTAATAAATACTATTATCGAATAAAACTTATGCAAATAGTTAGTAGGCAAAATTGAAAAATAATAAGATAAACTTGATCAATTATTGATGAGAAAAAAATATATAATCAAGGAGTTAGAACATAAATTGCATAAATAAAATATTCTATATTAGAGATAAGTTTAGGATAATGAAAAATATTAAAAATGATCATGAATTTTTCTAATTAACAAAGACTTTTTGTCATAATAAGAAATAAGTTAAATTATTAAATTTAAATTCATAAATGAGACCATCTTAAGGAAAAAAAATAAAATAGGACGATTCCGACAATAAATTTAGAGATAAAATCTATCGTTCTATGTATCCATCTCCATGTTCTTCATAGTAAAGATTTAATTTCGAAATTGTAGTGATCCCAATAAATGGCTACAAAATAATGACATTTCATGGTTGTCTCATTCAATAGAATAGGACATTGATAAAATCTTACAAATTGCAGTCCCTTAACCTCTTAAACCATAAAATAATAGAAGAGCAAGTGCAAATGATATTAGAGAGGAGGTTGATGACAAAATAGGTAAATAAAAGAGAAATACATGGTATGTTGACACTCAACATGAAGATTAACCAAAAAATAGCAAATTGAAAATTAATATGAGTTCAATTATTTGTGAATTCCCAATTTAAAAAGTTTCGCGGTAATCAAATTCAGAACAGCCAAAAACACCAAATGGTCAAAAATCATTTATGGAAGCTATTATTTAGAAGTATTAACAACAAAATGATCAACAATAAGATGATTAATTTGAAAAAGAAAAATAGTATTTATTCTAAAATGATAAAAAATCTCAAATCTTGGATCCTCAAATTAAAGAAGATGAAATAAATGAAAATATTAAAAATGATGAACAACAAAGTATAAACTCTTCCTAATAAGAAAATATTTAAAAGAAAAAAAATCATTCAAAGCCAAAAAGGGGGGGGAGAAAAAAGAAAACTAATTAACCTTTGCCTAAAAAGAAATCAAGATAAACAAAAAAATAAGCCCGAATACTCCCGCTACCTTAAAAAACTGAAACTGAATTTTATTAAGAAAAAACAAAATAAATTAGACCATCATAAACTCTAGACTAACCGATATTCAATACATAATAAAGTTGGGCAAGAATGTCATTACGTAAAGAAGCCAAAAAATATCAGAAATATTAAACTTAAGAATTTAAAGATTTATTACGTTCATTACCAGGATGCTTTATCCATAAAAGTGAAGGAGATTTGAAAATAGATAAGATTAGACCAATGTAAAATGTAAAAAGAAAGTATTTTTAATCATTTGAAATGTGGATAAATCCTTAAGTATTGATAGGTCCAATAAATTTAAATACTTCAGTTAAATTAGTAAAAAAAATTTCTAATCTTAGCACGTAAGATTTAAAAAAGGGTATTCTGGACATGTCTTCTGTGATAGTATGCTTTCTGAAACTCTACCATTAAATTAAGTAGACGGAAAAACATTTCATAAATAAAAATTAATACTTGCTAATAATTCTGATCATGTGATAAAATTGATTTGCTGTTCAGTAAATATTACAATTAGAGGTCCTTAAAAAAGACGTAAATGAATAGTTAGTATTATAATTATCATGTTTTTTTTACATAATTTTTGTCAAATTTCTAAATATTACTTTTACTTTGATTCAAATAGATAATTTAAAAATTTATCAGTTATTTTTAGATTATAGGGATATATTTGGCAATTACATATCAATTTAATTCAATCTTAAGAGCGAATCTATTTATGTTTTAAAAATACTATGATAATGACTGAAATACTGCTTAAATTCAAAATCTAGAAAATTTCATTGAACTCAAAAATAGGTGTCATTTGTAATTATTTATTTTGTAAAAAATTTGAAGTACATGAGTATAAGACTAGAACTTTTAAGGTGGGTTAATGAAAAATGCCCATCAATGAAGGCAACAAATATTGAAAGTCTTTCAGATGGAAGACATTTCTTGTGTTTATTAAGAAAGTACTTTCCTGAAATAGAAATTCCTTAAATTAAAAAATGCTCTTCAATAATTTAAAAAATTGACTCCTTAAAACTAGTGGTTTTTTATTGTTAAAAATTAGATGCATCATTTAAAATAGATGTATTGAAAATAGCAAATAAAGAATCCACTTCAATATTAAATTTGTTAAAATTTCTAAAATCAATTCTAGATAAAACTCCAATAAAAAATACATGTATATAAGAAGAGTGTTAAACTATTTTTAAAAAAAAAGAAAAAGACAGTCATTAAATCTGTGAAGAAATTTTAGTTCCTTAAGTTTTGTAAGTCAAGGATGATGAAACCCAAACCTCAGAAATTAAAGAAGATTTAATCCCATTACATGTGTTTCAAATTTAAGTCAAAAAGCTTATGTTACGAAAATTGAAGCATCCTTATTTTGAATAAGAACTACTTGGATTGTTGGATATTGATTAGGAAGTAGCTGATATGATGTAATATTATAAATCAGCTACTTAAAAAAAAAGTAAGAATTCCAAACATACTGAATATTATTCAATACATAGTAGTAAATTTTATTAGAGAGGTGAACCTAATTTGATTGATGTAGACTATTCATTCGATCAACAATAAGCTAGTAAAAGAAGTATAGAGATTGATAATCTATTTTAAGTGAGTGATGAAAAATTGAAACCTTGATTTATCAAATTATATAAACAGAAACAAGGGACATTCTCAGTAATTAAAGTAATTTTTTAAAAACTAAATTATAAGGTTAAGAAGACTTTATATATCATTTCTATTTAATTTTCTATTTATCTCCTCTCTAGTTGTTTTATGATTTAGCTTTGTAGGAATGTTTTTCTATTGAAGCCTAATATCTAGTTCGTATTATTTCTTTCGAGTAAGATTTTTCTTTCTCGTGATTTAAATTATTTTATTTGGTATTCGAATTAATAGATACAATATTTTTTTGTTTTTTCTACTTTATATTTGGTTCTTTTAAAGATGAAATTTCTACTAATTGATCATTTTTTTACTTAATTTTCTCAAAAATTTTTGAAAATTTAGATGGATTATTTTTGGCAGTTGTATTTTTGCCTATTTATTAAATTTCTGTTGCTAAATCTTCTTACTATTTATTAGCTTTATTTTTTTCAACTTTAATAGCAAAAGCATTTGTTTCGCCTTTTGTTTTTTTACATTTTAATCTAGTAGTTTATGTTTCATTTTTGTTTGAATTTTTTGAAAAAGTTTGTTTAAATTCTTTTTGAATATTTGTTTTAACTTTTTTTTAAAGTAGTTTAAATAAAGCATTTTCTTTTTATTCTTCATAGCTTAAAGGAGTGGAAATTTAAGGTTTTTCACAACAAAAAAAACTATTTTCTTTTTCTTCGCTTTAATTTAAATTATGATTTTCTTCTTTGAAAGATAGTTAAAGAAACTATTCAAACTAGTTTTCATACTATAAATTAATATTTCCAAAATTTTAATAAATACTCATATCATCTAGCTAATTTAATTCTATTTGGTTATTATACTTATTGTTGTCATCATCATTTATAAATTAGTTTGTTAAATGCATCGATTATTAATCTTGATTGCCTTAATAATTATTTCTAATATAGTTATAAGCAGGGTCTATTTGATTTTGAAATGATTAGAAGAATTATGATTTTTATGAAATTTCTTAGCTTTCAATACATGCTTTTTTTGAAATTATATCAATATCAGATTCTAAGCCAACAGATAAATCGTTTGGATTAACTATAATATATTGTTGCTCTTTTTATCTCTTAATAAAAGCTTCATAAACTTTAGGTTTGAATCGTGCCATAAAATATTCTCTAAGATTACGCTTCTCCTTTAAATATTATGCTTTTGTTATTGTTTTTGCCTATTTAGCCTATTTTAATTTATCTAAAGATTTGCTATATAGATATTCAAGGCATACAGCTTTATGGAAAAGCATTCCAAAAATGTCTAGTTCTTTAAAACACCATAAACACTTTGCCATATTTTTTTAATAAATTTCCCTTAAATGATACTTATTTATAAAATCAATTAAGTCTTGAATTATTTTGTCAAACTTGAATTTGATAATTTTCTATTAAAAAGAATATAATAATATTAATTATTATATTGTTGAAATAAATTGATAGTTAAAATAGGCTTGAAAGCTTATAGAGTAAGAATAGTAGACAATTGGGTTGAAAATAAATGTTGGATTACATTCATTAATTTAATAATATTAGCATAGCAGTCATGTTGTCACAACCATATCCAGTTGAAGTGTCAGCAGCTAAGGAAGTATCAAGTAATTATTCCAAAATAATGGAGGGCTCTTGTTTCTCAGCCACACGTGCGGAGATGAACTCCATCACTTTATAACTGTTTTAGGTTTCGAATACACCATCGCATCCCAAAAAGAGAAAACTAAAATTAATAAATTCAATTTAGTTACCGATCATCTTTGTTTAACTTAATTTTCCTGATTTCAGGTTCTGCTATAACCATTTACTAATTAGCAGGTAATGGTTCCTGCTTAAATTCAAAATCACCAAATGCTCTGGAAACTGATAAGGTACCATTTAAACGACCTTATTCATCCACAAAACCTCCAGCATATCTAATTCGTGCCAATTCATTGCTTGGAAGGTGATCTTTAGTTAATTCAATGGTTTCGTCATCTCTCATTAACAGACATCGAGAGTCTCCTAAATTGGCCACATAAAGCATATTATCTGCTATTAATGCAACGACAGCAGTAGAACCTATAAATGTATCTTTGGGTTTATATTATAAAATATATACTTTTGATTTCATTATTTTTAATCATATCGTCCAGCTATATAAATGTGTCATGAATTGATTGCATAAAATCCATTTTTTAAAATGAGGGTTAAGAAATCAGTACATTCATGAAATTTTCAGCTAGATACTATGAAATCCCAGGGCCACCATGTCCATCAAATACTGCAAAAAGTGAAATATTTTCTATAAAATTTGGTTTCATCAGATGTGCATCTTCCATTTATAATCGCCATCCTATTCATTAATATTATTTATATACCTTGCATGGCAGTAGTATAACACGATAACTAACCACTAAACTAATATTCATGGGATTTCTAAGTATTAGGTTGGGATAAAAAGGATCCCATTTATATTATTTATAAATAATAATTAAGTGCCAACTTATCGAATTTTGCATTTGAGTTGTATAATATCAAATAATATTTTATTTGATATCATCAGTTTATGACAATTTATAATATGAAATATTATATTTTAATAATTGTCGTATTATTACACATTTGCATAAAATTCTTATATTCCTATTTCCATTTCTTGTTCATGAAATTTTTATTTTGAGTCAAGTTTTTCAATCGTTATTTTCAATAATAATTCGTTTTTCAATATATTAAAATTAATTAATTCTGAACTGAAAATTACAAAAAAATTTAACAAATGAAAAATTGATTGTTCCAATAAAATTAAGAGAGAGTTTAAATAAGTTGCAGAATCAGGAAATAAATTTTAGTATTTAACTTCTTGCTCTTTATTTTAATTTTAGTTTAGAATTAAATTTGTAAATGAAAATAATTTTTATTAATATTTAAACAAGATATTTCATAAAACTTATAAATAAGACATTAGTTCTTCTTCTTCCAGTTTAGAATCTCATCCCCTGGTGTTAGTTATGACATGGATAGGGTCTATACTATCCTTATATAATAGATAATATTCCCTTCAACCTTTTGGCTCTTTTTCCATATGTCACATGTGGACCATTTCTAGTTTGGAGAGCTAAAAGAGTTTCTTTCTTGGATCATACAGTTCAGGGTAAAAAATCTGTATGTCACTTTCTCATACTCTCCAACTCGTCGCTTTCTGAGGAGCGCACATTGTTGATTTACCTCTCTTGACAAGAATACTGGCCTAATATTAAGCAATATAATCAATGCACTGAGAATCAAGGTGGGAAGAGGATTGAAGTGAAAACTTTTTTAGTTTCAACTTGTAAAATTCTTTCTTAAGCTTGAATTAAAAATATTCTCTCATCTCTTTATAATATTTTGCTTATTACAGCTTTAGATAATTTTTATTCTTTAAATTTTAACCTAAATATTTTATAAGTGCATATGTAACACAAAATTCTTCTTTTTTTTGATTGGGTAACTTTTATGTTTGTTTTGTTTGATTAAGTTCTTATTTCTTTGATAAGGTCGAATTCAATCTAAAATTAGGAGTAAATTCAATTTGATTAGCAGGTTCTTATTATTTTTTGACATTTTATTCATAAATGAACTTAGTAATTAATGAATTCATCTTTAAAATTTAATAAAATTTTTTTTGCCATTTAGAGCATGTACTTTATTTTATCATTTATTTGCTCTTATAAAACTATCTTTCTTTTTCATAAATTATCCATTTTTAAAATTGAAGCTTTTCTTAGCTCTAATCAGTCACATTCGAAATAACAGCATTTTCTCTTATTCAGCTATGTAATAATAGAATTACTGATGTTTAATAGCTTTAAAATTAAGTTATCTTTATTTTTTTCTTATATTCTCATGGTAAATTAGAGACGAATTCTTTTGAAATTCTCATGACACTACTTCTTCTTTGAGTGTTGATTTTGAATTTTTCACTCTTATCTGATGTGACTTCAAAGGAAGTCTCTTGAAAGCATTTTTATCAATTGATAGTTTCAATAGTATCGAACTTTTAGTTGGTTTGTTTTTAGATGTTAATAATATTAAAGCATGTCATTCAGTTTGAAATTAGTGAATCTAAATATTAGAGATTAATTCTTGTTTTGTGATTTAAGCAATTTTTTTATTATTTAATGAAGCCTTTCTAATTAGTTAGAAATTATAAGATTATGAATCATTTATATTTATATTGATGTTAAATATTAATAAATATTAAAGTATAAGATTACCAAAATATTTAATATGAAAATTATATAAATTATCTCATTCATCTTGATCGCTATTTTCAGCTGATGATTCTTAATGGCTTTCTGATGATGTAGTCTAAGGGAGTTAATTTTCTTAAGTTATTATAGAAACTTACAAGAGGCGCTAAATTTATTTTATTTTAAAATTAAAGGGTATGTGGCAATTTTTTGTATTTAGTCAGGATTGGTAAATAATTTAATATTTGGTTGTGTTTATAATTTGTTCTGAAAGTTAGGAGTTTGTGGTTATGTAATTCGTTCAGAATCATTGATTTGATATTATTTGGCTTATTCTGAATCTTATACCAAAGATAACTCGTCATCTTTATCAAATTATGCTGGAGGAGGTTGAATTTTGACAATTTTTCTGATATGATCCTCCACATCAGATTATCTGTTAATTAAGGAATGGATTTAATTTTATTGATAAGCCTTTTTCATATCAGGAGTAGAAGGTATATATTTTTTGGTAACTTAATTCTATTATCGATTCTTATTCTACTTATTTTTGAAGAAATTATTCATGACAACTTAAGATCCAATGAATCCAATTCCCATACCTAGAAAAGTGTAAAATATTGGGTCCATATAAAAATATAAATATAAATTAAATTATTGGTCGAAGAAAGGAAATAACTGAATAATGGAAATATTGTATACGTGTTTATATTGTAAAATCATTTTTTGGCTTTGTTGGTTTTAGCAGCACCTTTTTATGCTTTTTATTAAGCTTTGACTTCTGCTTTTTATGCTACTTTTTAAGCTGTAGCAGGTTTCTTCTTTTAAGCTTCAATTTACTTTTACTTTCTATCTTTAATCTCTCTAGCTGCTTATTCAGCTTATGCCTTTCTAGTTTCTAGATTTCATTAGAAATATGTATTACTATCATCTTCCTTTCTTCTTCTTCTGATTTCTTCTAATGAAATACCAACAATTGCTCTTTGTACTTTAAGATTTCTAATTCTTCTCTTTTTAGCTCCTTCATCTGTCTTAATTTTCTTATTTAATCTTCTCCAAGCAACAGTCCATTAAATTTCTTATGATTTAATCTTAATTATGATGATAATTATTCATTTACTTTTCTTGCACTAAAAGCTCTACTCTTTTAATTCAAGTAATAGAAGAGTCTGCCATCTTTGGCAACGAATCTTCTTCCATGTCCAGGATAGATTCTCCATTCACTAAAAGAGCACAAATCTGTTTTGATAACCATTATTTAAAAAATATTTAAATCTTAATTTTCATTCCATTACAGAGTGTTTTAATGTTTTATCTTCAGGATCTTCAATCTCCCCAGTCCATTTTTTTATTTTTAATTTTCCTTATAATTCATTAACAACATCTTATTTCTCTTCTTATGGTTCATCAAGCTTTTCTAATTATCCTAATTTTTCTTCTATCTCCTCTAATTTTGCTAATTCTATCATTTATTTAACCTATTTGTCTTCATCCACTTCTTCTTATTCTTCTTTATGTTCTATTTATTCTGTCAATTTCTCTATAAGTTCATTCTATTTAAGTAAAGCATTCAAATCTTCAACCAAATCTAATTCTTCAATCTCATTATCCTATAATCCTACATATGTTAATCCAATATCTTCTCTTTCTAATACATTTATAAATTCAAATATGGATTTATCTGTTAAATGATTATTCCATAATTATAATTTCTTTAAATATTTCAAACTTGGCCATAATATTGATGCTGCACTATCAGAAAATCCTGTATTTCCTAAATTAAGATCTTCCAATGTTTTATTTTTTTTCAAACAAATAGCCACTTATTTAATTGTTACCAATTCCATTCCTATATCGTTTAAATATAAGATTTTGATAGTCTTATTTTTTTTCAAGGCCTAAAAAAATGGAACCAAAGATTTAGATGTCAATGGATTATTACCAAAATGAACTACAGTCAAATTAGGTAAACTGTTTGTTGCTAACAAAGTTGAAAAACATATCAATCCTATAATATTTAATATTTCATTACCATAATCTGAAATATTATTTGCTGGCACTTACAATTATTACAAATTTTTTAATTCTGGCAGTGCATAACATAATTAAATGAAAGTTGAATCATCAATTGAACAAGAACTCATACTCAATATTTTCAATTATTTGAAACAGCTTGAAATCTCAATCAAACCTTAAATACCTATCTAATAATATTATATCATTATTTTTCTACTTCTGTAATTTCATTATTTCCAATATAAATTTCTTTAATTTTATCATGCCATTGCAATCCTGTCAACATGTCAATAAATCCTCTGTCACTTATTGAATTAGCTCCTATATGAAACACTGTTAATTCTGCTTAACACTCATGAAGATACAATGCTATCTTTTATATTTGAATAGCTCTTTACAGTCAAAGCATCTAGATCATCTAATTTCTTTGCACTTACATCTAAAAACTTTCCACAACTTCTCAATTCCTCTAATAACCATTGTTTACGTTTTTCAACCTTTTCTTCAAATTCCTTTTTAAATTATTCCTCATCTATTTCTTTATCATTTTGATCCATTTATAAATAATAATAATAATTTTTGTAACTTAAATACACCAAATATATGATCTATACAAAATCAATGCAGATTATTTAAAAATTGATTTTTTTAATCAAACTGAGCTATTCATCTATTTATAATAAAATCAAATATATAAATAATATGACATCTTTAGTTTTATATAAACATAAATATTTTTTAAAATGTAGAACCATTAAGATATTACGAAAGTTTATACATTTGAAAAGACTTTAGGAGAGTAAATACTGAATTTTTATAATTATAGAGGTGCCTTTGGAGTAGTAAAGAGAGCAAAAAAGAAGTCAAATGGAGAAATGTATGCTGTAAAAATCATCAATAAGTATTTTGCTAAGTGATTATCAAATAGAGATAATTTATCGAATGAAGATTTATAAGCTTTGTAAACTGAAGTAGAAATACTAACATAAGTATGATATAATGTTTTACTGTTTAGATTGATCATCCAAATGTTGTTAAACTCTATGAAATTTATGAGGATGACACTAATTTTTATATGGTATTAGAGTTGATGACAGGAGGGGAAGTAAAAATATGAGTTAAAAAATTACTTTCTTAGCTTTTTGAAAGAATAGTTGAAAAAGATCATTTTAGTGAAAAAGAGGCTGCTGCTACATTGAGACCAATAATTGATGCTTTATCTTATTGTCACAAGATGGGAATTGCACATAGAGATTTGAAACCTGAAAATCTATTATATTCGAGCAGAGATCCTGGAGCATTATTAAAAGTAGGGGATTTTGGACTTGCTCGTTTTATTGCAAATGATGAAGTTATGATGACTTAATGTGGTACTCCTGGATATGTAGCTCCAGAAATACTTTCAGGACATGGATATTCAGAGGCAATTGATTTTTGGTCAGTTGGTGTCATACTTTATATTATGTATATATTGTATCATAACGAATAGGTTATGTGGATTTCCACCTTTTTATGATGAAGATAATGATAAACTATTTAAAATAATAAAATCTGGATAGTTCTCTTTTCCATCTCCATATTGGGATAGTATTAGTAACGAAGGTAAGAAAAATAGAGAAATATTATTAAAGCTAAAGATCTCATAAAAGGACTTTTAACAGTAGATCCTGCGAAGAGATTTGGAACTGAAAAAATTCTAAAACATCCTTGGTTGGTGAACAATACAGCAAAATCAATTCCAAATATTTAAAATAAGATGAGAGAATTTTATGGAAGTGCAACAATGAAGGTAGATTTTTGAAATGATTAATTTATAGAAAATGGGTAACTTTGTTAAGCTAGCTCAAAGATGGGGTAAATTATCATAGATAAAAAAGAAGTGATTAATAATATCATCAAAATAATATATGATAATTTTATATTTATATTTCTGATAAAGACTGAGAAATTTAGGATTTTAATTACAGCAGAAAATAATGCTGATAGAAAAATATAATTAATAATGAGTTTTGCCAAAGGATTTTAATTGTTGCCAGTGGGTTTAATAAAAACAGAGGAAGCATTTACGGGAATGCTTTATACATCTTAGAATACATAAACTTAAATAAAGCAGAGACATAATATATAAGGAGAACTATTGATATAGATTAATGGTTATATATTTAAATTAGAGGGAGTAAGGAATAATATAAATAAAAAAGGAAAAAGGCTATAAAGATGATACAGTAGCAGGAAGCAAATATATAAGATAATTGTTGAGAATGTCTTTTACAGATAAGATTGACGTGGCAGTATTTACACTGCCAAAAGATAAAGAGTATAGATTGGGAGTTTTAGATATTGAATTAGATATAGTTTAATAGTAAGGGAGTATGGACAAAGTGGAATTGGATTCAGAAGAGTTAGCACCATTTTTGAAAAGAGCATATTCAGGTTTGTTCTTTAGGAAAGATCAAATCCAGTTATTTTCATATGTGGGAAATATTTACTTATTTAAAGTATATAAATTGATTTAAATTGATAGGTTACTCGTACAGATGTATTGAGTGTCGGAGTAGAATCATAATAAGTAAAATTTACATAAGGAGGAATGTTAGTTGATGTGACAGAAATAGAATTTAGTATTAGATAGGGAGTAAATCAATTGAAAATGAAGAATGCATCAACATAAACAGCAAGTATTTTTAGAGAAGATTTTTCATTTGATAAATTGGGAGTAGGTGGATTAGATAAAGAATTAGCAAATATATTTAGAAGAGCATTTTCATCAAGAAGATTTCCATAAGCATTTCTTGAGAAATATGGTATTAAACATGTAAAGGGTTTATTATTGTATGGTCCTCCAGGAACAGGTAAGACATTAATTGCAAGATAACTGGCTAAAGTATTAAAGGCTAGACCACCTAAGATAGTAAATGGGCCTGAGATATTTAGTAAATTTGTAGGAGAAGCAGAAGAGAATGTTAGAAAGTTATTTGCTGAAGCAATAGCAGATTAAGATACAAAAGGAGATTAAAGTGATTTACATATAATAGTATTTGATGAGATGGATGCAATATGTAAATAAAGAGGATCAATAAATTCTGGAACAGGTGCTTATGATAATGTTGTTAATTAATTATTATCTATGATTGATGGAGTTAATTCACTTAATAATATTTTAGTGATAGGTATGACTAATAGAAAAGATTTAATTGACGAAGCTGTTTTAAGACCTGGTAGATTTGAAGTTCATATTGAAGTAGGATTACCAGATGAATAAGGTAGATAATAGATTTTAAATATTCATACTGAAAATCTTAGGAAAAGTGAAGCACTTGATAAAGATGTAAATCTAGAAGAATTAGCTACAATTACTAAAAATTATACAGGTGCTGAAATTGAGGCAGTTGTTAAATCAGCATCATCTTTTGCATTTTAAAGAATGTAGAATATATTTGATTTTTAAAAGAAATTAAATAAATAAGATGAACTTAAAGTTAAGAGAAGTGATTTTATGAATGCATTAGATGAAGTTAAACCTTAATTTGGTATTGATTCAAATAAATTTGATTTACTTCTTAAAAATAGATTAATTGATTTTGGTGATGAATTTAGAAAACTATAAAAAATATTAAGAAATACTATAGATTAAACTAGATTTGGTAAAAATTCCCAATTAAATTCTGTTTTATTGGAAGGAGATTAAGGTTCTGGTAAAACTAGTGTTGCAGCTTGGCTTGCAGTTGAATGTGGATTTCCTTATGTTAAATTAATATCTCCTGAAACATTTATTGGATTGACTGAAGGTGCTATAATCAATCAAATGGTTAGAATCTTTAATGATGCTTACAAATCATCCCTTTCTTGCATTCTTATTGATAATATTGAAAGACTTATAGAATATGTAGATATTGGACCTAGATTTTCAAATGCTATCCTTTAAGCTTTGTTAGTACTCATTAAAAGGTTACCTGATAAAGTAATTAATATTTATTATATAATTTTTAGTCTTAATGCAGATTACTCCTTATTGGAACTACATCATAATATCATATTATGAAATAACTAGAAGTTGTCTCTTGTTTCAATGTTGCTTTTAAAGTACCCAATCTAATTAAACCTGATGAAATTAGATTAGTCATTTAAGATTATCTAACCACATCCCCTTAATCATAAAATAAACTTTAATTAACCTAATAGTAAGAATTATAAATTAATACAATTGCATCACAAATCAAGGACATTCCTATCAAAAGATTATTAATGCTACTTGATATGGTTGGAGCCTAAGAAAAAGGTTTGAATGTAGACGAATTCATGATATGCTACACTACTGTTATGATGAATCATCTTTGAGTATTTTATTTTATCCAGATTTATATATAACATTTATTCTTATATTTATTAATACTTTCTTCAATTATTAATTGCAGTTACTTTATAGAATCACTCAATAAAATCATTTGCGAATAACTTTGGACTTTATCTTTTTTTTATATCATGCTACATTTGTAATAATTTAATGAGGTTTTGATCCATCAAAGAAACAAGTTTATTTGTTATTGGATCATCCAAATTCTCTAACAGCTAATCCAAAACCTATTAAGCTTCTATAGATTTTTCTTTTAATCCTTTATATGGTCTTAACAATGAAGAATATTGCGAATTCTCTCCTTATTATTAAACTAATGGATCAAGGCTAATTAAAGGTTTTGGAAGAAAATCAAACAACTTTACTTATTCTTTAGAAAGCAAGATCATTTTTAATTTATCAATTTCTTATAACTTGTCTATAATAAATAGTATATCAAGACATTTATCAAGTTTTTAGATTGAATAATTTAATTGCTTGTACTTTCCTTACTTCTCACTTAAAAATATTAAATATATTATTACCCACACTTTAAATATTTCATATAATCAAATGGATTAAATTGCAATTTTAATGATGCTACGCTAAAGAATTTTCTTAAGGCAGTATTTATTCCTTTTTAGAGTATTTTATCATTTTCAGGTGAATTAGTAAAATTTTAAGAGGACTTCTCAGTCTAAGGAGATTTTATTGGTTCTGTTTTTTAATTTTTTCCTTTAATTCTGCCTTTTGGAAATCTTGTACTTGTTTTTGATTTAAATGAATTCAACATTATAGAGATGTCATTTTCATTTGTCTAAATATTTTCTTAATAAGAATTTAATTTCTCAAACATTTTATTTTCATTTTCATCTGAATCGATTTATTTTTAACCTTCAAAATTAAATAAACTATTTATAATTTCCATTTTAAATGACATTTAAGAAAATGGTTTAACAATAATTGAAAATACAAGCATCAATAATTCCCATAAACCTCCTGCTTAAGCCAATATATCTTATAACTTAGGATAAATTCTATAACTAATATTCTCCGTATTTGATAATCTAATCGAAACCGTTGCCAATGATTCATCACTGTTAAAATCAATTATCTCTTAACTTTTTTAATATCTTATAGTAGAATCCTTCCTAACCAATTCATCTAGTAATCCCTCCTCAGTCAATGTAGTGATTGGTTACATAAATATCGTAATATCTTTCATCACTTAACTTGATATTGTTGTTTAAATATCCTCAACCTTTGCAACATTTGGTTATTCATAATTCCTTAAATCAATATTGTAAGAAGATATTTAAAATTATATGTAATTTCTTCTTAATTTTTATTAAATCTCCTCTTTTGACTTGCATTTCATATTTTCACCTATTTTCATAATCAAAACTACTATTACTTGTATCATTTACACATAATTAGAAATTTATATATATATAAGTATAGCTATCCTAATCAGGTGTACCACTCAAACTCAACTCTTAAATTTTCTACCAATCTACACAATAAGTATTATTAAAATCAACATTATCCAATTATTCCTCAATCTCTTAAAAAGTTACACCTATTTTCGCACATGTCGTAAGGGGAATCTCTGTTTTTTTAATATTTGAAATTGTTCTATTATTAACACTTCTAATTATATTTTATTTTACTTTCTTTAAACTTTATTAACCAAAACAGCATTAACTTTGTAAACTGTTTCATCTATGTAATTTGTCTAATTATCACTCTGAAAAGCAAATTATAAAGTGAAATTATCCGAAATCAATGGATAATTAGGAATCTCATCATAATAAACCTCTGAATAAAGAGTTTGGAATTCTTTTCTCCTTCCTAATTATACAAATTTGTTAACAATGTATGTTATTATGCATCCAAATAATAATAATGTCATCAATGCTCCAAATAAAGAATGATGTAAGCGCTACCTTTAAATCATTAATTGAACAGGGGTACCAAAGATGTCAATTTTTTTTATTTAACGTTGGATTCGCTTTATTTTATTTTTTTTCATCAAGAATATTTAAATTTATATTATATACAATATTTTTGATTCGTTTAATTTATTTTCATTACTTAATTCACATTAATTTTAATATCGTTCAAAATTCTTAAAAGTTATGGTGAAACTATTTTTATTTTGATTTACCAAAAATTTTGCTAATAAAATAAATATCGATTTTTATTGAAAGTTATTCTAATTAAAAAATTTATTTATGATAATTTTTGATTAAATGCAAAATAAATCCTTCATTAAATAATTTAAGAATTTTATGAATTATTATGAGATTTATAAATACATAGAATTTAAATTTAGAAAACGAAATAGAATTTTTACTATAATTTAAAATTTGATGGCAAAAACAGATAATTGTTCATTTTAATATAAAATAAATATAAATAAGAAAATAATTTAAGTAAATCGGAATAAAATAATTCAATAAAAAAAAGGGAACAACTAAAAATTCTTTAGAAGCATAAATATGAGAGGAGAATTACTACAAAATAATTTTTTGGAGAAGTCTATATTAGTAACAAGTGTTTGAATTTAACGTCTATTTATATTATTTGAATTATTCTTAATTATTTTTTATATTGTCACAATTTAACTTTTTTCACAGACTCTGAGCCATCTTGAACTTCATCTTCTTCATTTTTCATTTTCTTTTTTTATGAGTCCTATTAAATTTTAGATTTATCCACATATGTATTTTTGATAGGAGAACGTCCCATAGAATTATTTTCCTTCTCTTTATCGAGTACTTTGACTAGAGAAATAACTCTATTTTTTAGTTCATTTTCACTTTTGCATTTAAAAGCATGATCAAATCTGAACATAGGTTCTTTTCGAATAGATTATTTTAGTAAAGTCCAATTTCCATATCCAACTTCATTTGTCATATAAATTAGATATTTATCATTTTCAAGACTAAAGTATTTACTTTTGAATTTGTTATATAATTGTGGAGTGAAAACAAGTTCATATTTAGGTTGATGAAAATGTTTGCATTTTTCTTCGATTAATTTTTAACCATTAGTTTTTTATTCAATTAATTTTTATCCTCTTTCAATTTGTTTAACAATTTTATCTTTTTCACTTAGACCGTCAATTCTCTCCCAAAAAGCTTAAGCATATGATTTAACTTCATCTATTGTTTTTGTTTTAATAAATTCTTAAATTTTCTCAAATGCTTCTTTGCCATACTTTTCATTAGCAGTAATAAAATCAGAAAACTCTTGTTTATTCCAATTTTTAAATCCTGTTTCAAGTAATTATTTTAATTCTTATCTTTCTTCTTAAGTGAGTCCTCCAAAATCAATATTTTCTTCATTATCATTCCCTTTCTTTTGTGTTTTCTATATAGCTAAATAATCTTCTTCTTTTTACAATAAATATTACAATCTATCCTTATTTTCATATAAATGATGTTCAGATAATTTGATTTATTTTCCTTATATTTTTTTAGAATTACCACCAAGCATCATAGCTCTTTTATCTCTATTTCTAGTTTTATTTTCTTAGAAAAGATGATTAGCTAATGCATCTTCAAGGGCATCTTCGTCCATTTTATTTTATTTTTCTTCATTAAAATAATCAAAAATATTAATTTATCCTAATCCAAGATCAAGAGATTACATTTTATCTTTAAAACTTTCAAATTTCTTCTCAATTCTTTCATTCATTTATTGAGTTAATTATTCACCTCTTTTAAGTAGAATATCAATATCTTCATCTTTGATGTCATCTCCATCTAATTTAAAGATTTAAGAGGCTCCATGAGTAGTTAATTCTTTTAAATCTTCTTTTGATAGTAATTTTCCACTTTATTTTTATGATAAACGACCTTATTAAATCATTAAGGAATCCCATCTTAATTTAATTTATTATCTTTCAATAATTTTTTCTTCAATTGTATGTTCACAAGCCATTCTATAAACCATAACTCTATTTTTTTATCCTATTCTATGAGCTCTATCCATAGCTTACATATCCATTTGAGGATTAAAATCAGAATCATAAATAATAACAGTATCTGCAGTGGCTAAATTGATACCTAGACCACCAGCTCTGGTAGAAAGAAGGAAAATGAACTTTTTACTATCAGGCTAAGTGAATTCAGCAATTTAATCATCTCTTTATTAGATTTCAGTTTCTCCATCTATTCTACAATAATCATATTTTCTATAATTGCAATAATCTTCAAGAATATTGAGCATCATTGTAAATTATGAAAATATTAATATCTGATGTGTACCATCACTTAATTTCTTTAAAAATATATCAAGTACTCTCATTTTACCAGCAACTTCTACTAAATGTTCTCCAAGTGGTGGCAATGATTTGTCCTCAACTTCAGGGAATAAATATGGATGAAGGCATATTTTACGAAGTTACATTAATTTATTCATATAGAACCCTTTATCATCTCCTTCATGAGGATTGTTATGCAATAAAATATTCTAATACATTTACTTTTAGAGATTTGTCATTTTTATGAAAAGATGAATTTCTTATTTTGGTGGAAGAATTCTTTCAACTTCTGCTTTTGTTCTCCTTAACATAAAGGGTCTAAGAATTTTTTAAAATTTCTAAACCATTTCAAGATTTCTTTATTCCAATTCTTCTTATTTGATTGTTTCATTTCCTTCTTTCAACTTTGCTTCAGTATTAACTTCAAACCATTTATCAAATACTTCAGAAGAATCAAATAAATCTGGTAAAAGATAATTCAATAAACTCCATAATTCATGAGGTGTATTTTAGAGTGGAGTACCAGTTAATAATAGTTTATAATTTGTCTTTATTTTACGAAGATTTTAACTAATTATTGCATCCTCATTCTTTATTTTATGAGCTTCATCAATAATGATATATTTGTATTAAAATCTTCGAATATGTTTCAAACAAATATTTACTCCTTCATAACTTGTTAAACATACATCGAATTTTCCAGGTTAAAAAAACTTATTGATAATATCCTCTCTTTCTTCTTTTACTGCTATTAACTTAACTACTCTTGCACATGGTAACCATTTCTTGAATTCTCTCATCCAATTACCTAAAGTTGATTTTGGAGCCACAATTAAATGTGGTCCACTAAACTTTTTGTATTCTTTTAGAAATGCTATAAATCCTATTGTTTAAATAGTTTTGCCTAAACCCATTTCATCCGCCAAAATACCATTAATTCCTTCCTCAAATAATGAAATCATCCAATTCACACCTGTCATTTAATACTGCTTTAATTATCCTCCTCTCAAAATTGTAGGTTGTTTATCAAGTACAGTTGGCGCATCATCAAGATCTTCTTCCTCACTTGATTCATTTATGACTTGTCTATGTTTACCTCTCTGTTATGTTAATGCCTTTTATTTTTACTCCTAGGTTCGCTTATGTCGATGCAAGAGAAACATTGCATACTTCTCTGCATTTTCTAATAATGTATTTATCTTAGATTCAATGTTGTCAAATTTAATCTATGAATAATCATAAATTCATTTAAATACATTTGTATTAAGTCTGCTTGTCTATTTAATTGAACTCATGAATGTTTTCTTGTCTTATTCTAATTTCTTTATTCTTTCTTCCTCCTCTTTAATTTTTTCATCATCATCACTTCCAACCTCCTCCTATATCACATCGTTTTCATTTTCACTTGAAATACTCATTAAATTAAATTATGATTTTAAGAGGCATCAATTAACCATTTAATCATCAAATTATTTGATCCTCAATTTAATGAAAAAATATAAAAAACTACTTAAACCCTTTCGATCTCTTGATCTCTTCACTAAACCAGTATCCTTACTAATAAAAGATCAAGAGCGTCACAAAACCTATTGTGGTGCATTTCTTACAATTATCATAATATCAATGATGAGTGTCCTCTTATTCATGAATTTCTTCAATTTAGATAAAAATCCTCGTTCTTATCAATATTAGATCTATCATTAAACATTAAACTGTACTTAGTTTATAAATTTTACAATGCAAATAACTGGAGTGGATGAACAAAACTTAGATGTCAAAACTTCAGATGGTCCACTTTAAAGGAGTTAGGATATATATCAATATGCTTAAAATGTTAGTTTATATGAAACAGATTAAAGAGTATAATATGTTATCGTAGAGATATATCTCAAAGATGTGAGTCAAGTACAAAAATCAGTGAAAAGTCTTGATTTTTCGTTTGAAATACCAACTTTTTATTATGATTTATAAGATGTTAAAGATCCTGTAAAAATAAGAATGGAGAAAATAGATACTACTTTAAGTCCAAATATTCAAAAAAGAATTGATATTTACATGAGTCCTCTTACAGTAATTTCAGATAGTGGAATGGTATTAAAAGATGAGACAAAGTAAAGTTTATTAGCATATTAATATCATAAAGAATCATACGAATTTGAGAATCCATAGATGCTGCTTCATTTAAGAATACGTTTGGATAAAACTGAATTTGTTTAATACAGATCATATCCTAAATTATAATAAATTCTTGGAGAAGCTGGTGGTTTATGGAATGTCATATTTACATTAGCAATGTTTTTATAATTACCATTCAGCAATTTATCTTATCGATTGTAAATAGTGAATTCACTATTTAATTTTTCCAATGAAGATGATACAACAACTGATAATGATAGGATGTAGGTTGTAAATGATAAATTTATTGAGAAAGTTTCAATTCCATAATAGATAGATAAGAAAATTCCATTATGTTATAGTGAAGTGAATCTTCCAATAGGACCTGTGTTGAAAAAGTAAAAATCTTGGAGTCAATTAAACTAAATGAATATAAAAAAAAGATTATATAGTATTTAAAGAAAGAGTCAATTGATTACAGAGGCTGATACTGATAATTAGAAGGCACATATAACAAATGAGATATCTGCATCAATTAAAAGATTTTTCAGAGTAGTTACCAAAAAGCTACATTTAAATTTCTTAGAATATATAACCTTTCAATTTCCAAGAGGAAAGAATAATAACAATATTAAGTAGGAGTAATTCGATTTTGCGGTTAATCGGATTCTAAAGTCTCTTGATATTTTGTACATTATCAATAAATTACATGAAATTGATAAATTAAAATACATTTTATTGAATAAAGCTTAGATAAAGATGTTTGATTATTTACCTAAACCATTTATAGGATCAGACCCAGAAGATATATCAGATGATAATTTCTGTTCACTTTTGAAACCAGCGAAGACTCCTTATTAGAAGGCATTGGAGGCTTAACAAGCATTTAAAGAGATTATTACTAATTATTAAGATCCAATAAATCAAAAATTGATAAACAGTATGGATGAACCTATCATAGATTTAATGAAATTATAGTTGAATTAAGATATTTAAATTTTAGACACATCAGTGATTAATTAATTAGTTCAGAGTGCGGAATACAAATTAGATACAGAAAGATAATGATTATACAGAGTGAATATATTTTATCTATCAATTTTGATTTCCCAGATTAATTTCTCCTTCTGCATATTTTTAATTCATTTTATCCGTAATTAATTTCTCATAAAATATGATTGTGATTCCTACAATAATGTTAATGATTAAAATTTATATTTTAAAATCTGTTGGAAACTCTACTTCTAAATTTAAAAATCCAATTAAATTTGGGAAGAATATTAAAATAATTTATCCAATTATACCCAAACATATAGCAATTACATAATAAATATTCTAATATATGGCTTCTCTAAAAGGAGGTCCCTATGTATAAGCTATAGCCACAGCCAAGATTTCAGTACTGGATGTTATGAGCAGAATAGAGTTTGTATGATTTGGTTACATATAATAGTCATCATTTACCAAATCAATTGTGATTTACTAATAGAACTCCTATTATTTCAATATTTAATGCATAATCATTTAAGCCACAAAACTAATTAATACCATTACACAAACAGATGATAGTACTGGCAATGATATCAAATTACTTATTGGCCTAAAATTGGCCAATCTATTATATGACTTTGTTAAATCCATTGTGAAAGCTAATGGAATAATCAACCAAAGATCTTAATAGAGATACTGCACTTAAGTAAAATCTGTATTATAGAAATAACACTATAAAACAGCAACAGATTAGATACATGAATACAGAGTCATAAATTTAAAGCATTCCACACAAGTTACTAGACAAGCTCTACCTTCTTTTATCAAATTGATAATATTTGAAATATTGAAAATTGTACTTGTAAATGGAGAAGCTAATGAAGCATCTTCTAATGATAATGCTAAACCAACATCTGCCTATCTTAAAGCACAAGTATCATTAGTACCATCTCCACAAAATGCAATAAAATTCAATTAGTCTTACCTCAAGAGAAGCATTAAATCTCCTTTGTTATTAGGTTTCATTCTTGAGAAAATAAATGTTCTTTTTAATAGATTTAATATCGATTTTTGATTTTCTATTAATTAATCATATTGATATTGTAGATATTCAAATACCTATCCTGTTATTGCCAATTAAAAATGACAAGTTAATTTCATAATTTCATTTGTTTCAAAATTTTGAACCTAAGTCGAATCTAAACTGTAACAACTTCTGTTATCGTCTGCTATATCTATTTTCTATTACATTATCTCATTCCAATATAATATATCATTATTAATGAATCCTAAAAATATTCTGCCATTTTGATCCAATATGTTACATTATAATCCTATGTTAATTGCAGTGTATGGATTGTCCCCAGTTACCATAATTGATTTAATATTACTTTATTTTAAACTAATGATAGTGGATTTGGTTTCTGCTTTTAATTTATTTTCAAAAATCAAGAATCCTAAGAATATCATGTTTTATTCATAGATTTCTCTTTTATGTAATTATTATTAATTTAAATGATTAACATCTCTATAACAACAAGCAATTATTCTGAAACCTTAAGAACTGTACCTTAATAAGAGATTATTATAATTTATAGGTACATTAACACAAATGCTTCTAATTTATTCAGGTGATCCTTTACAATATAAAATATTTTCATTTGTTATAACTGACATTCTTTATAATTCTGCTAAGAAATCGTATCTCTTAATTACTATTACTTCTTTCATTTATTTTTTTGCCTTACTCTCTTCTAATAATTCCCATCCTGTTTCTTAAAACATGCATAGATCAATAGGATCTCCCATTATTTCATTATTGATTATTGATAATGAATGACAAATACCCATACACTCATTAAATTATTGTGATACATCTTTAACCATTTATAATTTATTAAAACCTTAATCTTTAGTTTCTCTACAACCTAAGACATCAAGTCCTAATTCTGTTAGAGTACCTGTTTTATCAAAAGCTATTAAATTCACCTTACTTGCTACATTTATTTTATCTGGCTTTACACATTAGATAGATTTATCTTCTAAACGTTTTAATGCAAGACTAATACCAGCTCCTAAAGCAGTTGGTAATGTTGCTGGAACTATTATTGTTACTATTTCTAAAGCATTTATTATGCTTTCTCCTAAACCAACACCTTAAGCTCCACTTATTAAAATTGTAATAATAGCTTATATTAAACCTAATGTAGCTAATACAAATAAATATCTTAAAGAATCTCTATAAAAACTAAATGTTTAAGTTCTATTAAACATTATTGATCTAGCCAAACTACCTTTTAAAGTTTAAAATCCAGTCTAATAAACTATGGCTTTAGCATTTTCTCCATTTTATGAATAACTTCTTAAACAAGTAGTTCCACAAAATAACATTTTGTTTTCATTTCCTTTTTACTAAAATAACTACTCACTCTATTCCAAACTGGATTTATTAATTGGAATACTTTCACCTGTTAATACAGCTTCATTCATTACACAATTTCCTTCAATTAAAATACAATCACAACTAATTTTAGTATGTCCTTCAATAATTAATAAATCTCCTGGAATCAATTCTTTTGATTGAATAATTATTTGATTATTGTTTCTAATTACTTTTACATCTATATTGAATCTAATCATTTTTTAGATTTTAAATAAGTTTTGTCTAACATCTCTTAATTCGATTGATATTTATATAATTGTTATTGTTAAAATAAAGAGAGAGTAATTTAAATAATCATCATAAGCCCAGAGAGCTAAAGCACTCAATTAAAAGATATTAAATGGTGTTAATATTTCATCAAGTAAAAGGAGAGGAATTGATTTTATTGGTATTTCCATAATATTCTCTCCATAAACACTTGTTAAATTATTTAAGCCTTTCATATTACAAATTCTATCTTGAGTATATTATGAAAATGAATTTCTCATCTAAATCAATGATTTTGTATAAGTATCAAGATAATATTGGCTAAGTTCGTAACTAAAGACACGTGCATTTTTTGAAAAGGGATGATCCTAAACAATTGAAATTTCACAAAGTTAATCATCTGCAATTGGAATTATGTTCTTAGTCTTGATCACTAAAACATGTGTCATTGTACCAAATTCACATTTTTCAAATCTTTTTACATGATTTAAGCTTACAATAGAAACAATCTCAAATTAATGAACCATCTTTAAAATAAGTACAATAATCCAAGACTTAAAATTAACAAAAGATAATAAATGATCTATTTGCACTTATTGATCCTATAATAGATTGCAGTTAATTTATATTGATCATCATATTCACCTGAATATTCTAGCGTTGATTAACTAATAAATTAGAATTTATGCATACCCAAAATCAATTTCTTCTTTTGGATTAGTCTCTTATAATTCAATCATAATTATTAAATAAATAAGTTTTTTATTTATTCTTTAATCAGAATATTAAAAATTAATTAGAAAAGAATGAAAAATTAAAAAGTTTATTTAGTTTTTACATACATTAACAGTAGGATTAAATATGTAAATAAAAAAAAAAGTGAATGGAAAACTGTTTGAATGTCAATTATTAATATTCCTTGTTATTTATTAATAATATCTTTTCAAGAGTCCTGATCATCTTTAGGAAATCCTTTCCATTTAAAATTATCAGCGTATTTTCTCTTAGAAGAATAACGAAAGTGTGGATATTGAACAATGTATCCATATCCATCTTATTAACAAAATTCTAATGCAGCTTCCAAACTTTTGAACTTATATATATCTCTACTCTTCTAATCTCTTGAAAAAGTCCATCCACTCCAAGGCATTCTATGAATTGGTCCTCTTTCAAATTATACATTCCATTCATATCCTTATTTCATTGTTGGATCTAATATATATTGATAAAACTATTTACTTTAATGCATACGATTATCATCAATTATGTAAACACGAGCTATTTTCGACTCCGGAGGAGGTAATGGATTCATATCATAGTATCTATGATCAGATCTATTATCTAGACGAGAGGCTTAATAACCAATATATTTTATATTTACATCTAAAAAATCCAAATTTGCTTTTACTTGCATCTACAGGCACAACTTAATTATAAACTGATATTCCATGTGCCAAAACTTCTTAATTTTTACTCTCAATCTCCTTACGAATCACTATCAAAGAATTGAATGCCTTTTTGGCTATCTCTTGAATTCCTACAAATTGTCGAATAGACATTTATATTAAAATAATAATTTAATTCATCCCAATCGATATTTACTATTACTTTCTATTGTATCTGTATGCATTCTATGTCCTTTCTTTTACGAAGACTTCTAAATCACTACTTATGAAGATTATAGCTTATTTTATTTCTATCTTAAATTAAGTACTTAATTCATTAGAAAGAATCTTTATGAATTAAGTTTTGCTTTGGATGTCACTGTAAAATCAATTTTCAATGGAGATAGAGTATTTAATTTATTCTCTTTTTATTTTCCTTTTTGAATGGCAATTTGAGATAGAACTCTACGATGAATACGTCTTTATTGACTGTTGAGATCATATACATCTACTTATAAGGAACTATATGATCTATCTGGAGAATATTCGAATTAATCAACTCCTCTAGGGAAATTATATTCTTATGGACGTTTACTTTCAAGTGTTTGAGTAAGCTTTTTAAGTCTTAGTCCCATTTTAAATTAAATTATAAAAACTATTTTTTCAATTTTATTATTATGCAACAAGGAAATCTTAAAAACTAATTTGATGATCTCAAGAAGGAAAATAAAGATTAAAAAGAATTAATATTTTAATATGAAGAATAAAATGGAGCAGCTGAAAGTATTTATAAAATTCATTATTAGAGAAAATTAATGCTTTAAATTAAATTCATCAAGATAAGGTACGTAATTTAATGAATTCCATTACACTTTTAAAAAAGGAGAATGCACAATTAAAAAATATGAATAAAGAACATAAAAGATCATAATTAATTGAATAACTTAATTAAGAAATCGCAGATTAAGATCTTGTTATTTAAACATTACGTTCTATTGTTAATAATGATTAAAGATGTGATAATTAAATTATTGAGGCTTTAAATAAAGGACCTCCAAAAATTAAAGCTTTAACAAGAGAAGAGTTAAAAATTGAAAACAAGAAGTTAGAAAATTAATTAAGAACACTTAAAGAATAAATGATAAAAAAATAATAAGAATTAATGCAATCTGAAGATAAGGAAAATGCAAGTACAATCTCTTTGAATGAATTTGAAACTCATTCTAAATAAATTGCTTTATTGACATAAGAAAACTCTAATTATTAAGCTGAAATTGATGCTTTAAAAGATAAAAATTTTAAATTAGAAGAAATATTAGATGAAAAAAGTAGATAGATCACAGTATTGAATGAATAAAAAGGTTAACTTGTAATCCTAAGTAAAAAATATGAATAACTTTAAAAATTAATGGAAGATTACAAAAGAAGAGAAAATTAATAGGAATTCCATGATATCACAAAAGAAGTTGATATTGAAGAATAGAAAATGCTTAATAAAGTTTAGGAGACTAAATTAGAAAGTGTAGAAAAATAATTAAGAGCTGAAATTGATATCATAAAATTAGAGAAATAAGGAGTTCAAAGAGAATTAGATAATAAAGCTAATGAATTACAAAAAGTAATAAAGAAGAATTAATAATTAGAAAAAAGATTAGTGGAATAAGAAAAGGAATTAAATGCTAAATCGTAATTATTATATTAATTTTTAGGAAAGAATTACGTGAAAGAATAGAAGAATTCAATAAAAAAGAAGCTGATTATTTAACATAAATTAGTTAATTAAAATAATCTATAGCATAAAAGGAGACTGAAATTTCATAAAATTTATTAGATTAAGGATAACTGAAAGCTAATATCAGTAAATTAGAACAAGATATAGAATAATTATAGGCAAAATTATAGAGAGCAGGAGCATATAAGTAAGTTGATGATATTACTTATGATGTTAAAATTAACAAAGAAATTTAAAATAAATTAAAGTAATAATAAATCTCTGATGATCCTAAAATTTTGAAATAAGCTCTAAAATAATAACAATAATATTATGAATAAGTGATCTAAATCTTGTAATAAAGGGTACTTTAATAGAAACAAGATAATCTTTCAGATGTAAGCTCCAATATTTCTAAATTAATAAAACAGGAAGACAATTAGGAATTTGATATGTTAAGTTCAGATATTTCTTAATTTGAAAAGAAATAATAAGATTATGAAGTCGATTCAAATATTGAAGAATAAAATATTCCATCTGATATTCATTCTTCTGTTACATCTATTTTGAATGCTCCAAAACCAAGCAAAAAACAAATAGATTCAAATTATTCTAGATTAGAATCAATGAAATCTTCTGATATTGATAAGATATCATCAAATTTATCAGATTAATAAAATGCTTCACTTTCAAAAGTCAGTTCTAATTTGTCAAAAATATCATTTACTTCATCTATGCAAAGAGCTGTAAAAAGATATTGAATAAAATAACATAAATATTAATATAATTATAATATTTCACTAAATCATAAGAGGGCTTTTGTATTACAATTCCAACTGTTAATCCATACATATAATGCAATCGAAAATTTGAAGAGCCAACTCATCCTGTTACCTGTTATGATTTTAGTTCTACAACTTTCAATTTTTCTTAAAGAATTTGGAATTTCACATTCTTCTTTAACTTCTTACAAAATTTACGAAATTTACGAAATTTAAGTATAAAAATTCCAACATTTCTTATATAATAAAATAAAAAATAAATACTCTCCAGTTCCTTCAAAATGATCTACCAGCAAATACAGAAATTACGTCTATTTTAATCATAATCGGATTTTATTAAAGTAAATGCATCAATATAATCTTTAATTAAACTCTATCAAATTATAATAAGCACCTGCTGGATTAGTTATAACTTTTTTCTTTTGTTTTTATTAAAGGTTTTTTAATTGAAATAAAATGAAACTATTATAATCAAAAATATAATCATATAATATTAATCAATATAATATAATTTCGATCAATTGAAAAAAATAAATGATAAATTCAGTTATTTTGAAATTGAACATTAATAAGTAAATAATACTATTTTGTTTTTTTAACTTGATCTTTTTCATCATTCGAAAATTAATTAATTAAGTGATACTTAAAAATAAAGAAAAGGTTGGGATTTAAATTTTATTAGACATATATAGAATATTATGCTTAAAATTTTACTTTGAATAGTTTCAAAGCTCAATAAACAGAATAATTGAAGAAAAGAAAAAGTTTTATTGTAAACTCAAGTAATAAAGAATAAATTTAATTATAAATTTAAGTTCTGAAATTGATTTTAGATTAACAACATCTATAATAAATACAGCTTGGACAGTTTAAATTTATTAACAAATTTATACAATTAATTTTAAATAACAGAAAATTAGTTTAAACTATAAAAATAATGGAGTAAAAATTGCTTATCCTATTTTGGAGTCAAGTAATTTTTTAGAGATAATTAAAATTTATAAATTTAATCAATTATATATAAAATCTAATTCAATATTCTTAATATTTCAAAATAAAGAAATTCAAAATTATATTTAATAAACTAATATACTTATTCAATTTTTTCTTAAAATCGAATCCATAATTTATTTTTATTCATATTAGTATTCAATAAATACTCATGAATTCTAAATCAATTTACAATCGATAGTTGAAGAGATTTAAAATTCATTGGAAAAGATGGGATTTATATTATAATTTTTTTGAGAGAGAAATTATTTAAACAGAATAGACATTAAGGTTTTTTTTAAATAAAATTTTAATTGTTTTATTATTAATTACATTCATAGGAGTCTTTAATATCAATTTTTATATTATTTAATAAACATAATATAAATATATGGAAAAAGCTAATGAGACATCTTTTTTCTAAAAAATGATTTTTGCAATGTATGTTTTGAAAGTTAAATTCGATTTTTCGAAGAAAAGTAGTGGATTATTAATATTGATGTCAAATTTGCAACCATTATTTATTTTTTTTGAATTGAAAAATACAAATTTAACTCGCACCCTGACTTTGAGTATGGAAAGATCAAAAGAAAATCGAAATACATATATATTTGAGTTACTTTAGATTTTATTTAGGCCATCAATAAAATTAATTTCTATATTTGACCAAAATGTTGAATATGCATTTTTTGTGGTAACAATTCTTGTTATAATTCATAAAATTGGATTAATCTATTTTACTTAGCACTATTTAGATAAGGAAAAATCATTAAATTTAAAAAATCAAGCAGAAAATTCTTTTTTCTCTAGACTTTTTTGTAATCTTCTGAACATATATCAATAATTAGTTGGTTCATATTTATATTTGGAAATGAACTTTATTTGTATTAAATGCTACTCAAAATAAACAGGATAGTTAGAAAATTTTGGAGTTTTACTGGTTACATTAAATATTTCTACTATGTTACTTTTAGCATTTGATTCCATTGGAACCATCATAATAAATGAGTGTACTATTACAAATAAAGTATATGGATTAGAAAAACTCAGTATTAGTATCTACAGATATATATAATAGGTATTAATCATAATACAATCAATTATTGTTATATTTTTTGATTAAATCCATATTGAATATATACTTAGCGGAATTTTTTTATTTTAATAATTAATTCTCATATTTGAGCTATTGATTGATTGTAATTATATTCTTCGCTATCAAACTTACCCTTTAATCTTAGCAACTTCAATTAATTTATCATTCTGTCTATCTATATTTATTGTTTCAACATCAGACACTAAACTTTTTACATTTTGTTGTTTAATATTTTTTTCTTTGATTATGATAATACTAAAAAATTAGAATTAATAAATTGAAAAACAATAAATAGTTTAATTATTTAGGTCTAAAAAAAACAATTTAAATTTCCTAAGATATGGATTAATTAAAATTTTAAATAACGAAATTTATTTTTAAAAAGAAGACCTAATTATTAAAATTTTGATTGCGAAATGGCATTCATCAAGATGCAAATCAAAACATTGTACATTTTGTAATCATATTTTTATTCAAAATACTGAGTAATGCAGTGGTATAACAAATGAAATTTTTAAATAATTTATTCTATACTCGATTTCTTATTTTATGTAAAAACCTTCATTAAATCGAAAGAGATATAACTAATAAGAATACGCATTAATATATGCCTATTTCCTTTATGATTTTGGATGGATGATTAGATCAATTAAAATCTTAGATAGTATTTTTTCAAATAATTTTTCACATAAATATCAAAAAAACTTTTAGCAGACTTCATAATTCTCATTCTAAGAAAATGATATGTAACTTAAGGATAATGAATTATAACCTAATAGTATTCTTTTATAATTGAATTATATAAGAAAAGTTCAAACTAAATTTATAGTCTAATGTGGAAAAACATAAATAATCTCATCATTAACAGGATTTTCTTTGTATGCTACTCAGCAATCAATGATATAAGAATATATTGAAAAATCATTAAAATCTGAGAGCCTTATACAATATTTGGAGAGGAAAATTATGGATACTCTTATTTTAAAATAAAATTTTTATAATATTTTAAAGAATTCTTGTTAAGAATTGATAGATGATCTTGATTTTAATAAGCAACTATATTCATTATGTGAATAAGTATATGAAGTGAATAAAATTTTAAAATTTAATTTTTAAAATACACCAAATTAAAAAATACATGGGTTATACACTTTTTTTATTGGCGAAATTTTATCAAACTATTATAAATCAGTATAATTTTACAAAAATTCAAAGTGTTTAGAAGTAGAATTAAATAAATTTTAGCAAATAATAAATTTTAATATAAACTAAAAAAATGTGCATTATACAATTTTAGAATTATGTGATGATATGCAAAATTTGAATTTAATAGGTCACTCTTAAAACTTTCATGATAATTTTGGAACATGTTAGAAGAAATAAAAATTGTTTGAACATTTATTACCAGATTGTTTGATTCCCTATCATAATTTATATGTCAAACGATTTTTTGAAACAGGAACCAGTAAATATTTTAATATTTTCCAGATCAATTTTATTATGAGCAACACTTAAAATATATTAACTACTGTAAATATGTGTTATTCTGTTACAAATCTATTCAAAAGCAAAAATATGATATTTGCAGTATTTCTACAAGAATCAACCTAAGATAAAGCTTATTTATTTGTAGATGGAAATAATTTAAAATGCAAATTTACTAAAAACTTAATGATTCAAATAGGGTGGTCTATACCTGATATTGAAGACTAAATTAAAATAAAAGAAATATTGTAAGTAGAAATTCTTTAAATATATCCAGATTTCTTAAATGTAATTGAAAATAAAGAAAATGAGATTAAATTAAATTAAATAACAATGTATTTTCCTTCTCTATCTAATTATTTAGATTAAATAGAAAATAAAAGTAAATAATCTCCTGATAGAGGAAGATAAAATCTGAGATATATTGCTGTAGTTTGCGATATTTTAATTTAGAGAAGGGAAATAGGAGATTTTTGTTATTATTTACTGGATATTGTAAAAATGGCTGAATTAATAAAAATAAGGAAAAAAACTACTATCCATAAAGTAGAATTGTTGAAGTAAATTAAATAAAATAAATATTAAAATGATGAAGAATATATTGTATATTAGTAAGATGATTCTCCTAATATTGGGAATTTAAATAGTGTAAATTTTATAAATTAATAACAAATTGGTTCTATATAAAATAGTACTAAACCTCTAGTTTTATAAGTTAATCCAATGTTTGTTAGTAATTCTCCAGTTCTTAATTCAAGAAGGGAAGATACTATTAATTAAACTGAATAATAGTTAATAACTCAAAAACTTAGTTTGCTTAAAGAAGATCTTGGTTCTCCAAGTTTGTAAAGCAATGATGATGAAGAAAAGTCCTAAAAATCTAAAGGCATATAATTATAAGAGACTTAGACAGAAACAGATAAGATTTAATTAAAATATTCATTAATTAATTAAATTATTTCTGCTAGTACAACAAGATACTAAAAAAATTTTATGGTTTTGTTTAGTATTTGGTTTTCAATATTTATTACATTTATAATAGTATTATAAATTGAGCTTAACAATGATTTAGAAGATTTTTTATCATATGGATTTATGACATCATTTTATGCTTCTATCATGGGACCTCATGATCTATATTTTTCGATGAGAGTTGCATTGACTACTTATTAGTAAATGAATAGAGAAGGTTTTTTACCTAGTAGTTAAATGAAATAATTTATTGCTCCTATTTAAGAAATTGTTGATCTAGGTTATATTGAATTAAGAGATAGCTTTTATGATCAATTAAACAATCCTTATATATAAAACTTTTTAAATGATGCGAAAGTTATTATGAATTTTATGAATAAAAATGAATAAGAAGTTTATCCAATTGAAGTTTCTTTTAGAGATGCATTATTTACAATCTTGTAATATTAATATGCTGCTATGAGGACATTATAACGTGGTGAAAGCAATTCTGGCAAACCATTTTAAGTATCTGTCTTTGCTAATTAATTTATGCTTCATAAAGAATGTGAAAAATTAACTTAATCTTTGTATGATTATGCAATATATATGCATAGCAATATGATTTAAAAACTAATAACATTATGGTTAATCTTTGATATTGCTTTAATAATCTTCTATATTTATTTGTAAAATTTCTAAATAAAGTTTTTCTCATAATTGGATAAATTTGTCTCACTTATATTTTTGATTGATAATCCTATTTTGAATAAGGAAGTAATAAGATATAACAATTTGATGACATCTATTAAACTTAATTCTGATCTATTATTAAATTATAACCCTGAGGTTCAATTATAATAACATTTCAACAAGCCATTACAATCTCATGATAATTAAAATTAAAATTAGAAATAAAAATAAAGCCTTTAGGCCATAATAAAAAGCAGAAGTCTAATTAAAATCCTTAATATTTCATTCCTTATCTTTTTATTATCCATCATTCTTATTTTTTCTTTAATCATAATTACTTCTACTTCCCTTTTTTTTAGTAAGTATGATGATACACTTTAGTTCTATTAATAAGTTTAATAAATGAAATTTAGACCTGGTAATCTAATTTTATATAGAGAAATATTCTTTAGGTGGCAGAATTTTACTTTTCTAACATAAAATAATAAAGTAGAACTTTATGATTTAATTAATAAAGCCTAAAATTCAATTTATAATTACATCTTAACTTCAAACTCAATCAATTATGATCTATATTTGATAGATTCAAATTTTATAGATTTATTTGAAGATATCAATAAAAATAATCTTTGTAATTTTATTGATGAAGTATTTTAATATAATAAATTTAGAAATTTAAAAATTCATCCTAGATATATTGTTAATTCTCCTTTGATGGATCATTTAGCAATGGAATGATATCGGCATTGAATTACATTACTAATTATATTAAATCTTAATAAGCAATAAACAATTTTACTCGAAGAGTTGAAATTTAATATTATGAAGCAGAAGGTTCACAAATTGTTAGTAGAGTATTTTCTAATTTAGTTAATCAGTTTAATTCTAGTTTAAAACTATAATTTGATGGCATGAAACTATTTTTAACAGTATATTATTTGTTTCTTATATTAGGTTTTATCATTTTCATTTATAATTACCACTATTGTGATATAAATCTTGCTATTTTATTTTTATTCTCCATATTTAGGTAGAATAATGAAAATTATCAAAAGAGTAGTCTACTTGATACCTTTTGAATCACTAATGAAGAATGAATTATTAGTGAGATAGTTAAAGGAACTTAAATTTAAATTTTAATGATATTTAGAAGAGACAAATTGTTTTATTTGAATCTAATAATTTAATAAATTATCTTTTAACAATTTAAATACATAAATATATTTTTTTCATTTAAAATTATGTTTTATTGTTTACACAAATACATATATACTTAAAGTATTCATTTTGTAAGTAAAAAATATATGAATGTGTATAAATTTATAGGAAATTCTAATTTTTGTATTATTTGTTCGATAAATAAAAGAAAAATGGAATTGGAAGATATAAATAAAAATTTATTTTAAAATTTATAAATGAAGCTTGAACATTATATTTTTTCTTTACATCTCATAATAATTAATTTTATATGAATTTATTAATAATATTTTATATACATATACAATTAACAATAATAGCATGATATCAATCTGGAATGATTTAGAAACTAATAATTACTACTTAATCAATAATGAAACAGGAGAAAAGCAAAAAGTTTATAAAACTGCAGATTATATAAAAGAATTTGATGCTTCTTTGACTGGATCTGTTGGTTATAGAGATAGAATTAAACTAGCAAAAAAACCAAGTTATATGCCTTTAAAAGCTAGATCACTTTAGAAAAATTTTGTGTGCTATACACCTTCAATTAATAAATTGGCTTGGTATTCTCAACTGCCTCGACCTAGGAAATTACCTAATTTAGAACATTTTAAAACAGAAAAGAAATAAAAATCAATACACAAAACACAAGAATAGAAACCTTTATCACAAACATAAAGCTATTAAACTTTACCACATATTCCATAATCTACAGTTGCATCTTAATATTAAAGTTTATTAGATCCTTAGTAAGCAAGATCAATATCAACGATATAACATCATGATCTTAATGATTAAGATCATTTTAAAGAAATGAGTCATTTATTTGAGTCAAAATCATATGACTATAAAAGTTTTAATCTTCCTCCTAAAGAAAATTTAAATTGTAGATCAATTAAGGATTTTGAATAGGTTTTGAAGGAAGAAAAATAATAGTTAGAAATGTTTAAAGTAAATATTACATATTAATAAAAGTTACCTGAATAAAAGCCACAATTAGTAAATACAAAAGGAAGATTTCCAGGATAGCTGAAAACAGCAAAAGATTTCATGTCTGAAGATAAATCTATTGCAAAAATATGTTAGACCAAATAATAATATTTTTAGTGTATCCTGATCTTTTTAAGGAGAAAATACTCGATTAAAAATAAGAAGAATTAAGGAGAAAAATAAACAAATTAAAGGAATAAGAAATGCTTTAGCGGAATCTTAAAAATAAGACATGAATAATATATTATCCAATTTTAAATTATGAATAAATACTTGATTATTATATTTATAACCTTTCCGAAATAGATGAATATTATCATGATAATCATCTTTACTTTTTTGATATTCATTCTATTTATCAATTTAATTATACTTAGTCATCTAATCTTAAAATATTTATATTTAAATATAATTTTTATTTTTGTTAAGTCTAATTATTAAAAGGTTAGACATTTTTTTTTATTACTTATAATTTAATTTTTTTCAATATCTAATAATACATAATTCTATCTAAGCCTTATAATTTTATATTCATTTCCACATTCTAATTTCTGATTTACTTGAATTAAGTTTCTAGAGAAGATTGATTAATGTTTAACTCGTTAAAGTTACTTACATATAAAGGAGAATTTAATGGAAACAAAACAAGATTGGATTCCTAGTTTTCTTATCCTGATTATTATTTATATCAAACAAGATGAAATTAAGAATTAGTAAATTAATAGTAGCAATAGTTAAATTAAGTCATAAAATAGTACTAATAACCCTTTCAAAATAAATTAATTTAATATTAAAAGAATACTTTATAAATTAAACATGTTTATGTATAGAGTCTATTAACGATAGAGAAACTTTTGACATTACTGTATAAAAGACATTAAGATACATATAAATATTTTACAAAAATGCTGACTGATAAATAAATAATAATTTTAATTAATATAATTTCTATGCCGAACGAATTTATTTTATAGTAAACATCACATCCTGAGAAGAAATACAATTCTAAAACATTAATAGGAAATTGGTATGAAGAAAGATGCGAACCAAAATCAAAATACTCAACCTTTTATAAGGAATAAAAAATTGAGAAGAATTAATATAATGTTAGCAAACTAACATAAGTATTATTTATTATTACTTTAGGAATCATTTATGAAGTGTTCATAAAATTGGCTAAACTTCTAAAAAAATTAAACTAATCATTTCTAAACAACCAATTAGTAAACATAACAGTTATATATATTATAGATAAGAATTCAAGAGTCCAAAAGACTAATATCGAACCTCTGAAATCAAGAAATTTATTATTAAAAAAGGTGTATTTGAAAAAAATCCTTAATAAATGTCAGACTACAGAAGTAAATGGACTTCAGCACCTCATTTTTTTGATAGAACTTATCTTGGACAATAAAAATGATAATTATAATTATTATTCAAGCAACATATATTTTTATAATATTATATTTGAAAGTGATATTCAATTAATCTAAAATCAATCAATAATTGTTTGTTACAACATAAAATACATTTTTATCATTAAAGTTTCTAAATAATTCTAATAAATTTTATAGCAATCCATAATTACTAGGATAAGTACTAATTTTAATTTATTTTTGATACCTCATAATTTATATTGAATTAAAATATGAAAATAGATAATGCTTTTTATAGATTATGTGAAAAAAAGATTTTTCTTTTACCTGGAAACTTAAGGTATGTTGGATTTAAACATTTATTGAAAGAGAATTTAAAGTTATTTTTATAGTTTTTAGAGATAAAGGTTTTAGTTTATAAAGTTGAAATAATAACACATGATTGACGTGTATTAATATAAATAATAAATTATTCTAAATGTATTTTCTAGATGACTCTAAAAGTAAATCATCAATTGTGATATTAGGAACACAGGAATTGGAATGGGTTTTCTCACTGTCAGTCTTTTGCTTTTTATATTAGGGGTTATGTTTTTTCTTGACAGAGCTTTATTAGTGATGGGAAATTTATCATTTATGATTGGACTATGTTTGTTAATAGGAATTAAAAGCACATTGTCATTCTTTTTGAAAAAAGGTATTTAAAATGAGTTTAAATCATAGGAAAAATTAAAGGAAGCATTTTCTTTTTTTTGGGATTTTTCATTATTGTTATTTTTAGAACATCAATCATAGGATTTCCATTATAAATTTATGGTCTTTTCCAAATGTTTAAGTCTTTTCTTCCATTCCTATATGATAGTGCAACCAAACTACCTATCATTGGAAGATATCTAAGTAAAATATTTTTAATATTTACAAAGGAAATCCTTAATTAAAGAAAATGGTTGATGAAGTGTCAGCCAAAGGTCCATCAGTATGAGATAAATTAATTTTATTTTTAAGTTATTGATCTTTAAAAAATAAGTTTTTTCAACCATAACATCTAATTATTATCTTCTTACATATTTTACTTTTAAATAAAATCAAGATTATAAAATGTAATTTAACTATTAGAAACTCCTTATATTGTTATGGTAAACAAAAGAAAAAAGAAATCCAAAGATATTCTAATTTAAGTTATCTAAATAGTGAAACCTAGTATTAATATAAGCTTCAATTTGTTTATAAAGTAAGAAATATTTAGATTTCAGTACTTTAATATATAATAAAGATCAAATTATTCTTGAGAGATATAATTTTATCATATAAAGTTATATGATAAGTTTAATATTTATCATATAAACCAAATAAATTTATTGTTGATTAAATTTGTTTTAGAAGAAACAAAATATAGGATAATTCAATCAAAAAGATAAATCAACTCTTTAACTTTTTCTAATTGATGTTGTAAATTTTCAATAGCAGTCAATTAAGAGAGATATTCTAAAATTTTGAGATCTGAACAGGTCTGACAAAAAAATTAATTTTTATTTACATTTACTTCTAATTTTGATGTTTTTGTCTTACCATGTTTCTTTTTCTTATAGTCTTTTTGATTCTTTTTAATTTTTTTGACTTATATCTTTGGATATGCTATTTAACAAGTTAGAGTGCATATTTTTTTGAGTTAATTACAAATAATATTGATTAGAGTATGGGAATTATCATTGGTTGAATCCTATAAAATTTCATCTTTCGTTTATTTCATGTTTACCTGCATCTGGAAAGTTATAAAAGAGGATATAAGAAAATATGATTTGAAATAATATTAATTAGGGTTTTATGTGTGCATTACCCGTTTTATAAATTTTTGTTAAATAATTACATTAAAAGAAATAATGAAAAAAGTAATATTATTGATGATTTGAAAGAATTAAGCTAATAATTACTGAAAGTTTGTCAATTAATGACCAATAATTTTGGTTTAATTTTTAAATAAACAAAGTAAGTAAGAGTATTGACTGATAAAGAAGATTTTTTAAATTTTGGATAACAAAATTATTACTAAAAAATAAAAGAGTAAATGGCATTCTACCAATGAAGATAAATTAATTATGATAATATTATAAGGTTAATAAGGTTAATAAGGTTTTGTAAAGACAATATTAATTTAAATAAAAGTTCAACTTAATTTGATGAGATTTCATTAAATTTAAAATTATGACCTTGTATAGTATTTAGTTAGTTATTTTTAAGAGATATTAATTTATTAATAAAATATAGCAGTAAAATGCCCCCAAAAGCACCTCCTCCTAAAAAATTAACTAAGAAAGAATTGAAAGAGAAGGCAGAATAAGAGAAAAGAGAAAGAGAAGAACAGGAAAGATTAAGAAAAGAAGAAGAAGAAAAATAAAGATAAGAATAAGAGCGATTAAGAAAACTAGAAGAAGAAAGATTAGCTGCAGAAGAGAAGGCAAGATTATAAGAAGAAGAGATTGAAAATGAAGTTTAGAAGAGTGTATTTAGAGAAAATTTAGAAAATGCAAAAAAAGTAAATTATGATTGAATCTATAGGTTGCTAGAGCAAATGATGATTGGGATAAATTTTTATATTGTTCTATAAAGCCAGACATTACTTAAGAAGCTTAATTGACAACATTCATTACTATGTTTAAAGAATCAAAATCTTTGTAAGATCTTAAAATTCCAGAAGAATTGTTAAAATTATAATAAGCAGAAAATATTGTTAGAGATATATATAGATTCTTAACTTAACTTAAAGCAGAGAGAAAACCAATATAGAATCATTAACATCAATAATAGCAAATTACTTAAAATGATTTAGTAACTAGAAATTAAACATATATAAATGCAATTAGAGAGATAATTAATAAAAAATTAGAAGAAATTAATACTTAAATGGTATTATATGCAGAATTTTTTATAGAAGTAAACCTAAAAAAATATGAATATAGGAAAAGTTTGCAGAATTAACAAAGAAAGCAAATGAAGGAGCAAAAGGTGCATTTAAATTAGATGATAAAACAAAATAAGAAGTAATAAAAACATTTGCTCCTACTGATGATTTTAAATATGGTATATTTATATATCCTTCAAATAAACCATCTGGTTATAGACATAAACCAAATGATTATCCAGAATTATAATTAGCTGTTGATGTTCCAAGATCAATATCTATTTTTATACAAAAAATATTATACACATCATTTGATAGTTATAGTCCAAATACTTATAGTAAATATAGAGTAGTGGGAGGTGTATTAGATATTGAATATTTATAAATGCTTCCTCCGCCTAAGAAAGTTAACAATTGGACTTTGAAATAAAATTATGAATTGAGAGAATAAGTAAAACGTTTAAATTTTGAATTAAATGCAACATTTAAAGTTTCTTATTAATTACCATAATATATATGGATTCCAAATAGAGAATAATAAAAAGTTTGGAGAGTAGCATTTTTTGATAGAGTTAGTGAATAATGGATAACAGATGGAGTAGAAGATGCTAAATTAGATAAGGGAATTAATATAGTAGCAAGTGTACCTAAACTTGGACCAATAGGATTATTATAAGAGAGATGTCTTGATTATCCATATAGAAGTTTTAAATTAAGATGTGTAGGAAATGAGAAAGCTATATTAGATATTTAAGGGATTCGAGATTTATTTAAATTTGAAATAGGACCTGGTTACATTTGTTTACTTAAAAAAGATCCTGTATTAATTTATAAATTTATATAAAGGAATTTTCACATTTTGCAAATAAGAAATTACCAGTAGGTGCATTATTTTATGAATTATACAGAAGTGGAGTTAATTTTATTCCTGTATAAGAAGATTGTTAAGCTGCAAATATTGTATAAAAAGATGAGGGAGCAGAAGAACTTGCATTAACAGATTTATCTGAAGCAGTTAGAGGATTCTTTATAGAATCAAGTAGATGGAATAATAGTGATACAGGTACATAGATAGTTGTTAAAATTAAAGAGAATCCTGAAATGGATGAAGTAATTAATATAATTTCAAATATAAGGAATTCGCTGAAAATCAAGAAAAAGATTGGAAAACAATTAAATGGTGGAATAATAAATGTGCTATCATTTAAGCGAGAGATTCTCATTCAAAATGTAATTAAAATCTTTTAGGGGAAACTGAAACACATTGTAATTTAGAAGTATTATTAAAAATGCATTCTTTAACGACATAAGATATTTTATCTAAAATGAAAGTAATATTATACTAATCTTTAGGATCTTCATTATGTTATATTTATAGAAACTATTTAATAAGTTTTAAGAATAACTAAATTGTTATCATTTACAATAAGAGATTGAATAAATTTAATTTATAATATTATCATTATGACATTATATATTTCAATATATCATTATGATTATTTAGTACTTATTCAATTGCTTCTTTTACATCATTAGACATTGATGTTCTTCTTAATTTACTTAAATCATTAATTAATCCCATAACTTTAGTAAACATTATACTTTTAGTTTCTTATAATTAAACATTATGATCAGCTTCATTTTTATTTTAATGTGCCATTAAATTAATAGCTCTATCTTCTGCTAATTCTAAATCTTAATATCTATTTTTCCAATACTCAGCTTCATCTAAAGCTCTTTCTTTTTCTTATTTCAAATATAAAAGATCTTCTCTTAATTTAACTACATCATTATCTTATTATGGAGGATAAACAGGTACTTCTCTTGGAATCTCATATCCAATAGGATGAACAATCTTTTCAACTATGTGAGTTCCTCTCATTCTTTTAACTCTATCTAATTCAACTTCTAATTCTATTATCTCTCTATCTCTAGCCCCTAATTTATGTTCTAATCTATCCAAATCTTATACTCTTACTAAAAGTCTCTCTCTCTCAAATTCTAAATCTTTTATTCTATTGCTTTTCTATTCCAACAATCTTTTAAATTCTGATTGTCCTAATTTTTATTCATTTAATTCTCTTTGATAAAGTAATACTTATTCATTTAAATCACTATACTTTAAAGTATGCTTTTAATTTATTTACTACATTTCATCTAATAATCTTTCTTTATCTTTTCTAAAACCATCACAATCTCTTTTTAATTAATTTATTTCATTTACTAAAATCATACATCTTTCTTATGTTTTTTTATGTTATTCTTCTTCTTTTTTTAAACGATCTTCAATCCATTTTATCTTCTCTTCTCTTTCATTTACTACATCCTTATTTGCTTTTATTTTTGCCTCAGCATCTGCTACTGATTTAATTAAATCATTATATTTGTCTTACCAAATTTTCATTTCTTATTTAACTTTTCTATTTTCTTTAGCAATTGCATTTTTATCATTTTCAATATCATCTTTCTATTTTTATAATGTATTTGCTTCACTTTTACTTTTAATAGCTTATTCTTTTAATTAAACATTATCAGCTCTAATTGATTCTTTTAATTAATCAAATTAATTTTAAAGTGCTTTTTTTTCTTTCTCTAAAAATGCTATTTTAGATATCATTTCTTTTTTTTCATTTTCTACTCTTTCAGCTTCTTTCATTTATGCTAAAGTTGAACCTGATTATTATTATTAACCTGTTTATTTAATTTTCTATCCTCCTTTCCCTTTTTTAGAATCTTGAGGTTATTATTATACTTTTAATATAGTATTCTCCTAATCATCATTTTAATCTTATCTTTAATTTTATTTAATTTCTAATTCTTTCTATTTTAATTTAAGTTCTAATTCCAATTTCTTTTATTTTAATGTCATAAGTTCATCCTATTCTATTATAGCTAAAGATTTTAGTTAAGGAATTCTAGGTGGTGAATATTCTTCAGCATAATACATTTTTCAATACTTAAATTATTTTCTGTTAAAATATTATTACTTATTTCAAAAAACAAAAAATAATAAATACAAAAAATTAAAAAGAATAATTAAATTAAATGAAATTAAAATATTCATCCATTTGATGCTGTTTAAACTCTTTACTTTTTAATCTTCCCTCCTTTTAATTTCTTAAAACCATAACGTTCTCTATATATTAAATATTTTAGATTACAGCATTTTACTCCAATTATTATCAAGAGCATCAGGTTATACTATCTTTTTTATTTCATTATTACTATCAATTATTCTTTAATAATCTATCTATATATAATTTAATATACTTAATTTTCCATATTTCTATTATTGATATAATAAGTACTCAATCTCTCTATCAATTTTTTATTCATCATAAGGTTCCTCTTTTTAATGTTTCTTCACTATAAACCTATTTCAAATACCATGTTCTCTTTCTTCTGAATTTCAATCTAAGCGAAAATACTTCTTTAATATGCCTTATCTCTACTTATGGTTCTCTAAAAATCAGGTGTATTATCATTTCTTTTAAGAAACTAAAAATCATAAAAGTCTCTCTAACAAATTTGAGTTGGTGACTTTGTCATTTATGGACTTTTATTAAATTCTATTGATTATCCTGGCTCAGTAATTAATAATTAATCAGAATATACACCAGGTCCAGGGGTTCTAGTCTATAATACTTATAAATTTAATATTATACATCTCTATAAAAATGTTCTCGTCTAGGTGTTAAAAAAGCTCTACTTAATTGACTTTTTGGAGCATACTATTTTTTATACTCTCTAAATTGTTTTATAAAACCTTAATCAGCTTATAAATTTATTTTAAAATTTCTCATTCTCTATCTCAAAGAAACTGCTTAATCCTTTGGTGTTATATCTCTTTTTTTTAAACCTAATAAATTAGTAGTGCTCCATTTATAAGCATAATTTGCTTAGGCCACTGTTTCTTTTCCTTTTTAATTCAAAACCACTTATTAGCTTTTTAGAAAATTAAATTTTTATCCAACATCTTTACTTTTCACTCTTTAAATTAATTTACCAATCGAATTTCTTTCATTTTAAAAAGGTTTGAAATTATCCTTCTAATCATCCTTACTTAAAAATGATTAAGTATCCTATTCTAAATCTAATTAACTAGCAATTGGAGACATATTCCCTTCCAAAATTTACTCCAATGCACCACCTTATTCAATTGAACTTCGTTTTATTTACATTATTTAAACAATAATTAATTAATCCCAAAATACATCATCAAAATTCATTACCAACTATTAAGAACACAAATAAACAATTTAAATCTAAAACATTTGAATTACCTAAAACTAAGATTTTCAAAAAGAAAAAGAACCATTTTAATCTTTTTAAAGAAATTTTTAAACTAATGAAATAAACTCCTTGCCTTATTGTAATAATATATTTAAAAAGTAAAGAGAATTGAAAAAATGCTAAACTTTTCTTTAAGAATTCAATCCTAAAATATTTAATTTTAAGATTACAAAATTCTTATTATAGGTAAATAAGTTATCATATTTTTAAATTATATTCTGTTGTTTAATAAAATACAAATGTAAAAATCAAAAAAAATTAATAGCATCATATTTCTAATGAAGCTAGTTAAGATACAATTAAAGTTTATAAAAATAAATAATTAACATTAATATTAAATTTAAAAAATAGTACTAAATTTTATTTTAAAAGCATGTTACTTTATAATAAACAAAGATAATTCATAATGCCACAAAGTAATATTAATTAAGGCATAGAATTTGCTAACCTACTTTTACTTTTAGTATAAATCATTGAAAAAGTTAAAATATATATTATAGACATCAAGAGCCTTAAGTAGATGATATAGATTTTAATGAACTTAATAAGCAATAATAGGGTTATGTCAGTATCAAAAGAAATTGATTTTTATGAAGAAGTATCATCTAATATAACCTTTAAAGCAATAAGAATTAAATAGAGATGCTTGATGATATTTAACCAAAGCCTTTTCTATTATTTAATCTTAAACTTAAGATAATAAATATGAAATTTGATAGTAATTAAATAGAATTATTATCTTAAAACAATTGGTCTTCAATGAAAATAGATAATGCATTTAGTATAAAAATTAAACCATATTTTATGACTTAAGTTAAATTATTTACTAGTCATAACTTATTTATAAGAGAATTTGGGTTAATCTTGTACAAAAGAACATTTTGAAAATATAACTAAATTTTAGAGAAAATTTGTCACTAAACCTACTATCAATTTGAAACTTATAAATTCATCACTTATGAATAGAAAGTGATAATTTCCTGAGATTCAATAATTTATAATTTGTTTGAAAAACTTATGTTATAAGCAAATAATTCAAAAGGTGATATATAAAAGAATTAATCAAATAAAGTCTTTCTTATGAAAGTTTAAATTACATTCCTAAAATATTTATTTATAAATACATTCACAGAGTTGCCAATCATAAATAATTTAAATTGGCAACTCTGTGAATGTATTTATCTAAAATTAGCTTAGATAAATAATAAAGAATTAACATATAAATTAGAAATAAGAACTAATAATTGGCACCTAGAAATTTGAAGAACTTAGCATATAATTCTCAAAATTTTATGGTATTTATCTATTAAAAATTATTTTAGAAAATACTAAATAATTTATATTTAATAAATTTTGATTTTTTTTAATAATATTGTGTGTAAAATCTAAATTAATATTTATTTTTATATGATTTTTTCGGATGAATTCAAAGATTTAATAAAACAACCAACTTAACTTAATTCTAGCAGATCAAATCATTCTAAATTTGGAAGTGTCTCTACTTTTAGAGAATCTCAAAAAAAGGCAGTTCTAAATTATCCAAAAGAACAATAAAAATTATTATATAATGCTAGCTATTTATTGAAGTAATCAAATATGATAGGATTAAAGAAAAGATTAAGAATGTTCGTAATTGTTCTAAAATTTATCAGAAGATTAAAAATAGTTACTCATGAATCGCCTTATTAACATAGTCTTGCTAATTTAAAAAAGGTTAAAAAAACAACTTTGAAACTTCCTTAGACAATAAATGAAAAGTTCAAGTCTTGGTGTTTGGGTATATTTTAAAAATCATTTTCAACAATTCCTCCAGATCTCTTTAATTATTTAAGATAACCAAATAATAAAATCAAAGAGGACAAATCTCAACTAATCTTAATAAATGCCATTAAATTTTTCTTTGAAAACATGGCATATTGCACACATCCAGATATTGTATGTATGGAAATTAAACATTATTTATTTTCTTAACTATTTTTAAATGAGAAGGTTCATTTTACAGCATTTGTATCATCCAGAACATCATATATTTCTCATTTAAATAATGAAATAACCTTAGATTAATAATCTATGATCATAATGGAAGTTTTGCTTTTTTTTAGATTTGCATTTATACTATTTGAATGCACAAGTACTAATTAATTTGCAATCATTATGCTTATTAGCACACTTCATTATTATTTTTTTTTAAAATTCTCTAGTTTAAAATGTTAATATGAGCCTCAACAAAATTTGATTTAATTAAAAATAGAGGAAACATAGAATCAGAAATATATCTTAAAAGTAGAATCAGTATAGACTCCATTACCAAACAATTTAATAGTTTAAGGAATTTATCCAAGAGAAGAAGTTTAAAAACTTTTAAAATTAAGACCAAATTTGGATGAAAAGATTTCACAGTATTTTAATAAAACAATAGAACATTTATAATTATTTCTTATAGATTTCTACCAATGATTATTAAATATGTANTTAATATTTATTTTTATATGATTTTTTCGGATGAATTCAAAGATTTAATAAAACAACCAACTTAACTTAATTCTAGCAGATCAAATCATTCTAAATTTGGAAGTGTCTCTACTTTTAGAGAATCTCAAAAAAAGGCAGTTCTAAATTATCCAAAAGAACAATAAAAATTATTATATAATGCTAGCTATTTATTGAAGTAATCAAATATGATAGGATTAAAGAAAAGATTAAGAATGTTCGTAATTGTTCTAAAATTTATCAGAAGATTAAAAATAGTTACTCATGAATCGCCTTATTAACATAGTCTTGCTAATTTAAAAAAGGTTAAAAAAACAACTTTGAAACTTCCTTAGACAATAAATGAAAAGTTCAAGTCTTGGTGTTTGGGTATATTTTAAAAATCATTTTCAACAATTCCTCCAGATCTCTTTAATTATTTAAGATAACCAAATAATAAAATCAAAGAGGACAAATCTCAACTAATCTTAATAAATGCCATTAAATTTTTCTTTGAAAACATGGCATATTGCACACATCCAGATATTGTATGTATGGAAATTAAACATTATTTATTTTCTTAACTATTTTTAAATGAGAAGGTTCATTTTACAGCATTTGTATCATCCAGAACATCATATATTTCTCATTTAAATAATGAAATAACCTTAGATTAATAATCTATGATCATAATGGAAGTTTTGCTTTTTTTTAGATTTGCATTTATACTATTTGAATGCACAAGTACTAATTAATTTGCAATCATTATGCTTATTAGCACACTTCATTATTATTTTTTTTTAAAATTCTCTAGTTTAAAATGTTAATATGAGCCTCAACAAAATTTGATTTAATTAAAAATAGAGGAAACATAGAATCAGAAATATATCTTAAAAGTAGAATCAGTATAGACTCCATTACCAAACAATTTAATAGTTTAAGGAATTTATCCAAGAGAAGAAGTTTAAAAACTTTTAAAATTAAGACCAAATTTGGATGAAAAGATTTCACAGTATTTTAATAAAACAATAGAACATTTATAATTATTTCTTATAGATTTCTACCAATGATTATTAAATATGTACTTTATTTTAACCATGATTTGAGTTAGAAATTTCTATTCTCTAAATTTATATAATTTATAGTATTATTAAAAAATTAATCTATGAAGCTATTTTCTAAATAGTCTTATATAATTCTTCAATAAGCAATATTTATTGAATTTTGTTAAAAAATTAAATTTATAATTTTATAAGAAAGTTTTATTAATGACAAAATATCGAATAATGAAACAGCATCTATCTTCTTAATTGACTATTAAAAATCTCAATAAGAGTTCTTAAATAATCTTTTAAAATTTGAATTTTGTATTGATATCATCCATCAAAAAATCAGGAAAATCAATCTCTACCAAAAAATTATAGATTTAAATTTCTTACCAAAAACTGAAATTATAAAGGTCATTATAACCCTTAACTTGCTCTAATTATATAATTTTAATTCTATAAAGAAAATTTTCTTAAGTTGTTTATTAGTTCTAAGAGCCTGCAAAAGATTACTAAAATAATTTTGCAAAGTATAAAAGATGCAATTTTAGGTTTAAAAAGATTATCAAGTTGTGAAAATCATTACAGAAACAGTTTTAAATGGTATTTAATTAGTGTTGGGGAATTAGCAAAAAATCATTATTTTATTAAATTTTCTGTCTTTCGATAATTTAAAAAATCCTTAATTCCATATTAAAGCAACAACATCTAAGTAGCTTATAAAGAAATTAAATTTTAATTTGAGAGTCTGACTTGTTTTTTGTTAAAATATAATGAAACTATAATTACAAATCCTATTTATATAAATTACTATTAATTGATTGTTATATGTTCTTAATATATTTTTTATTCTTGTATAGGATTCTAAAATTTAATTCACTAAATATATTTTAGAAAGAATTAATAAAAAATAGTCTTACTTGATGAATTTTAAGTGTAAAAAGTAACTCTAATTGGTAAGGAATAAAGTTGGCATCTAATTTTTTTACTTCTTGAAATGTAATAGAATTAAAATAAATTAAATATGAAGAGAAAAAATTCTGTATTTAATCTTGCATAAATAATACTTTAAGATCAATTATATAATTAGCAAATAAATTTTAATAAGCTATTTAAATAATATTTCTAAGAAATTATTTTTATTAACAGCGGTTATGAATGCATTTAAAGATTTAATGATAATAATAGAAATATTTCTATTATAAATTAAAAATTAAAAATTCTGATTTTTTTAATCGAAAAGATGGTTTTTATAAAAAATTTAAATGGTTAATGATGGAGAAATTAAAAATACTATAAAGTAAATTAACATATGGTACTAATATAATTACCATAAAATATTTAGAAAATAAATCATTGTATTTTTATGAAATCAAAATATAAATATTTTTTATCATTTAATTGAATATAATTTTAAGACCTTAGATATATTTAAGAACCTAGAATTGTTTTATTTTATTAAGGATGAATGATTCTGATATTTGATAGAGCATTTTCTATTAATAAAATAAAGAAGGTAGATAAATTTTTAATTAAGTAATTTAAAAATTTATTTCAATTTTTACCATCATGCACAACATTTAAGGGACATTTTAATCTAAAGTTATCTAAAGAGAATTACTATCTGAAGATCTAAGATCTTTTGACAATTCTAGAGGATATATTTCCATTTAAAAAGAATTTAATATCCCTCTAGAATCTCCATGGAAGCAAATAGAGACTATCAAAAGGAAAAAAGTAAAACTCTTTGATTCTCCTCTACTTAATGATAAAGAGACAACTTCTTTAAATTTTTCCACAGATAAAAAAGAGGAGGATATTCTTTCGAAATTCGTTTAATGGGGCACTTTTCCAATTATTTCATCAGATGATAGACCCACACTCCAGAAAAAACATATTTAATATCCTAAAACAGAATTTATGAGGAATCATAATGCACGAATAAACATATAAAAAGAAGAACAAGAAAAATATTTTAGATAAACAAAAACTAGAACTTAAATGGTTTAAGTTCCATAAATAAATAAAAACAATCATTATGATGTAAAGGAAGATAATTTGAATTTAAATTAATAACAATAATAAGATCCTAAAATTGCCAAAAAGTATGCCGAAGAATTCAACAACTACATTATTAAAGATATTAGTACAACTCGTAGAATTCTACCTTGTAAATATTTTTAATTAAATTAGAACTCGAAAGATTATAAAACGACAAAAAAAAAATTTCTGAATCCAATATCGTAAATCGATAAAGAAGAGTATATAGTGTAATAGATTAATCATTCCTTCAAAAATCAGATAATTTAGATGAAACTATTGATGATAATTTAGATTAAAAAATTAATTTGAGAAAAAGAAGAACACAGATTAAAAAGTGCAAACTTAAAATAAGACTTATTTTTGTATTGGCTGTTGTAAGAATTTCAAGAAAATATATGTAATAAATTATTTTTTAATATAGAGTATAATTAAAAGAGAGAGCTTCTGGAGTATCAAATTTAGATTAATAAAAAGTAGTTCATTAAAAATTTATTGATCAATTTGGTATAAAAAATCTTAAATATCAATAAAAAGCCTTTGCAGAGGGAATATTTTCGAAATTGAATTCAATATTTCAAAATTAAAAATATATAAAAGAATGTGAAGAAGTTTAAAGAAATTCAGATATTTTAAATAGAGATCTCAAAAAATAAAGATTTTGTTAGTTCGTTTCTTTTTTTTTAGAGACTTTAGATATTGTAACAAATTAATAAGTTATGTCACCTGTGCTTATACATTTAATGAATTTAAATTTCTTTAAAACAAATAATACTTAAACTAGTTTATTTGTTGCAAATAGAGCTCGTTATTATACTATATATATGCATGAAATGACAAAAGACTAATAATTATTAATAGCTTCTGAATATTTATTATTCTCATAAATAATTCCTAATATTTTTGAAGTATTTAATGATTTAAATGCCAAAACTTTGGAACATAAAAATTAAACTTTAAGTTATTTAACTGCTTTATGTGAGTTGATTTAAATATATTTCGTTGATAATTTTGCAAATCTTGAAAAAATAAAAAATAAAAATGTTAGACCTATTTAAAGAACATTTTAATTATAAACTGAAGAAAATACTGGTTTTTCAAAAGCTGAAGTGATTTATACTTCAACAATTAATTCAAATGAATCGATTATAGTAGAAAAAGGTTTTGATAGGTCAAACATTAAGGAATTACAAAACTCAAAACCTTATTGGGATGAAAAAATGAAATAAAAATTTTCTAAAATACTTTCAAATATTGAAAAAATGATCTTGATTAAACAAAATTGATTATTTATTACTTCTTATTATAAACAATAGTGTAAATCTATAAAAATAAGTATATTAAATATTTTAATGAGTGAATGAAAATGTTGAATTATGAATCATTTTAATTATAATAATATTAATTATAATTAAAAATAAAATGAATTAATAATTCTAAATTCATGATATTGTTCTTGCTCCAGGCTTATCAATTAAAATAAGGAACACCATATAATTTAAACATGGATAGGATGGATTCCATTTATGGGAAGTAAATTGAGAAGTTGTTTTATTATTCAAGGCAGGGATTGTATTGACAAGATACGTGTTTTATAATATTATGCCTTAAAAATTAGTATTCATGGATTTAGGAACAGGAGTAGGCATTACTGGCATTTTGATTTCTAAATATACTCGAGTTATTATGAAAGATTATAATTCAGATGTATTAGATAACACATGGATAAATGTTAAATTAAATTAATCACAATGTATTTTAATGCAGTTGGATTGGAGAAATCACAGTAAAATTAGTTTCTAATTGGATTTAATTGTTGGAAGTGATTTAGTTTATTAAGGAATACCTTTATATGACTTATATTAAACAATACTTAAATTATTAAGTATGTTATAAGAGTATTTTTTAGAATAAAATGGAAAATTTTATTTGATTATACCAAGCAATAGAATGTGTACATCAGAATTTATAGAAATAATGAATTCGGAAGGGTTATTTGAAATTTAAAAGGAATTATTAGAAGATGAAAAATATTATAAGCCTTGTTTATAAGATGAGGAATAATCATAATAATTATATCCTGGTTTAAAAGAACTTTAATTTTAAATGTATATATTTATTAAGAAATGAATTTATCACATTTTCAATTATAAATATATAAAATACAAAAGATAAATGGATGTTGAATAAGTAGAACTAAACATTGTGCCCTAAATATCTGATCAAAATTAGGGGAATGATTAAGTCTAAAGTTCATAGCTTGCTCTAAACACAGTGCTTCTAAATGCTCGATAATCGTATTTATTTAAGAAAGGAAAACTTTAATTATTAACTTTAAAAAGATTTACACAGGCTATATTAATTTACAGAATTTTTTATGTTCTCCTTTGTATTATACCATTTTACAAATGTCCGTTTTAATGCAATAACACTTTATTGAATATTTTATTACTTATATGTATTGGATTAGAATCGTAAAAAATACATATATAATTAGTTTTAAGATTGTTGAAACAGCTTATTAGTTAAAAAAGGTGACATATTATTTAGAACTTTTTATCTTATAAGTTCCTTAACAAGTTATTCCATTTTCACTGAATGACTTTTAAACGATATTTGCACTAAGACAAGCACTCGATAAGCTACACATAAATGCATTCTATTTCAGAATCATTATTAATATGTATTTTCTTTTGCTATTTTCAGTATTTGGATCATATATTATATAATATACGTTGCCTTCTTTTTTAGCAATGCTAAATATTATACAAGTATTATATGATAATATTTTAGATGAATAAAATGTTACAGTTTGCTTTATGCTCATTATAATTTCTCTAGATTCAGCTTTTTTTATCTTCCCATACGTATTTCATTTTATTGGATGGATTTGCTTGAAATCTTATGATGCCATTAAAAAATTAACATCAAAAAATAATGTAAATAGCTTATATATATCTAGAAACTGATTAGATCATTAAAAATAGAGAAATACGTTGAAGGCTAATAATTATCTGATGAAAATATTTGTATAATTTGTTGGGATTCATTTAAAAAGGATGAATGCTATTCACGATTAAAATGTAATTAAAATCACATATTTCACACTACATGCATAAAAATATGGATTAAAACTAATATTACTTGCCCAGTTTGTAGATCCTAGTTAGTTTGAAGCATTATATATTTTTAATTAACTTTATTGATTTATTTGACTATTATTTTATGAAAAATACATATTTTCTTAAAGCAGTTTTTTTTTATTTGTAAACATGATTTATAATTATTCATCTCACTTTAATGAATCTAAACTTTAAATTACAAATAGTAATAAAATAGAGAATTTAATTGAATACATAGTATTTACCTCTATTTAATTAAAATATTAAATAGTCAATTTAGAGTAAATTTGAACAAGTTATATATGAATTTCAAATAAATGCAACAAATTTCTATTTCTAAGGATTGATGAATAATAATTATTGTTTTCAAAAATTCAAGATAAGATGGAGCAAAGAATTTGATTTCATTTAGAATTCAGAAATTGTTAAAAAATTTAGATCAGCTACTTTTTATAATATAAACTATTTTATTTTAGTTTAATAAATCAATAGAATCAGAGAAAATGTATTAGATTTGAAGCTTGTGAAATATATATTTTAAATAACATAAAATTATTTAAAAGAAAACTTGCTTGAATTTGTCTATTATTAACACTGCAATTTTAGTTTTTAGTAGAATACACTTTTTATTTTGAATTTTAGTCATCATAAACAAAATAACTTAATGAGGTCAATCTCTTTCCTTAACTTCAACAGCAAATTATAGGCAAAATATAATTTATAATATATAACAAAAATACAAATTTAAAATTAATTAAGTTTAGTTTGCAAATCTTTAATTCAATTAAAAATAGATAATAATAATATTTATTACTAACCCAAAATTAAAGAATATATAATTATCTAATTGAAATTAAAGAAAGTTTATAAATAATTGTGTAAAAAAACACAAAAAATTGTTAAAAATTGATAAAACTAAAAAAGGAAAGAGTGACTTAATAAAAGATTTAGCTTGATATATTAAAATAATTTTATTGTTGATTTATAATGAAAATTTTCTATTAACAATCAATTATGAGTATTTTTTGATTCACTTGAAAATTTTAAATATTTACTTTAATGATTTTTAATCTCATATTGTAACTAATGAAATTTTGCATTATTCATTCTAATAAGGAATTGTTATTTTCAAAAAATCCTAAATTAAGATTATGAGAACAAAATTTATAAAAAAATTTATTAACTATTATCAAAAATTTTATTCTTTTTTATTAATTATTTAATAATATTCTATTATTGCAAGGATATTTTTATAATTAATATTTTTCTCTAAAATTACTCTTTTTGAAAATTCAAATAAATTTATTAAATAAATCAATATATAAAAAATTATAAATTATTAAGTAAATATTCATTTAAAGCAATAAACCTAGCTTTTATGGAGGAATTCTTCTTCAAATGAAATTTCCCCATCAGATTCTTGTGTTTCTGGATTAAGATTACAATAATCTCCATTATTTTTTTGATTTTTTACTAATCTATGATGTAAATCAATAACTTGTTCATTCAAAGATTCATTAATAGTTTCTAGAGATATTTATGCAGCTTTTATATCTAAATTTTACATAGATATTTATTTGCTTGTATTACCGCTACTTTTTTTTAATCCATTTATTAAAGAACTCTTGATTATTAATTAAATTATTACCCAATCAAATTCCAAATTTTTGTATCCTTTAAAAATAGATTTTAAACTCTCATAGTTAATTGGTAATTCCATTGGGTTTAAATATTTTATTTTATTAGCAAAATCAGTAAAACATGGAGGATATGTTTTAAGAACTTTCTCTGGTAAAAATGAATGCTTAATTGAAAAATAATATTGTAATTTTTCAGCTCTCGTCTTAAATTTTTTTGATTAATCAAAAAATTCTCCATCTGTCAATAATTATATTACAATATAAAGTAAACTTTCTAAATCATCTTTTGGATGAAGCTCTAAATATTTTATTTTCTAATTTATTACATATTCCAAGATGCTATGCCAAACTTGAATATTTATTAAGATGTTAACATTTTTATCCTCCTTTTGAATTTAGTTTGAACTATATAGAATTTTATAAATTTCCTAATGAAAGTATCTTTTCATTTTCCAAACTTGTTAATAGACTTTACATATTTAAATTTGCATGGATAAAATTACTAGAATGTAATAAATACAAAGCATCGATCTAAAAATGAAAAACATAATACAGTTTTTAAAGTTATTAAAATAATGCATTCATATGAAAACCTGTCTTTAGAAAAATTGAACCAAAACTTTAAACTGGGACCAGTTTTATTTAAAACTTGATAATTATATTGATTCATGAAAACTCCATGATCATACAATTTTACTAAACAATCTTAAAGGTTCTAAACTACTTTTCCACTTTAATATTTATCCTCATATTAATTCTCGAATTAAGTTTTAAAATACAAAAGTATTTTAGTGCTATTATCACTTTTTGATAAAAGGGTCATTCGAACAACACATGTTTATTACTATTGTAAATTGATAGCTATGATTATAGTAGTTTATTACCATCAAAAATTGTTGAAGCCTTTCCTTAATAGATTACATTTAGTAATAAGTATTTTTTTTCAATAATAACTGGATTTTCTTGATTATTATATTTCATTTGCGATAATTTCTTAATAGTAAAATATAACTTACTTTTTAAGAATCAGGTGATTTTGTATTACTATGTTCTGTAGAGGTTTTTGGTGCATTCAAATTGTTTATTTCACTAGAATCCATATCTTAAAACATAATAGATAGATCTAAAATATTAATATAATTTATAATTTCTATTTTTAATGAGCTTAAGTTCTTCATAAAATTATAAAATACTTAAAATAAATTATAAAGATTTTGTATTTGTTTGAAATAAAATATTATTTATATTTTTTATAAGTAAATAAAAAAAAAAAAATATAAAAATAAGTTAATCAGCAATGTGAAAAATTCTGTCATTTTCATATTCTTTTTTAAAGAAAATTGTTAAAGTCATTTGGACAATTATGATTCTCACTAAATTATAAATCATCTTGAAGCTATTATTCTATTGGCCCAAAACTTTTCACAAGTAGATTTTTAGATTCAGCATAGGTTGAATTAATAGTTTTATTTTTAACAGATTCATGTTTATTTTATCTTTCTTATTTGATTAAAGGATCAATAGAGTTCTTTCTTGACACATTTGAAGATTTTTAATAGATTGAATCGACCAAACTGAATTTTAATAAATCATCTAAACAATTTGAATCTAGATTTTCTCGAAAAAAGTCTTGTTCTAAACATTCCTTTAATGTAAATCTATATTTAGGTTAAGTTCGAGTCATTTAGATAATAAGATTTTTTAATGATTAAGGCAACTTAATTTTATCATTGAAACTAAGACTACCAGTGTTACTTGATTTAAAAGGATGAACTCCATAGAAACTACAAATTAGTATGTAAATTACATCTCGTAAACGATGATACCTAAACTGTAAACATCGCATTAAGTAGTATACATCTTTTATTTTTCTTTATATTCTTAAACTTCAGGTGCTGCATATCCAGGAGTACCACAATTATAAAGTACATGCTCCTAATATTTATAGTTAGTTGAAAATCCAAAATCTATGATTGCAATATCTGTATTGAAAGGATCCTTATCCTTATACATAATATTTTAAGGCTTTAAATCTCGATGCATTATTTGTTATGAATGGACATAATTCATAGTTTCTAGAATATCTCTTACTAATTATTATTTTTATTAAAGTGAAAAATTTAATAGCTTTTCATATAAATGACCACCTTCGTAATAAGTCATTATTAATTCAACAGAATCTAAGTATTAAATAATAAAAGATACCATCATTTTCATATACTTCATGTAATTTTGGAATGTTTGGATTGTCAAGACTACGCATTATAAATATTTCTTCAGCCAAACTCTTTGCTTGTTTTTCTCTCATTTTATGACCTAAAGGAGCCTTTACCACTTTTTTAATTGCAAATTTTTAATCATTTTGATGATTTATCACAAATACCTAGAATGATTAATCTTAATAAAAATACTTCAGAAGTAATTCCTTCTCCTATCTTCTATCTTAAACTTTATAAATTTATGGGTATGGATTCTTAAATACAATTCTGTTTCAATTCAACAATAAAATTCTCTACTTCTTCTGTTTTATTTCCAGATTGAAGCACAATTTGTGAAAAATCATGTGATAAAGTAATAAGAATTGTATTGTCTTTGTTTCGAAAAGAACAATATACATTTTTAAGAAGGAGAAAGCCTCCAATTTCACCACTCTTTATTAAATGACTTATAAAATAAATTCCTTACCTTTCGAAAATAGAATAAGTGTTGTCTGTATATTTTATATCTCCGAGGAGTTATTATCTTGAGTATTTGCCCTTGTTTAAATAATACGATAGTCTTTTGATCTTCAGACAATTTATGAAAATCGTAATTAACTAAAGCACTCAAGTCTCTATTCCAAAAGGATTACTATTTAGAGGATACGAAATATAAAGAGTGTTTCATTAATAAATTATAATTAATAAAAATCATACTCAATTTTGATGATATCCAAACAAAAATTAAGAATGTTGTTCGCTGTTAATCATACAAGTAAAATCATAAAAAATGATTAAATTGTAAATAAATTCATGTATAAATATTAATCAAAGAACTTAAATCATAGAATTAGACAAACTTAAAAATTAATCAGTTTTAATTATTTTTTTTGCATTAATTGTAAATATTTATTTTCAATTTTATATCATTGGAATTAATATTTAAATCATTTCATAACCCATTACATACTCAAGCATTTAATTTTCTATTAAGCTTCTCAAGTGCAGCCTTATTTTCAGCTTCATAATTAGGAGCATCCTTTATAAAAAAGTCAATTGTCTTCTCTAAAGCTGTCATTAAAGGGGTTAATTGAATGCCCAATTCTTTTATTTTTTTATTACTAATAATTCCACAATCAACTGAAGGATAAAATTTACTAGCTTCTATTACATGTTTAATATTTAATTATTATTTTTTTGATATTTTATCAAGCTAAAATTAGTATTAAAGTATTACAATAACCTAAGCTAATTCAATATATGAAATTGTCTCATCAAAGCAAACATTATAAATTTAATTTTATTATGGAATATTTTAAATGAAATATTTAATGCAATTCACAACATCTGTGCTATATACAAGACTAATTTATTCAGATTGCACAGCTTAATCCTATTATTATGTTAATCAAATTTACCACTTAAATAGGATTCTTATCATTTTATTAAAGCCATTTCACTAATGCAAAAAATCTTCCAGAATCATCAAATGGTCCAATTACATCAGGAAGTCTTAAAATAACATATCGAAATGAACCTTCTACTACATAATTTTATAGAAACTCTTCACATTTCAATTTATTCTAAATTTATTCATAATAATTATTACATGGCCATAACTTTCTCTTTTTTTTTCTTAATCTGATAATTCTTTTCTTTAATCCTAATCTTCAGTTATTGGAATTTATCTTATCTTACAAACATCATAGATTGAGTCTGTTGATATAAATATATATAAATTGCATAATCCTCTTAAGGCTCCATATACTGATTTAACCTGATTACTATAAAATGCTGAAAAATCAATAACAGCTTCCCAATTTCTACCATTTACTCCAACACCAAGTTTCTTTGAAAGATATCTAATCAATGTCGTAAAATCTGTTGTATCTTCTCGATTGCCATATGTATAATAAACATTCTTTATTTGATTGACTGCATTGTTCCAATAATTTTTTCCTCTATTTATATAATGAACTTCATAAGATTCATTTTCAGAAATATCTTGCAATAATTCCTTTCCCATAAAAGTAGAACCACCAAGTACAAGTATTAATTTCTTCATGATACTTTCTTATTTAATAATTAATAAAAATGGAAATATGTGATTTATTTAAAGAGACTGTAAACATATATTGTTTAAATTAGCTTCAAGAACAGGATGATACTAAAAGATAAACTCTAATGTTTAGTGTATGCAGAAAATTAAGTAGAATATTGCCTTTTCCTTCTGTTATCTCAGTGTTGTAATAAAAGCCAAATATTTTGAAATATTTACTGATCGCCAGTCAATTATATGAAAATAGTGTATCAATAATATGATTCTAGGCCTTGCTATTATTTTATGCTTTATAAGATAGATATTGGGAAGAAAAGGATTACGTCAAACTGTATTTTGATTGTGTTATCAAATGTCTGATTAATTAGGAGAGTAATGTACTAATTATTGACATTTTTAGTATATTGTCAAACGGTGATTTATAATGAAACCAAGCTTAGGTGGTTTCTTCTGGAAAACTCTAAAATTTTTATTAATAAAATCTAACAGTCCTTTTTTGATAATGAAAATGTTTGTTAATAGGTTAATAACTTTTTTAAGAGTTTCATTAAATACAATTCTAATTTTGATATGCTCAATTCATGTTTTCAATTTGCCTTAGAAAAGAGAAATACTTGGATATTATTAAGAGATTTAGATCTATAATTTGAAATCGATGTTGAAGATTGTATCAAATTAAATTAATTAAGAATTGGTTGCATTGAGTTAAGTGATGAGTACAAAAAATTTAGATTTTATAAGTGAGAAGATAGAGTAAAAAAGAGAAGAAGCATCAAATTATGGATTAACAAAAAAATAAATGAAATAATAGATGTTAGAAGAATGGTTATTTCAACCAAGTGAAGTCCCATTATTGGTAGCTAATCATGCTACTGTTGATTAATTGAGTAGTGAAGTTTTTAAATCTAATATGCTCTTAGACTTGTTTCTATCATTTATATTGTTTCCTACAAAAAATCCTTAAGTTGTTCCTAATGTAATAACGAATCTTATTTTAGAAATTATACAATATTGATGTAGATTTAAATCCTCCAGATCCTCCTTCATTTAGATAATTAAATGTTAATGTTTCTTAAGAAAGAAGACCACTTATCTAATTTAGAGCTTTTAGAACTATGCAAGTCATAACTGATAACAGAAATAATTTTTTATTAACTAGAACTAATAAAGAATATTATTAAAGAGCTTATTCAATGATTTATGAATGTTTAAAATAGGATTTAGTAGCAATCACGATTTGTCCAGAAATTATTGTATAATATCTATCATTCCTTTTGTATTAAGAGCCTGAAATTTCAATTTTCTTTCTAATTTTTTATAACATTCCTTACAGATTAATGCTATTTTTAGATATTCCAGAAATTTCATAATTTTTTTCATAACTCATAAACTTTGTTTAAACTCCTTATAACAAAGTTAATAGGGATTCGAATCGGTTGATTTGGAAATATTTCTAAATTTCCGATTTTTTTTCTGATTTACTTAATATGACTATATTTGATTAAAAAACAATAGATGATGTTATCACTTAAAAATCAAATGAATATTATAGACCTAAAAATCTAGATGAGATTTTAAAAAGACCAGATTTTACACCTTTATAGGTAGAAAAACAATTTCCATAACCAGAATAAAAGAAGGTTGCAGAAGAAATTGATGAATTGGATTAAGATCTTGATTAAATTTTTAATTATCTTCCTCATAAATGTTAAAAGACTGTTAAAATCTTTGAAAGAATGATTGATTAAGCACAGAAGAAAAAAGAAAGTAAAGCAAAATAAAGAATGTCTTTAATAGCCACTCCACCTTAATTTTTATAAACAAAAAATCTTAAAATAGAAGAATAAATTCCTATTACATTCAGTCCTACTAGAAGAAGAACAATATTAGCACCAAGATTAGCCTCCATGCTTGAAGGAGGACTTAAAAAATCATTAGTTGTTAATCCTGTTCAATTTGATAATATACCTTAATCTACAACTAATAGTACTACTAGAAGTCAATTATAAGCACTCACAAATCCAAATAATTTGTTTGGAGTATTGACTGAATAAATTTAATTGGTCAACAAAAAGAGTTCTTAAGAATTGATTCAAAAACCTATGTATTAAAGAATGTTAGTGAAAAAACCAACTTAAATCATAATACTTCATAGTAGGTCTTTGTCAAATTAAAAACGATTAAGTTAACAATCTTCTCAAATCAATATTACTGAATCTCTGAATAAATCAAGAATCTAAAACTCTATCATTTTAAATAAATTTACTCATTTAGTTGGATCTATCAAATGTTATGATATTGAAAAAGAATTTTGTATCTATCCACCAGAGTTAAAGGATTAATAAATTGATGATTTTGAGAAGCTGGCATTTGATGAAGAATTCCGAAGACTTTCATAAAAAAATGAGAATTACACTAAAGGAGCCCTTTAATGCCTTTATGATATCTTACATACAATCTTCACTTAAAGGAAGTGTATTTTATAAAATAATCATCATTTTGAAAATCCAGAATTCTATCTAAATATCTTAATGGGAGAAAATAAATCTTATTTCATAAATATCATTGCCAAGAATTATTTATTGAAATAGAAAGTAGAGGAAGACTTATTATGTACATTCATGGTAGCAGGTAGAATTTATAATTTGATTTTATCTTAGTACAATCTTAAAAAAATATCTCTTAATTTCCATGAACATTTAATCTCGGTATGTAAGATTCTTTTAACCCAGCTTCTGATATCAAAGCTATCTATTAGAACAATTACATTATTAGAAAGTGTAGCTTTAATTTTAGAAAACACAAAATAATAATTACTAACTTATATTCCCATTTCTTTTTGGCATTTATTGATTGAATCTTATTCAATTCATTATTCTAATCAAATTTTTATTAATTATTTTAGAAGAATTTTAATAACTACTTTTATCTATGGAAATCTAGTAATTTATCATAGAATTTTATTAAAAATCAATTTTCTCTCTTATTTTAAAGACAATCCAGATTAAATTAAATTAATTTTTCTGGTATTATATATGATGTTTAAATTAAGATAAGATGGGTTAAAGAAGTTAAAGAAATAAATTTCATTATTATCTTCTTGGAATGCTTTAACAGATTTCTTCAAAAAGTAAGTTAATTTATTAATTATTTTTAGAGATTTATAAAGCCTTGAATAATAAAAATTTTAAGAATATATAAAGGGGCTTCGAAGTGAAGATATTACTCATATATAAATACTGACTGAAAACAAAGGTTCAATAAAGAATAAATTTTATAAACCTTGATTACATTTGAATCAAATATCAATTTAATAGTTCTAAATTAAGAATTGAATATTTTTATAAAAATAGATATTGTAATATCTTTTTCGCATTATTACAATTTAAATGAAAAATTATCAGCTCAAAATTAAAATATTTATCATTTATATTAAATAAATAATCATTTTTTGCAAACTACAACCTTATGGATTATATAGATTACACAGAGATAAGATTTTCATTTATTGGTACAAGAAAGCATTTTTTCTCGGATAAATAATATTATGTTTCTGTTTTTGATGATCGTTTCGTGATGGGAACAGTAAGAATCAATAATTTAAAGATAGACATCCAATACATAGCAGCCAAAATACACAATTTAGTTTGGTTTTGCTACAAAAATAGGATGGAATATTAAAAAGACCAAATAAGGAATTTTATTAGATTCATTTAGTTTTTTTTATAAACAAAAGATGAAGGCAATGAATGCTAGTAATGATAATTTGATAAAGTAAGTAATGATTCAAAATACAATTTTAGATTCAAAGAAATGATAAGTTTAAAGGTGACTTTTGATAACATTAATGATTTGTATGAACCTCTTTCCTTAATAGGCAAGGGAATTTCAGCAAAAGTTTATAGCACTCTATATAAAATAGACTAAAAAGTTTATGCAATAAAAGCTATAGAAAAGGCATTTTTAAAACAACAAAATGAATCTGGTTAAGTATTAAAATATATTTATATATTCATAAGGCTGCATTTAAAATGGAAGTTTCTATTTTAAAAACTTTAGCATAATTCCCAGACAACTTTTTAACATTGAAAGAAATTTTTGAAGGGGATTAGGTTCATTGTTTAGTAACTTCTTATTTGGAAGGATCAAGTTTAGCTTAAGAATTTGATTGTTTGAAGGTAATGATAAATTAACAAATAGACAGCAGATATGTATAGGTTTCCTATTCATTAAGCTAAGCTTATAATGAGAAAATTACTTACAAATTTAAGTGTCTTGCATGAAAATAAAGTATATTTGTTTTTTTATTAGATAATTCATAGAGATTTGAAGCCTGATAATTTAATGTTTTCAAAAAAAAATGACTATTCGACATTAGTCTTAGTAGATTTTGGTTTAGCAACATCTGAATCTATGGTAAAGTAAAATAAATTTGTAAAAAGATTTCTATTTCCAAAGTGTGGTACACCTGGATATGTAGCACCTGAAATTTTAACTTTGAAACCTTTTAGTAAATACACAACAAAAGTTGATATCTTTAGTTGTGGTTGTATTTTTTATAAAATACTTACTGGTAAAAATTTATTTGGAGGAATTTCTTTCGATGAAACACTTAAATAAAATAGAATGTGTTAAATAGAATTCGACCTTCCTCATGATTTACAACATATAACAGAATAATCTATCGTAATTGTATTAATAGATTTTTAGAATTTATTATAATTAATGTTACATAAAAATCCAAAACATAGGATTAGTGCCAAAGATGCTCTTACTCATCCTTTCTTTGAATAAAATCTTGACTAAAATATAATATATTCTCAAAAAAGGTCAATTAAAACATTCTTAAGTGCCTATTAAGAAGAACAATAATCTGATTTAGATAGTTTTTAAGATGATAAAATAAGTAATGAAAAACAAGTAGAAGAGTCGAATTTTATTTAAATACCAAAGAGTAAGAGATGCTCTTTAATGGGGGATTTTTCTTAATAGTCTTAATCTCCTTCCAAATTCTTACATGACACATAATAATTTTACTAAAAAGATCCACTTTTTGGGTTTAAGTGCATAAAAGTAACTTAAAGCCCTTAAGTATCTTAAATATTAGATTGATGTTATTGATTAAATTCTATTTTCCATATAAAAAAAATATTTAATAATTGATAATAAATGCAGAATTATGAAATTTTAGAAAAGATTTATGAATCAAAATCTACAATCATTCATAAAGTCAGAAATATCAAAGATAATAACATATATGCCATGAAAGAATTTGTTGGGTTTTATAACTAAGGTATAAGATTTCGATAAATGTAGCTTTAAGTGAGATATCAATTATGAAAAAATGCTAAATACCCTTTGTTATAAAACTTAAAGAAGTATTTAGAATAGATGACAATGTCATAATTATAATGGAGTATGCAGATTAAGGAAATCTGAAATAATTTATAAGCGAGCATCTTGGAAGTTTCATTTCAGAACGAGTGATTTGTAAAATACTAATACAAATCGTCTTTGTTTTTATCTATATGAGAGAAAATAAGATATGTTATAAAGGTTTAAATCCTGAAAATATATTGATACATTAAGAATAAGTGAGAATTTGTGATTTTGGAATAGATAATTTAATTGAGCATTAAAAACCCAGTTATAGACCTCCAGAATTACTATTTCAAAATAAATTTTCATACAAATCGATGATGTATCATTTAGGTCTTGTTTTATACGAATTGACTACACAAAGACAACTATTTAAGTTAGAGATTATCGAACAAATCAAAGCAGTGATCCTTAACGGAGGAGCGTAATTGAAATTATCATTTAAGTATTGTAAAGATTCCATAGATATACTCCAAGTAGCTTCGATTCATCATTTCAACTTGTCTTGATCTCCAAGAAACAGATAGGTTGGATATTCGTCAATTAGTACAAAACGAAAACTTTAAAGTCCTATTGAAATAAAAACATTTCACTTTTACTTATGAATAATAGGATACTTTCGAGTTTTGGTGTAATAATAAATAGTAAAAATAAAAAAGAAAGAGTGTTTGTACTGAAAATTTAGATTTAGAAGTGAAAGAATAATTACCATTAGATTAACAAATTATTTAATAGGATAAGCCAAATAAAAATATTACAATGAACTTAGAATCTAAAATAAAAAATAAACAAACTATTCCAAAACTGAATTTAAAAAAACCTCCGGATGATACATTAACTCTGAGACCAATTTCATAATAAACCAAAGGAACTTAATCTAATACTATTATTAAAAGTAATACTTTCAGTCGATAAAATTTCATCTCTTCTACTCATAGAAAATTAGTTTCTCCTATTCCCAAACCTTAATGGATTGACTTTTTATCAAAACCACAATATTTAGATGCTCCAATCAAACCTTAAACTATTATAAATAATTTAATCAAACTAAAAATGGAATAGTGTGTAGAGACTATTGGAATAGAAGAGACGAGATAAACTCTAAATCGATTAAGACAAGGTGGATCAGTAAATGAATTTCTTTCTAAATATCAAGATTCTAAACATCATTGCATAGCTAGGCATATGTAGGATATTATTTCGTTTACATAATTATGAAGATTATGTTTAAATTCATACATCAATCTATTTATAATTATTTCTGAATTGCTTTCTCTTCTTTTAATACAGTTTCTAATCTATCTTCAATAAATTTAGCAGCTGTTTAAGCCTATTTATAAAATATTCTTATCAGCTAATCTTTCTTGATTGAATTTTTCAAATCAATACCATACTACCACCAAATAATTTATCAGGTGAGACCAAGTATATATATTTGAAGAAATCATGTTCCTCAAAAGAATATTTGTAAACAATTCCTATTCCGATGGATGGAGATTTAAGAACATTACTGAAAGGAGAATTATTTAAATCTTATGCTAGGAAGTGAATTTTTCAATAGGCTTAGAAATTTTAAATAGATAATTTGAACTAAGTAATCCATATTTAAGACTAAAATATAAAGTATAAATTAAATTATAGCTTTTAATATTAACAATTAATCTCTATGATTTGAAGTCAATTTGAAACTTTTCAGCTTGATAATAATTAAAATTAAATATAATCTTTCTCACATCATATTAAAGTTTATCAATATTTATGTATTGTCTATTGAATATTTATTAATTTCATAAAAATAAGCATTTTAGTAAGAAAAATAAATATTTAAATAAGTTCTTTTAAATCCTTCAGAAAAACTCAATATAAATAAATGTCACCTTAAATTTCTAAGTGCCACTATATAAATACATAGTTCCATTCATTGAAATAAAATCAGATTACCTTTATGATTATGTTAAATACTTTAAAATGAGGTAACTAAGTATCTGAACTTATTTAGAATACTTTAAGGAATAGATAATGACTAAATCAATAATAATTAAGAATGAATATTCTTCACTACTAATTATAATGATAATGAAGATCAGTATTTTTTGTCATTAATAATGGCCATGGTTCTGATGGTCATTTTGTTTCCATTTAATGTTACATAATAAAACAAAAGAAAGTTTAGGATATCATGGTTTTTGGAAATCATTAATCATAAAATATTAAATTGATGAATTAATGTATTATAGATATAGAAAAGGAAATTTAGTTTCATGATGAGTTCAAAATGTTTTTAAATGGTCCCTCTTTAATTGCAATATTTAATTTAGAAATAAAATCATTTTTTGATAAAAAAGAAAATTGATCTAATTGATATATCATTCTAAGATAGTAAGAATTATACCTTAATTTGTATAAGTATATGTTTGTAGATAAAGAAATAATAAATTTTCAAAATTGAATATATCATCAAACCAGTGTTTGTTTTTATTAGTTATTTTCTTATTTCATTTAATCTATACTATCTTATCTTTCATCTGAGGATTGAGTTCTTGTGGACTTTAGAATTTATTTCTCTTCATTGTATTTCTCTTTAAACTTGCTTATATAATTTTTAAGTATTTGATTTCGATATTATTTTTAATTCTTTCCTTTAATTTGGTATATCTTATTTTGTTCTGATTTATATTATTCTTCATTTTGTTCTAATACTGTCAAAAAATGATTTTAGCAATATGAGTATTATGATGGTTCTGTTTAGTCTGAGACTCTACTTAAGCTTTCCTCTTAAATAATTTATTTATCAAGTAATTTAAAGCATTTTTTATTAGATTTGGAAAAGTCTAACCCAAGTTACCCTTTCTTTTTTTAATCAATCTTAGGAAGTTGATTTATTTTTAATATTTATCCTGTTTAAGATTGTGGTTCTGTTTGAGTTTCTTAATTCATCATTATTTTTTTTCTTTTTGTTATATGATCGAATTATTTCACATGAACTGTTTCTATTTTTGACTCGTAACAAACTATTAGAGGTTCGGTAAAAATATTTTAAACATTTTTTGTTTAGGATTTCATTTTCTTCAAGGTATTAAGGATATTTTAAGGTATCACCATTAACTTTTGCAAAAATTCCATTAAATTAATTCTTAATATATATAATAATAAAAGATAAATAAAAAAATTATAAGTTTATTTAATACAAAAAATGCAAAGAAAGATAGAAAATATTCTATGTTATTGATTACTATTAAAATTAGATTCACTAATTATCATATTGGAAGGATTCTGTTTATCAGTTTCTCTTTAAATCTTTTACTGTATCTTTTAGGTTCTTAAGCTGAAGTGTCTAATTATAAATTCATTTTAATAATTTTTTTTGTATTTCTTTCAAGAGATTTGTTAACATTCCATTTTTATAAATAATCAATAATGCCTATATGATAGTATATCTAAAAATTCTATATTAAATTACCCCTTATTCTTTAATTGAAGGATTAATATTGATTTATTGGCCATCCAAATATTTTTATAGTAATTATTATTGATCTTTCCAATCAATAATCATAATTAACAAAGAATAATCAATAAGTTGTTATTTTTCTAAAAAATCAGAGTCTTTGCTTAAATTTTAGTTTAATTCTTGGCTTAGTTAAATAAATTACTTAAAGTAATGCTCTAATCCACCCAAATTTATTATTCAATTTTGAAAAAATCTAAATCTTTCAAAGTCAATTTCGATAAATCACTTTCAGTTTTCTTTGCAAGAACTTCACGATCATATTAAGATCCTTTTAAATCATAAGTTCTTAATATCTAATTTCTTGGTATTCCTAGTGACAAATTCTTCATTATTAAAAAGTGAACCTTTACTTTTGATTTTTCAAAAGTATACATCCCATAAATCTTATTTAATAAAGATTGTGGATTATTTGCTTAATATGTAGCAAAGCTTAATAAATTTTTTTTATATGTATTAACCTCTGATTATCTCATTGTTTTAATAATTAATTAGTTGTTGTGAGAAAAAAAAAAATATTCACCACTTTTACCACCATCAGGACCTGTTGATTATTCTATTTTCATTAAATTCTTTTAAACATCAAAAGAATCTTCTATATCAATATTATCTAAAGTAACAAAGTAATTAAAAATTTTAGGAGCATATAATATACATCTCATTTAAAAAACTTAAATATTTTGAGATTCCTTAAAGTAGGATTTAAAAAGATCATTATCAAGATTAACAACCATACATTCATCAACTTCTTCAGGAATAAATGGTTATAAAGTTACATCCACCAATTCACTTAAATCTCCTTAACTTGATTCATCAGATTCATCTTAATCATCATTTATCTCTAGATCTTTGTAAAATACAACTTATTCTTATTTCTACTTTTTTAGTATTTATATACCAGCTAACATAGAAATTACTTAAGTTTTTTTCATTTCCTTTTATAACTGTTCTAAAAGATTAAATTCTATTATAAAAATTAAAAATCTTACATTACAAAGATATTTCAAAATCCTTAGTATCATTATTTTGGTTTTAATCTAATTAGGGATCAGAAGTTTATGATTTGTTAAATTTTGGTATGAGGAGTGGATCTTTCGTGATAATAATAACCTAGCCTAAAATACAAAGGGCTTGAGTTATATTTTAACAAGTCGCTGATGGTAATAGATATGTCTTCAAAAATATATAGCAATTTAATAGATTAGTTGCACTGAATATTCCAAGTAGAAATTTCATGACAAGACTAAAAGTAATAAATTTTTGATAATATCTTAAGTATTAGCCTCTTAATTATCTAATTGATGACATTTTAGGGACTAACCTTTTAAAGGTAAAAACAAAAATTAATGACATAGTTGCAAATAAAAGAAATACTAATAAATATATGATTGCAATAATGTAGTCCCAAACAGGTTAATGAGTGGCTGAAATTGCACACATTCTAAGAACAATAAAATAAATAATACCCATTTAATGAGATTGATATAATACCATTATCAAATATAAACTCTAATATAACTAAAATTATTATTAGAGCTGTGAAAGAGTAATTAAATATTCGAATAAATTTGATTGTTTACTCCAAAGTGTTATATACCAAAGCAAGTGGGTAGGCAGCAAACATAAAGATGTTTAGATTTGAAATTACAAAAACTATTGAAGTTGCTATTCCTGTAATCTAATTTATTTTAATAATTACATAACAAAATAAATTTTCTGGAGCTAAGTCTTCTATGATTACATACAATGCTGTAGAAAATTGAACAATTGATTATATTCCATTAGTTACTGTAATCACAAAGATAATATCTCCAGGACCTCCAAATAGCCTAAAGTCTTTTAAGAACTCATAAATAATTCGGATTGAAATTATAAATGTAACAGGAGCTTTGTTTGCTCATTCAAATTATACATAGCAATACAAAAATCCAACAATCTATTGGAAACAATTTAAGTTTTTAATAATTTATTTCTTCTTATTCTTTACTATTGGTTTATCTTTTGCAGTCATATAAATCACTCTCATCATACATTTTAGCCATTAATTCTATGTTCAAAAGGAACAAAATTATAATGTAGAATCTAATCATCATCAAATTTATAAATATTAGTGATTATAATCTATAAATCAAATCAAGAGAAAATTATTCCGTCATTTAAAATTTTAGATCGTTAAAAACATAATCCAATATATTTTTAAAGAAAATTCAAATAGAACAATAAATTTATATAATCTATAAATAGTCATATGCATTTGAAATGATACAATATTATGATTTTGATTTATTGGATATATATTTTCATAAAAATAATCTAAAATAATTAACTAAATAATATATCAAATGAGTTATAATTTATTAATATAATGATTAATAATGTATTATTATTTAGCATGTTGTTTAAAAGATAGAATTTAAATTGAAAATAAATTAACAAATGCTCTTTCAAATAATATATTATTGTTATTTTCAGCATAATTCATATAATCCAATATCTTTCTATGAGTCACTTAATAAATAAAATGAACTTCTATTTTTGAAAAATGTTTAAAGAACATTTTTTCCATTTTTAGCTGGGCATTCAAGTAATTCACCAATCATTTCTATAGGAGTTATTTTATTTTCTTAAATTAGAATGCCTTTTATTTATTTTATATTTTCAGCGAAAGCTACTAATATAAAATGCTTAATCTATTTAACAATTATAATTTCTTAAACTTTTGAGTTGAATAACTATAAAATAGAAATAAAATTTACTTAATATTCTCCTATAAAGATATTTTTAATTACATTAAACAATTTAATTGATCCATCAGTGCATCCATAACAGATGACTATATCATTCAAATATTCTGTGGCAATACATGTACTTATATTAGAGATAGAAGAGCTGATTGAATAAATTCTAGTTCACAATTAACTAACAACATTGCTCCTTACAGATTATTGCTTATTTTTAAACTGTAGATAGAGACAATATTTCCCTATGAAATAGTGGCAAACTTCTCATGTTTGCTTACATAAAGAAATTCAATAAGTTAAGTTTTAAAATCAAAAGAAAAAGCTATTCGATTATCATGATAATTGATAACTTAGAGATTAGTATCACTCTAACAAAGAAGATGAGATGAATCAGCTATATCCATGATTCTATTCAATTTAGATTTAAATCCAATTAATTTTCTTTCTGGATAGGGTACATAATTTTCTCCCAAAGTCCAAATAATAGCATAATTTTCTTCACTTAAAGATGCCAACCTTGTCCCTCTATTTTATTTTAAAATTAAAAGTTGAGAGACTGGTTTAGTATGTTGAATATAAGTATTAGGATAGAAACTAACTTTACTTGTAGTCATATCTAATAATTTGACTGTTCCATCAGCTAATCCTAAAGCAACAGATGAATTACTAACAAGAGCCAATGATGTCACTTAGAATTCAATACTTAACTTTTTTTTAATTCTAAATCTTTAATTGGAATGATTCTAAAAATATAATATTAAAATTACTCTTGATTAAGTAATATCTTCAATTATTCTATTATCTAATATTTAAACATTAATATTTGGAATGATAATGGGTTATAACTAATTTTATAGAGAGATTTTAGTATCCACTGCAGAAATCACTGTTTTGTTATCATCCAACATTGTTACTTTATCAGCATTTGATGCATCCATAGATTTACTTTTAATTGGAGGTGATGATATTGCTTAAATAGTAGTAGGTATTGTAGGTTATTGGTTAATTTCTATTAGTGTTTGATTAGGAATACTGACATTCTTGATATAATAGTCTTTAATTGAATTCATAGCATCAGTTAATAATCTAGTAAAATTTTCATTGTTATATTCTAATTCTTAAGCTTTTTTGACTTTATCCAATACTTATTTTAATAATTCAGGTTTCTTCATTATAGACATTTATTTGATTGATACTTTAATTTATGAGCCTAAATCAGGTTTAGTATGTAATTTTTACTATTATAGAGATTAACTTTACTTTTAAATTATTCTCATTTCCATAATATTTACATTTTGTTAGAAGGAAATGAATAGGTTCTAGTTGTTCTTTAAGGATAAAAAAGTTGTTTTTGTATATTTTAAGATATTGATCTAATTTGTTCAATAGCTCTGTTTTATGCAATTCAAAAAGCAATGTGATGGATTCTAATGCTTAATTGATATCTAATTCAATTTATTGCTTTTATGATCTCACATATCCTTCCATATTATTCAAATGTTCATCTGTTAACAAAATTTATTAGACTACTTAAGATTCTTTGCTAAAGAGATCAATATATTTGTTAGCATCATGTACATGGTCTTCGATTTATTTACTCATCAACGTTACATATTACTAGTAAGGTATTAAGCATTGATTGTGTTTTGTATGTTAAGAAATGGTTTTTTAATCTGTCATACATACTTTACACATGAAAGGGAATACTGAGCAATCTAAATCGATACAAGCTTGTATAACTTGTTATTTGTGTTGAGGACAGATTAAATTAACATTCATATTAAAAATATATATATTAATACACTCATCAATCTCTTTGTTCTTTTTATCCTTTGATATATCCAGTTGGATAGAATAATTTTTCTAACTTTTCTTATTGAACAAATGGATCATTATCCTCATAACCTACATTAAAAATATACTTTTAAAATATTACCATATAATCTATAAGTGTTAATTTCTCCATTTGCATCACCTGTAACTAGGATTGGACTATTTTAAGCAAATCTAATCATTGTTTTAGCTGGCCAAACCTATTATTCTTATGGCATTAGAGTAGCAAAGGGATCTAGCATATTATTTTTTGTTAAATCCCATAATTCTAATCTTCCATCTTTACAAACTGAAGCAAATAAAGTAGATGTTGAAGGAGACCATTCAAAATCCAAAACTTCATCTTGTAAATTTTATTGCTTAATAAACACAATAACATACTTAGAAATTGGCTTTTGGTAATTCTTCTTTCCAATTCCAAAGTTTACATGACCAATCTGCACTACATGTTAAAAAGATGTCACTAAAAAATGGATTACATCTCACCTTATAAACAGGACCAGAATGACCAAAATAATTATCTAAATATTATTCTGTGTATGATTTTGAACATCTATGTATAGTTCCATCTTCTGTTGCTGCTAAATACATAGAAGATTCTCTAAATAAAAATTAGATTTAATAATATACCCTAATAAAAAATCAAATGAAAATCCTGCTGATAATCTAAAATTGACTCCCTCTTGTAAGTTTTCTTTTTAAGATGATTAAACAACTCTTTTCAAATTCATTAAATTTGTATATTCTAATCCTTTTTTCATTGACCATTCTGCAATTCTACTATCACTACTTATACTAACTAATGATTCTCCTTTATCAGTTCCTTTAGTACCTTTACCAATCCATTAAACTTCCCAAACAGAATCACTATGTTTTCCTGCTAATTCTTTATTTTCTGTAATTGGTTTATCTGATTTTCTTCTTATATCCCATACAGCAACAATACCATCAATTGTACCAGCAGCAATAAGATTAGGTTAACTATTTGAAAATTTACAACAATTAATTTTTGAAGGATAAGTAATTATTCTTTCAGGATATGTAGGATTTTTTAATGTCCAAAACATTATGTGTCCTTCAGAAGTTTGATTATTTGAATAAGAAACAGCTAATAAATCTTTATTTACAGGATTCCAATCTGCTTAAGTAACTTTACATTCATCACTTAATGCACATTTATATGAGAATAACTAAACTATTGGTTCTTATTACTTCTTTTCTACAACTTATTCATCTTCTTATTTATTTTAGAATGCTCTTTTAAAAGCTCCTCTTTATTTTAAATCTTCATCTAATGTCATCTTTTCAAATTTAACTTCTGGATAATTTCTATATTAGATGTATTATTTATGAAATAAATTCTAATTTAAAATTCTTTCAACATATTTTAAATTTGTTTAAATCAAATTACTTTGAAATATAACTTATTCTGCTTCAGCCATTTAAGTGTTATTCTTTTTAACCAATTCTTTCATGAAATCTTCTTCCTTTTAATCTTATTCGTCTTATTTCATCTCATATTATTTTAATTACTACTCTGGTAAAGGATTACTAGTTTTGCCATGACTTCTTGTCACTTATTATTAAATATTAACTTATTAAGATTGTAAATTCTTAGTTCCAGTATGACTTGAACTTGAATCTAACATTTTTTCATCTATTTATTAATTTGTATATCCTCCTGATAAATTATTTAATGGTTAACTCTATTTATTTGTAATTACACCTGTTTTTGTTTTATTAGATTACTTATCAGAATAGTCTCTACCTAATATAGGTCTTTCAGTATGAATTTTAATTGCTTCCAATTCAGTGGGTAATAAAAAATATGGATTCTTAATATGTTATTTGAATTCTTTATCAATAGAACCTTTAATATCTTCTTATAATAGTTCAAATTCATTCATTTAATCTGTAATTTATGCATCATAAAGATCCCAAATAGCAGCAAATGCACCATATTCATTTTTCTCTATCTTATTTGATTATTGTATCTTATGTTTTTAAATATAATTTAAAGTCTATGCATGTCTTTTAGTATAATTATCACTACCAATCTTTTCAATCATATATTTATCATAATTTTATGTTTTTTATATAACTCCATTTTTTTTGCCCTAGTCACTATTTATATATGAGGAAGGTATAAATAATAACTACATTGTACAAGTTTCAGATAAATTTATAGGAATATTTTCATCTAAATCTTCTTCTTTCAAACCTTTCTTTAATTTAGGTTTTTTTTCTTATTATTCTGATTAGTCTCTTTTTGAATCTGAATCAGAATAGGTACCTTCAGATTATTTAGAATCCATAAAACTACTTCGTTCTGGATTATTAGATGATGAAATCTTTACATCTGAATTAGATGATTTATCCTAATTATAAAATTATATTATACTGCACTTTGATAAAAGGACTTCAAATTACTCTCAGCAACACTTTAACTTACTTTAGTTTCATTTTATTTTTGTAATACTTTCAAACGCTACTCATCTTCTCTATTTTATTGTTCTGCAAGTTATAAAAATTTCTTAGTAACAAGCCTTTCTAATTTAAGATTTTTACTCTTTTGGAGTAACTATTGCATCTTTATATTTCACAACAATGTTGTCTGATCCTGATTATTGCGTATCCATGTTATTTTTTGGTGGTCCCAATTAAGTTTTGCCGCCTCCTAAATTAATTGGCCTATCTAAATATAAAATCAAAACCTTTTCTACATTGTTACATTACTACGAATGTTTGATTTTGTTACACCTGCTTTCAATCCTTCAGACCCTATAGATTACATCTTTTATTTAAAGAATTTAATTTATAAATATTAGCTTATACTCTATTTTTATCATTTTAAATTAAAACTATTTTTATTTCATATATTTATAAATTAAGAATTTCTATTCTTATTGTTCCATAGATTTCAATCAATTTATCAAAATTATTTATTCAATTAGTTTTTATATATTTATCAAATTTAAATTCTATGGATTTTATTACCTTCCCCAATATAGAATTCGTTTCCTCTTCTATAAGCATATTTAATTTTATGTGCATATATTTATTTTTAAACAATATACCATCTATTTTCTTCTTTTTTAATCCAAACTAATAAATTCCCATTAAAATCATAATTTATCAAATATTCATTAAAGTGTAACAAATTTTATATTCTATACTCATTATGATTTATCTATTCTGTACATTGTCCATTTTTTCTATCAAAAAATTGTATACAATTTTCAAATTAAACAATTATATTCTTTAAACCATAAAATTAAATAGCCATAATTTATTTTGAATGAATTGCAATTACTTAAAATTCTTCCCATTATTATTCTAAATATTTCCATAAAATCAATTATTTATCCTCCCCTCCACTACATAATACTGTATTGTCATTATTTAAAACAATAGCATATACTGGTCCAATATGACGATTTAGTGTTTATATGCATTTTATTGAATCGTCTTGCTTAAACCAAATTTTAATTGTGGAATCCTCACTACATGTTACTATAATATTTTCTAACTCACTAGTTGTTATATTCCAAATATAATTTAAGTGTTCTTATTTCAACTAATTTGAAATCCATGTATTTTGTTGTTTCTTCCATAAAATTATTTTACAATCCATGCTTATTGATATAAACCAATCATCTTTTTTACTGTAATAGATGTGATGAACAGAAGAATCGTGATGTTATAAAATTTAATTCAATTCCCAATTTCCTTATTCGTTTTTTAAATAAACCACTAGATTATCTTTAATACCTTATCCTTTATCTTATAAACCAATAACTAATATTGAATCATCATGATTAATTCCAAATGACAAGATATTTTAATTTGATTATACAATCTGATAAGATTGCTTTTAAATTTTGTTATGATTATGCTCATACTATTATTATATTCGTTATTATATTTAATGCTCAATTTCCTTATTGCAATTAATATTCCTGAAGAACTGTAATAAGAGTTCTAAATCTGTGAATTTTTATTAAATATATTATCTATGATCGGAAGTCACAATTTTATTAAAATCAAGAATAAATTGATCTTCTTCAATGACAATATTTTCAGCAAGTAATTATCCTAATTCTTAAAAATCCTTTAAAGATAAGGTTGATTCAGGTACTAAAAAATAATCGAATTTTTCTTTTTAATTTATAATAGGATGCATAAAATTGTCAAGTTCTTTTTTAAAATGTTCTAGTTCTTAAATTATTGATTATCTAAGAATGTTAAATTGATGATTAATGTGTTAAATGAATTGTGTAGTTGTTTGTAGATGTTTTTCATTTATTTATTGTCTTTATGGTAAGGTTTCAACTTCTTCAATATTCAATTTTAATCCATCTGTTGGACATTTTTTGCAAAGGACTCTTTGATTAAGAGGACAATGTTTTTCAATATTGAAAGAAAGAATTTTCTCTTTATGAATAGGACAATGTATTAATTGTTAATGTAATTTTAACATTTTAATATAATAGGATCATAAATGTTAATGTTTTGTAATTGGTACAAATTTGAAACTTTTTAAACCATGAATTGTGATTTTTGCATCAATAATAAGATTATCATTACCCCATTCAAAACTAGTCCATTTGAGTTTATCTAGGATAAGATTTTTAAATTCTTTAGGTAATGGAACCTTAATAATAAAATAAAAATATTACTCCATATTTTTATAACATTTCAATATCAGATTATTATGGTATAAGGATTTCAGAAATGATAAAGATTTGAGAGTCTAAAAAGACTTCTTCAGCAATTTTATTTGGTTCCATGGATATCTCATATCTAATAAATAAATAATGATGAAATAATACTTTTTAATATCTGTTTCAATATATAAACAATTACTTTTAAGTTTATAAGATGTTCTACTAGGTATACCTTAAGAAGTTTGTCTATCTAAAAATGTTAGTAGATTATATTTTTAACTAGGTTCATTACACATATCCCAGACAATCCAACCTTCATTTAAAGGAGGTAGATTATTAACTAATAAATTTTCTGGTAAAGTATTTTGTGGAGGTTCATGTAAGAAGACATTTAAATGAGTTTTTTTTGTTAATCTCCTATTAAGAGGTAATGACATTTTTTTAGCCCAACTAATCAATTATTCAGGTGATCCTAATTATGGCAACCAATTAACTTTTTCAGGTTTTAAACAATGAGCACAAGGAGATTTAAGAGATCTTGAAAGTAATGGTACTTTAAATTAACCATTTAATGATTTCTTGCCTTTAATTACTTTACAAGATAAACTAATTCCTTAATAGAATGTTCCTGTTAATTTAAGATCTCCAAGAGCTAAAAGACCTGCATGTATACCAATACAAACTGCATCACTATGACTAGCATATACACCATTAGATCCCCAAATTTATCTTAGAATTAAAGCTTGATTGTTTTTATTTACATATTCACAAGCTATTCTAATTTCTATTGTTTAGTTAATAAAATTTGATAAATTAGGTAATTCAGCTCCAGGTTTGTATAAAAATGTTGTTGCCGCTGGAATACATGCAGAATTAGGTTTTTTAAGTTTATTTTCTCTTTTGTTGAATCTACCAGGACCTAATAAAGGTTATGGTTTATTTTTTGATCTTACACCTAAAATAAATAAAAATTAAGATGCCTTCATATTAAGATACATCTTCATCATCTAATTGACTGTCATATTCATCTGAGTTATTCTTCTTTCTTTTATCTCTATAAGGTCTTGTGTTACGCTTTTGAGAAGAACTTCTGGATGACTAACTACTATGAGATGGATTTGACATTTTAATTGTTTAATATTTATTTTTATCACTCTTTATTGAAATTCAATAATTTAGCCAAATCATTACAGAATTTCTTCTAATCATACTGTTCTATTTTTGAATTATTTTTAAGAAGACTTTCATATAATTTTTCTTATCTTTTTTATTTTAGATCATCATCTAATAACAAAGAAACAACTACTCCTTCATCTTTAGCTCTTCCTGTTCTTCCTGATCTTTAATAATAACTAAATTTATTTTTATCATAATATTACCTCTCTTCTTTAAATTCTCCTGCTGGAGTAATTGGTAATCCATAATGAATGATAACTCTTACTTTTCTAAAATCCATTCCTCTTTATAATACATCTGTACATAAAAGAATCTTCTTTTTTCCATCTTTAAACTCTTTTCTTACTGTTTCTCTATCCATTTAATTAGTATCTCCTGTACATTCCCCAATCCAATTATTTTTAACTATATATTCCAATTTTGGTGATTATTTAAATAAATTAACTAATTCATTTACAATTGTTTTTTTATTAAAGAATATCATGACTTATGCTTCTGTAAATTTATCAAAAACATCCTTCAATAAATCAGCTAAAATCTATTCTGGTTATTTTAAAGCTTCTTTATACATATGAACAATTGTATATGGAGATATTTATTATTGAATAGATGGAATGACTTTAATATTACAAAAAATTTCTTAGATATCATCTTCATCTTTATGCAAGAATCTAGAATCGACTTTCTTGTTTTAATCTACATTATTTTAAACACAATCCTTAATAAAGACTTAAATATCTTCTGGTTTCAAACTGGCACTTACAAAAATGATTTAATAATTTTAATTATTAGTTTATCCTAAAATAAACTAGATTAATTGCATAGTTTCAATTCTGGCTTAATTTTATTCATTCTTTTCTAATAATTAATCTGCTTCATCAATGATTAAATATCTAAGATTTGAAACATTTATGATACGATTCTTTAATCCAGCTAACATTTTACTAGGATGACATAGATAGACTTGACAATCAGCTTCTTCTATTCGATTCTCTTTTACTTATTAAAATTGCTATAAAAAATTAACAATAAATATTATACATTATCTTTTGTTAATGCAAAAAAAGTTTAAAATTTTAAATTTTAATTCTTCAATCTCTCAGGCAAATGCCTCCTAAAAAACTCTTCATGTTATTTCAAGTAAATAGTCTATCCCAAAACAATTGTATAAGGATATAACATTCTAACTTCTTTCATAGTATTGTCTTTCTGCTTGATTTATTTTTATTCACTAATTTTTTGATGTTTCTCTTTAAATTCTTAATAAATGAGAGATTAAAAGCACAGAGTCTTTCCACTTCCTGTTTAACTTCTAAGTGCAACAATAGGAGATTATTAATTGATCTCCTAACCTAAACAATAATTTATGAATTCATATTAATGAGCATAAACTTTTGGTCCTACTTCTTTGAATTTATTTATGATGTCATCTTCTAGTATTCCTTTTAAATCATCCCAATCTCTGTCTTATTCTAAGTTTTGATCCATAAATTAATTAATACAATAAATATATTAATTATTCTAAATGTTTTATGAAGATTATGGATAAGATATTTACATCTATGAGGAATAAAAACTCTAAGAATCTAAAGAAAACACTGAATTTACAACAAGAGAGGAATTTCTAAAGTTAACAAGTTTTGAAAAGATTTGGTAACAAAAAGGTTTTTATTAATACATTAAATCATTGAAGAATGATTATCTATAGAATATTTGCATTAAAGATTTAGCTAATTCTTTAGTTGAAGATTGTGATGAACAATTAGCAATTTAAGTCTTTGATGATATTCTTGATACTCCTATCAATGATATACCTTTATAATTATTGAGTAAAAGTTCTTATGTAGTACCTCCTGAGATACCTGAAAAATTGTTGTTAGAGTTTTCTCATCTTGTTAATAATAAATATGCATGGGTAGATAAAGGAGATTAAATGTAATATGGATTGGAAAAACCATGCATTTTAATTTATACTAATGTCATAATAGGAATGTAGAAAACATTTAATAAAACAGATCTCAAATGCTAAGCTAATTTAGTTTATTTTAATAATCAATTATATGAAGATTAAACTATATATTTTGAATAGAAAGGTATTCGTATTATGGGGTAACAATTTAGTAAATTAGAAAAACTTTATGTCTATTAATAAAGTTAAAATATTGACAATACTAAGACTAAATTATGTCAGAAATTATAAAAAAAAGGATTGATTCATTCTTTATTAATATAATTAGGATAGGAGAAATTTGAGAATAAATAAAGTGTCAATATGTTAATATATGAATGTTTATTATTTGAGAATTAAGAGTGGTGTTAAAAAATAATAAGTTAAGATTGGCTCAATAATTTGATTACTTTAAGTTTATAGGAACCTAAGGACACAAGTGTATTTCATTAAGTTGTTTATGATAATCTTTAGTATTTGAATTTAAACTATTATACTGAATAATAAACTGATTAATTATTATTGAGATTGCATCAATATTATGAAGCAAATTCATTGGATTTGAAATAAAAAAAAGTAGAGAAGTAATAGCCTCTTAAGTAGGTTGAGGAAACTAGTAAAGTTACTACAACCTAAAATAATAATAATAAATAAAAGGGATCTAAACCTAAAGGAATTGGATATGGAGATATTAATTATACTTCAACATATTAATAATAGTAAAAGAAGAAGGAAGTATTTGTTTTAGATTGTGATATCATTTATTAATAAGCTGAAGGATTTAGATGGAAAATCTTGATTGAAATATTTAAAAAGTTAAGAAACTTAAATCTTGAATATATACATATGATAGAAGATTCTTGTCTTATACCGGTGATTAAAAGCATTATATCTTCTTTGAGTAAGAGTTAAACTATATCAGATAAATTCGAAGTAATTTAAATAATATTTGAATTATTAAATAAATTTTTAGCAGAAGAAGCTATGCATTTATTTACATGTAAAGATTATGGTGATTTTTCAATGTTTGAAACAATTCAGAAAGTTAATAATGAGTCAGTATTCATTTAAAGTAAAGATGATTAAGAATAAAATCAAAAGATTATAAAAAAAGTGTAGAATCAGGATAAACAATTAGATGAAGTATTAAAAGAACTTTAAGATTTCTTTAATAAATTAATTATAATTTTAAAGAATAATAAATATATAGATGTGAAATATGAAGAAACAGAGAGTTAATAAATATAAGATCCTGCTTATTTATATCCAATGATAATGAAACCATTGGTTTTAAGAACAAGTGAAGTAATAAAGTAGCCAGGATGGAAAAAATAATTGGATGAAGCTTATTCTCATTTATCATCAACACCTCCGAATAAGAAAATGAATAGGATAATAAAAGAGTTATCAGATATAGGAGAGAATTTGCCACTTTAAATAACAAATTCAATATTTATAAGATATGATAAAGATAGAATGGATGCAATGTAAGCAATGATATTTGGTTCAAGTGGAACACCATATGCACATGGAGCATTTTTATATAATTTTTTATTTTGTGATGATTATCCTTCAAGACCTCCAAAATGTTTATTAGAGACAACAGGTCATGGCAAGGTTAGATTTAATCCTAATCTATATAATTGTGGGAAAGTATGTTTAAGTTTATTGGGTACATGGGGAGATAATTGGAAACCCAATGAATCAACTATATTATAAATATTGATATCGATTCAAGCGATGGTTATGTCTGAATATGTATATTTTAATGAACCGGGTTGGGAAAGTAGTATGGGAACTGTGGATGGTGAAAAAAATAATAGGGGTTATTGTAATATTGTTAAATTGGCTAATATTAGATATGCAATGATAGAATAATTATAAAAACCTCCTGTTGGATTCGAAGAAGTAATTCAAAAGAGTTTTTATTTGAGAAAAGATGCTATAATTAAAGAAGTCTAATAATGGATTGATGAAGCTGATTTACCAGTCAATTATCATTGTACATAGAATCATAATATATCTTCTCCATTTTAATAACAGCCATCTAAATTTAAAAGTATATTGACAGCAGAATTTGAGGCTTTAAAAAAGGAATTAGAAAAATTGAAAGTATGTATAACTCATTAATCTGATAAAAAAGTATTATCAATAATATAGAGATAATCATATACATAAATATAATAATAGAAAAAGTTATAGATAGAGAAAAAGAGAGAAGAAATGAATGAATTTTTAAAGAGTTAATTACCAGAGATTGATGTAAGTGAGAGTAATGTAAGTAATAAATAATTTGATATACAGAATGCAGAAGTATAAAATCTAATGTCTCGATATATAGGTGTGATGGGTTTAGATTCAGTAAGTAAATAATCATAGGCAAGTGTTATAATATATGGATTAGGAGCATTAGGTATTGAGACATCAAAGAATCTTGTTTTATCAGGTTTAAAACGATTGACTATAGTGGATGATAAGAAATTGAATAATTAAGGATAGTTTTTTGTTTAAGATAAAGATTCTAATAGATTAGAATAGAGTTTACTTCATTTATAAGGATTAAATCCTTATGTTTAGATAGATTATTCTAATGATCTTATATAATCAATTAAGAGTCAAAATTATCAAGTAGTTTGTTTATGTGAAGTGGATTCAATTGAAGATATAAATACAATATCAACCATTTGTAGAGAATATAAGATAGGTATGATAGTTTCATAATTATTATCTGTTTATGGAAGAATTATGATTGATTTAGGAGAACAATTTACAGTTAATGATGTAGATGGAGAATAAGTTTAGGAGTTCATTATTGAAAACATTGATTAAAATTAAGGAATAATTGAAATTAAAGGAAAACATAATTTAAGTGCAAATGATATTATTGTACTTAAAGAAGTTATTTAATAAGATGATGGTAAATCACTTAACAATAAATAATTAAATGTTATAAAAGTGATTAATAAATCATCTATATATGTAGGAGATCTAAATGAATTTGGAAAATATCTTAGAAATGGAAGAGGATAAACTATTAAAAAAAAGTGTATTATTTAGAATTAGAACATGAGTTAAATTATATTAGATCCGTTATTTGATCCAAATTTTATTTTAGATGAATAGAAATTTAAAATGATTAATGAATAGATGAATCTTTATTCAAATAAGAATGTAGAAGTCAATGAACTATTTAAAAAGACAGGAAATTAAATATTTGCACCTTAAGCTGCATATTTAGGTGGAATAGTTTGTTAAGAAATAATAAAGGCGATTACTCATAAATATATGCCAATAAGATAATGTTATTTTCATTCATGTGAAGAATTGTTAGATAATAATACAATAATAGGAATGGAATTATAATAATCAATAGAGAAATGTAAAGTTCTGATGATAGGAGCTGGTGCTATAGGATGTGAATTATTAAAGAATTATGCAATGATAGGATTAGGTATAAATGGGAATATAATTGTTACTGATCCTGATGTAATAGAGAAATCTAATCTTAGTAGATAATTTCTTTTTAGAGAAAAACATCTTCGATTACCTAAATCATATACTGCTGCTAGAGCCTGTTTAAAAATGAATCCATAAATGAAAATTGTTGCAAGATTAGATAAAATATCTCCATAAACAGAACATTTATATACTAATGTATTTTAATATGTTGATGTAATTACTAATGCACTTGACAATGTATAAGCCAGATTATATGTTGATTCACAATGTATTGAACATATGAAACCATTACTTGAAAGTGGTACTCTAGGACCAAAAGGACATGTTTAAGTTATCTTACCTAATTTAACTGAAAGTTATGGAACTAAATAAGATCCGGAAGAAACTAATGAAATACCATATTGTACTCTTAAAATGTTTCCTGAAGATTCTAATCATTGTTTAGAATGGGCTAGAGATAAATTTGAAAAATTGTTTACTTCCAAAATACAATCCATTAGATAAACTTTATTATTTCAAGATTTTACAACTGAAGGATTAGAAACTACTCTTAAATTTTGTAAAAATAAACCTAAAAATTTTAATGATTGTGTTCAATATGCACTTAATAAATTCTACAAATACTTTATCTATGGAATTATGGATCTTATGAAAGCTTATCCTATTGATCATGTAGTTAATGGAAAATTGTTTTGGTCATCTCCTAAAAGACCTCCCTAAATATTTTAATTTAAAGGAGAAGATATGCAAATGAAATTCATATAATCTGTATCCTATTTATATGCTACTGCTTTAGCTATTGATATTCCATAATAAATTGATTTTGAATCAATTTTATTAACAATCAAACCTAAAGAATATAAAGAAAATAAAGAAAAATTATAATAAATTTAAGATTAAGTATCAAAAGAAGCATAAGCTAAATTTTAAGAAGATGAACATTAAGAAAATTAACAATAAAGTCAATCAGAATTAATTAATTAAATTGTAGACTATTTCAAAGATTATTATGATATTTCAGAATCAATACCAAAAGTCTTAAAACCTTTAGATTTTCTACCTTAGCCTATATAATTTGAAAAGGATGAAGATGACAATCATCATGTTGAATTTATCTAAGCTGCTTTAAATTGTAGAGCCTAAAATTATGGATTAGAACCTTTAGATTGGTTAACTACTAAATTAAAAGCAGGAAGAGTAATTAATTATATTAATAATTTTAGATAGTTCCTGCTATGGCTACAACAACAGCTTGTATTGCAGGTTTATAAACTATTGAATTAGTTAAGGTTATCAAAAAACTTATGATTGATCAGAACATTAAATTAGAAACATTTAAGAATATGTTTTTAAATTTAGCCATACCGTATGCACTTTAATCAGAACCTGGAGAATGTCAATTAGAATCAATTAATGGAAAAAATTTCTCATTTTGGTCTAAATGGGATGTTAGATTTAGTTCTTAAACGAATAACCTTCAAAAATTTATATGTCATGCAGAATCGGTATTTGGAGAAAAAGTCACTTGTATTAAATAAAAAGCTAAATTATTATACTCACCAATCATGTTCAATAGTGAAGAAGAAGAATCAACTTTACTATAAACACCTATATATTTATTATTTGAAATTTAAGACCATGAAGATTATGTTGAATTAGATATAACATTTTAGAAGAGAATTAAATGTAGATTCTATTATTGAGATATTGAAATATAAGTTTATTAAAATATAAATTTACATATTAAATCATTTATATTATTTTTTATCTTATTGATATAAATATTAACTTATAAATACATTTACATATATATATATATAAGTTGAATTAAATATGAATTGCTAATTTATTTAAAAGATTGCTTTTAATAAATAACATAAGATGTTATGAGTCTAAATAGAGAATATGTTAATATTAATATAAGTATAAATAATATAAGCTATTTAAAATGATTAAATATAAATATATTATAATAATAATAATATTTTATATTTTACGTCATTATCATAATAATGTAACCAATAGCTAATAGAATGTTAAATTACTTATAACCTCAAATGTATGCCAAGTTTACAATGTTGGCAAATCAAAAGGGTTGTATAAATTTAGGTCAAGGATTTCCAAATTTCCCATCTCCATAAATGTTAAGAGATGCCCTGTCAGAAGAAGCATAAACAGAATCTCTTTAATATACAATGACAGCTGGACATCCAAAATTATTAAATTCGGCTTCCTAATTTTTTGAAAAATAAATTGGTTGTAAATTTAATGTAGATAAAGAAATTATGGTAAGTTCAGGTGCTTAAGCTGTTTTAAGCTGTGTTATGTAAGGAGTGCTTAATCCTGGAGATGAAGTTATACTATTTGATCCTGCCTTTGGTATTTTTATTATTATATTATTATAGATTTATACAGGCCTATGATAGAATTTTAAGGTGCCAAACATATTGGGGTTCCAATAATTCCTAAAAAATTAAATGCAAAATAGGATATTCTTAAAAGATACAAAAATGGGAAGTTTGATTATTCAAATGATGATGATTGGAACTTAGATTTTAATTATTTGGAAAGAGTAATAAATAAAAAAACAAAATTAGTTTTATTGAATTCTCCTATGAATCCAATAGGAAAGTAAATAATTTAATAATTTTAGAATGTTTTCTACAGAAGAATATAATTAATTAGCTGATATTCTTGATAGATATCCTTAAGTAGTTGTATGTGAAGATGCAGCATATCATCATATTACTTTTGGATAATATCAACCTTTTAATTATCCTAGATGTATTACCCATCCGAGATTAAAGGATAGAACAGTTTGTGTTACAAGTGCTGGTAAAATGTATTCAGCAACAGGATTAAGAATAGGATTTGCTGTTGGAAATGAAGAAATTATCAAAGGATTAAAGGCAGCATAAACTTATCATATTTTTTGTTTAAATCCTGTGATTTAGACTGCAACAGCTAAATGCTTAGATTAAACATAAGATGGAAAGTACTTTAATTCTATAAGAGACTTATATGAAGAATAAGCTAATATGTTATTAAAGGGATTAGTAGATAGTAGATTGAATATGAACTATTGGGTTCCTTAAGGTGGTTATTTCATTGTAACAGATATATCAAATATCTAAATTCCTGAGAAATATTTTAATGACAATGGAGTTAGACTAACCAGAGATTTTGCATTTGCATACTATATGATTAATGAATTTGGAGTTGTTTGTATTCCTTGTTCTCCTTATTATGAAAATAAATAGTTAGGATAGAACTATGTTAGATGGGCATTCTGTAAAACAACTGAAACTATATAAGAAGCAATCAATCGTTTAAAATGATTATATCAATTATTTATATAAATTAATGAACGAACTTTCAGATGGTATTCTTATTTCTATTTTAGGGGAACTCTTAAAAAGAAGAGATTCTATTAAAATTGTATTCTTCATTGAATTTTCATAGCTGTTCTATGCTTTTTTGAAATTCATCGCAGTTATAAGTATCTTAACTAATACATCAGAATGTGAGTTATTTTATTATTTTCTTCTACTACTAATTACTGATATACTGTGTTCAATTGTAAATTTCATTGCTCTTGGAAATCTCTACTATTGTGATTTTTAATCTATTGATAGAAATTTAGAAAACTTTGAAAATTAAAGAATATTATTGCAATATAGCAATGAAGCATATATTGATTTTATGACTTTATTAGAAGCTATTTCTAATAGATATTAGATACTCTATAATATAATAGCATTATGCTATTTGGCTTTGTCAATTTATGGAATCTTTAATATAATTGATTAATAGTGTAATTATGAAGATGGAAGTGCAGCAACTGCAATTACTTTTATAATATTAAACTTATTATACTTTCTTAGAAAATTGTACTTGCTCATTAGATTATATAAAAAGTATTAAATTTACAATATAATTGTAAAAATTTGTTATTAGATTTTAGAGCGTAAATCCTCAATTAGAGGATGATTGTTGTATATGTTTATAATTATTATCATAAAAAGTAGCTTAATTATAATGCAAACATAAATTTCATTAAAGATGTATTTAAGAATGGTTTAAATCAAAAAGTACTTGTCCAATTTGTAAAAGGGAATATGAAGTAATGTATTCCCATAATTAATGATAATTGCTATATGAAATAAATTATCTCTCATATATTTATACTAATTATAAAATTAATGTAATAAAAGTAATCTAAGAAATCTAAAGAGGAAGAACCTGTATTTAATGGGATATTTAAAGATAATAGTGATGATGAAAATGATGATAAAAGAAAGAAACAGACCCTAATTTTAAATGTTTCAGGTAATATATGAATTAGAAAAGAGATACAAAATATGATGTTGTTAAATTTGTTGGTAAAAAAATATTCAAATGGATATTGTAATATGAACCAGATGGTGTTAATTGGGATATGTTTTGGACAGATGCAGCTGTTCAACCAGAAACCTTAGGTAAAATGTAACGTAAGTTTATTTAAAAATATATTTAATAGCTCACCAAAAGATAAATCACTTTCCAGGAATGTATTCTCTCGCTCGTAAAAATCATCTTGGTAGAAATTTAATGAAAATGAGAAAATAATTTTCAAATGATTTTAAATTCTTTCCATAAACATGGTTATTACCAGCTGAATATGGAGATTTTAAAAATTAATTTGTAAAAGGAAAAGTAAGAACATTCATTGTTAAACCAGAAGCAAGTTGTTAAGGAAGAGGAATATTTTTAACTAGAAATATTAATGACATAAATCCCACTGATCATTATGTTGCATAAAGATATATGCATAGACCCTTTTTAATAGATGGATTAAAATTTGATTTAAGAGTCTATGTATTATTAGCTGGAACTGATCCTATGAGAATTTATGTATATTAAGATGGTTTGGTAAGATTTGCTACAGAACCATATGTCACACCAACTACAAACAATTTAGAAGATGTTTGTATGCATTTAACAAATTATGCTATTAATAAGGAAAATCCAAACTTTGTTTTCAATAATGATGCAACCAAAATGGATGTTGGTCATAAAAGATCTATTAAATCTGTTTTTGGTAAATTATAAGAGGAAGGACATAACATCCAAAAATTATGGCAAGATATGTATAAATTATTTATCAAAACATTCTGCACTGTTTAACCAATATTAAGTCATCATTACAAATCATGTTAACCTGACAATTATGCAAATAATATGTGCTTTGAAATTCTCGGATTTGATATCTTCATTAATGATAAATTAAGACCTTTTTTATTAGAAGTGAATCACACACCTAGTTTTACTACTGATACTCCATTGGATTCGTTAATAAAAAAAAATCTTATTAGAGATACTTTAAAATTGATGAATGTAAGTCTTAAAGCAAAAGAAGAAATAATATCATCAAGAAGAGAATAATTATAATAACGAGTTTTTACAGGAAAGAAATAGAAATTAACATAAGAAGAAAAAAATTTATAAGTTTAGTAGTGTTCTTAATAAAGAGATTAACATGAAAATAACAATTTAGGAGATTATGTTAAAATATATCCATTAGAAGATGCTTCTGAATATAATAAATTTATTGAATTTGCCTCTGAATTATAAGATAATTGGACTGGTGCAAGTAAAAATAATAAATAGTTATTTGATAGATATAAGAAGAAATTAAAAGAAGGAGTAATCTGAAACTCCTTAATCCTAATCTAATAAACCTCCCACTATTCCAGTAAAAAAACCAAATACTCCTTAAATGTTACCTAAAATTAATGAGAAATAAAATAAAATTCATCTTTCAATAGAGCCTTAAAAGAATGAAGAAATAAAAAGCAAAACTTAATCAATAGGGAAAATAAAAAAAGATTCTTAAAGATAAGTATCTGACCCACCTCTACCTAAATAACATTAGAGTATGAGAAATGTTTAATAATCACTTTAATAACAGTAAGCTATATAATAATAATAAAAATCCTGTTTATAACCTAGATTGTTTGATTTAGACATTTTAAGCACT